AAGCATTTTGAACTATCTTGTTATGTTGAAATTTAAGTCTCCTCTCTTAAAAGTTTCAGTTTTAGGCACATCAAAATCTCACTTTATGTGCTATTTCTGTTGCAATTTCCCCCCACGAATTCCTTCAGGTCAAGTGCTGATGCTTGGGCCTGTTCAATTGATATAGCTGCCAAGCTAATTAGTCTCTTTCGCAACATTGTTGAGCATATGTTTTATAAGTTTGAGCTTTGAGAACCTGCATTCATCACTTGCTACTGACAATGGAAGTGTGAGAAGGATCCTTAGGGCAACAGAAACATTAGACACCTTATCTAGGAGTTTTTGCTGTAGTATGAAGAGATGTGGTGGCATAGACTTTGGAAGCCTTCAAGCTATAAGTTTACAGCATAGATATTCAGCATCAACATATTTGCTTCTATTGTGCATCAATGATTTTTCCAAATTCTTGCAGGCCTTATGTACATCTTCAGCAGATATTTTGTTCATACTGCATATATCATACAGGAAGCCAAATAGGGATATATGTTGCTGTAGCTGTTGGAAGCTCTCTCCAACATATTGAATGGCCATGTCTAAACACAGCTGCCCAGAGTGGCTGGGGCAACCCAGCCAGATGGGCAGGGTATAAATAATACAATTATTAGATTATTGTTAGCAGTAGAAATCTGCTTTGAATTTCTGCTTTGGATCTTGTGGTGCCTCTTCTTGGGCTTCATACTCAAACTGCCATTATAGAAGCATTGCAAAAACTACATGTTAAATGTAAGAAGGGGAGCTGATATATCTGTGAGAGAAGACAGAGGTGGTTTGGGGAAGATGGTGAGCAGCTGCGCATTACTGTGGTCAAGGACTTTCAGACAGGAAGTGGCAAAACCATTCATGAACCATCCCATAAATACAAAGTCCTGCAGTCATGTAACCAACATATTTACATATTTACCAGATTTCTACAACACCCTATAACAAATGTATTCCCAAGACAGTTAATACACAATAAAGCAACCAGAGAAGCATGTGTATATATAAAAATTATAAAGCATGTTAATGAAATAATTCAGATACAAAACAGCCATAAAAACACATTCCCAAATAAATCTCAAATGTTTCTGAACATTTGAGGCAGAACACAAATAAGACCCCTGAGAATCTATTCAGGAGTATATGCCACAGGTCTGAAGCTGCAGCTGAAAGGACTCTTCTCCTAATACATACTAATCTCAACTCCTGGGAAGGCGGCACTTAGATTGGCAGTTCCGAAAGCCCCACTGGGCTCATAAGGGAGAAGGCATCTCTTCAGAATTTTGAATTACCTTTGGAAACTGGTAACCAATGCAGATGGTTTGATATCTGTTTGCACTAGAGCTGAACTAAAAAGTTCTCATGTGAGAAATGGGGAGGGATGATTCCCTACCCCCCCCCCACCTCATGAAGTCTATTCAATTTTTACGGACTGCAGATTCTGGTGGACGAAGTAACCCTTTTCCCCCCTTAAAAAAAGTTTTAAAACTGGGGGAAGCCGCAAATGCAATCTTCCTGGCTGCCTCCTGGAAGCTGCCACTCCCATCCCCACCCACAATGCCGCAGGCAGTCCACAACCATATAGTGGTCTTATGTCTCGGGACATTTTGGGCGACCCTCCACTAGTGGCTGCCCCCCGCTCAGACTGGTTCCAAATGCCCTGCATGACAGTAGGGTTGTAAATTGGGTGTCATTTTGACGCAGCTCTAGTTCTTGCCACCTGATACTTCAGGGTGTTACATATGGTTACTAGATTTCTTTCTTTCTTTCTTTTTTAAATAATTTTTATTAACCGACCAATCAAATCAAATCAAATCACATCACATAAATTCCAAATTACAAAGCCGAATTTTAAACTTTTGTTGGGGGTACCCATATTTCAAGTTCCAAAGGGGATTCCAATCATCTTCTTGCTGCTGCATTAATGTCCACAAATCTGTCCAAATAATGTTCACAATTCTATCCAGTCCTATCTTGCTGTTCCCACATGTCATCTTGTTATTTTCATATATTTTTCTTTCTTCTTTGTGATCTCTTCTGATAATCTCCTTAAGCAGGTAAACACAAGTTGTAATCCTGTGTGAATTTTTCCATTCGTCCAATAACCATATCAAGATGGTTTCCATATATCATCACTTCCATAAATAAAAGCACTCTTTCCATCATTAATCTTCACAAATCTGTCACCTTCTTTAGTCCTCCGAGGAGGTTCGCCCGCAGTATGAAAATAGATCCATTCCTCCTCCCAGACATAAGTCTTTCGACAGAACTTGCCAAAATGGCGACGCTGTTTTTTACTGCGTCATCCCAAAGCTCTTGTACTTTCCACGATCTCCTTAAAACATGCTTTTGGTTAGAAATTATCTCCACACAGTCTTAATCATCCAGCTTAGGTCATTTAAGTGGCATTTCTGACTTGTGTGTGGGGGGGATTATTGGTTAATCACATAGAAGAAAGAAAGGAAAGTCCCCTCCATCCAGTCCCGTTGCCGACATACCGAGCCCTGATGTGTCTTCTCATGATATATTCCTGTTTATCCGACCCGTCTTCTTTCTCAGAGATCTCTTCAATTAGCAGTCTTTACTCCCCATTCTTCCTTGAAATATGTGCACTTGCTTCTTCCCAATTGTTTCTTTTGAAGTTGCTGCAGCTAGTGGCGCGAATCAGAGACAGCGTCCAGGAGAGCCGAAGTCCACACAAGGGCTTTCTGCCTAGTGACCCCACCCCCTCAAATTCGGGGGTGGTATAGGGCACAGCAGGCAAGGGCAGTCCCCCCCATTCCCTTGGGGGGGCAGGGAAGCTGCATACTCCCATCACAGCCTCTTAATTACCTCGTGTGGGTCGGAGAGATGTTATTGTCGGCCATCTTCCAATGCGCCCCTAGTGGCCCCCCGGTTACTAGATTTTTTTCAATGAATCCGGGGACATATTTTTTTTTTTGAAGCCAAGTAGCAACAGGGAGTCAGTAGTGGGGATGGTGAGGCAAAAGATGCTGGGCCCAAGCACACATACATATTGTATAAAGGTGCAAATTCCTTCTTTTGCACCTTGTGAAACATAAATGCACAGTTTTTAAAAAACGGCAACGGTGCCCTGCCCACCCATGACTCCTGAGCCTCCCCCAATCTCCTCCCCCCCTTCCCACTTATAGTTTTGACTGATCGGGGGAAGCTTGGGAATTGTGGGCGGCCGGCCGTTGCCCAGTTTTTAAAAAAACTCTGCGCATTTATGTTTCACAGGGTGCAAAAGAAGGGCTTTGCACCTCGCCTGGCAGAGAAACTGTGCGCCTTGCGCCCCTCCTGGGCAACGGCCACCCACTCGTGACTCCCGAGCCTCCCCTGATCTGTCAAAACAAAGGGGGCAGGAGATCTGTACAGCCGGCGGCAGCAAGCAGTGAGCAGCTCCTGAAGCCAGCCAGAGCCAACTGCGCTACCAGGCTGGCTCCAGGCTGCTGAGACTGCCGCTGCCACGTTTCCTGGGGATAGATTTGCAAATCTGGGGACATTCCAGGGACAGAATTTGTCCGGGAACAGATTTTCAAATCCGGGGACTGTCCCTGGGAACTGGGGATGTCTGGTAACCCTATTATAGATGTGAGTAAAATTGATAAATGCTAGGCTTTTGTTTATTTGTGGTATGAAGGGAGAATGCAAGCTGCAAATGAATTCCTGGGCTGGCTTATGCAAACCAGCCTGGCTGGCTGGGGGAAGAGCAGACCTGTTAGCATTACAGAAAGGTGTTGATTCTTTGGCCTGGGGAGTCACATGTCACAAAGGTTGCCTTTGTGTTTGTGTTAACTGTGTGTTTGAGGGGACAGGAAAAGGGAGGTCTGGGCAGAAGGAGGACAAAGAGAGGTCGGGATCCATCTTGGGGAGAAGAGGGAAGATTGCCTGCAATACTTTGGGCAATGCCTTAACATCTGGACTTCTTTCATGCAGTCTCCACCGTGTCTTCTATTCTCCAAAGACCATGTGTGTTTGTGCGTCTGTGGCCCCATGCACTCTTGCTGCTGCTTGGCAGAGAGAGGAGCAGGCACCAGGCTTTTGTAACAATACGTTAAAGAGGCAGCAGTAGCATTTTAAGCTACTGGCCCATTTTCCAAGGCAGCCCCACTTGAAATAAAGTAGGCCAATCTGGAGGTCAGTCACCAAGGTATGGATTACAGTAATTAGGTTTCTGTGTTCCAGCAACTGGTGCAATTGGAGACGCTGACAAAAGGCTTCCCAGGCTAGATACCATCTAAGATTCTGTAAGTCATCATGGTTCCAGGAAGGCTTAAGCCTTGGAGTGTTTGGGGGGAAGTAATAAAGCCATTCACCCTACTCACATGGCTCCTTTGTGGCAAGATGTCTTCAGAGTTACGTGATCATGGTCTGCGTAAGTGGCTCTGGGCATTCTAGAAGCAAGCGTTGATGCTTGTCTTTTGCCGATCCTTCAAGGGAAGGAGCCTTGGGCCACTTGGGAGGCACTACAGAAGGCATGTGATGCCGTAGTGGAAGCCAAGGGCCGAGCGGGGACTGAACTGAGACCAAAGTGGGCTGGAAGGAGCCTTGATAGTCCTGTGAGTCCAGTGAGGGCGCACATAAGAATTAAGAATTGGGCCTCATTCTTTCACCTCCTACTTGGTAGATGCAGGGGCAAGATTTAGATCACTGATGGGGGGAATCTGTGGCACTCCAGATGTTGTTGGACTCAAGTTGTAGTCCACAAACATCTGAAGAGCCACTGGTTCCCCACCTCTACTCTAGAGAGCCTATGGTGCTATACACATACAGAAGCAGCCTCCTCAGGAAACACTACACGGGCACACCTTCATATCGAAGGCAGGAACCAGTTCAGCAGCTGCTTCACAAGCAACTCCAGGAAGTTAAGGTAAAAATATGAATGAAAGTAGTGTATACTAATACTAGTGCGATTTTTTTGTTTTGTTTTCAATATGACTGACACTGTTTAATAATAAAAAGTATGCATGGTGAAATCCTCATCTTCATTTCTTTATTCAAGAGTCGTCTTCTTCACCTTGCTCCCCTGTATTTCAGTGTTGTCGCTGCAGCTCTCCTCTTGTGACCGGGGCGGACCTACATTTTGGGGAACCCTGAAGTTTGAACTGGTATGGGGGCTCCTTCGCAACCAGCATTGAGGTCTGGGTAGCCAATGTGATCTCCAATGGAGTTGTTCCATGACAGATTGCCACATTTTCTTTCTTTTTTTTAAAGTTAGCTACTACATCTCAGTTTTTGATTAAAATTGCTGTACTGGATTGTCTCACATGTCAAAGTCACTGGTGTGAATAATTATTTCCTATACTTTATAGTTTTCAAGTTATTGGGTGTGGGTGTGTGAAAATTAGGGAAATGTCATATACATCCATGAATAAAGTCGTTTCTTGGGCCTCAGTGGGATTAGGGTCCCTAAAGCTAAAACTTCATTAATTTCATAGTAGACCTGTCCCTGCTCGCGACTCTGGGCTGCTTGAGAAGCATTTCAAAAATACGAAGACGCCGAAGAGCGGCTGTTCCGCCGGGCTGAGGAATGAAAGGCTCCACTTCGCGTTCAGGATATAACAGGGCCGAGTCCGACGGACTGGCAGGTCCGTCCCCGGCTCCCGGCAGTGATAATCGCATTCGGCGGAGATCTCTCAGCGTCTGGCAATCCAGAACGCCGCTCCTACCCGATCCGGCCAATGCGCGTTCCGCGCGCTCTCCGCCGGGCGCGGCAAGACCCGCTTTGCCTTCAAGCGCAAACGCTAAGCAAGCCGGAATGCAAAAGCAGAGCAGCGGAGACCGCCCTACCACGCATGCGTGCTACCAGCCCTTTCGCCGCCGCCGCCGCCTCCTACTTCTCCCCGGCTGTGAAGCTAACGTTCCGCCCGCATGGAGATTTCACAGGAGCACCTCTCCCATTGGCTGCCTCCCTCCCAGCACGCGCGTCTACGCCACACCCACTTGGCTCCCTAGTTTCCCTTTGAGGCGTCGAGGGCCAATGCCTCGCGCTCCTCCTCCCCAGTCCGCGCGCGCCCTCGTTGCTCGTAGTTCCTCAGCTCGGATTACTTCTTCCCTTCCCTCCCTCCCGCCTTGCCTGCCTTCGGTGCGCGCGTGAGGGGAGCGCGTTTGCGCGCGCCGTTTCTCCCCCTCGCCCCCCCCTGCGCTCTGTCAGTGTCTCGCGCTCCTCCAGTCTGTTGGAGGCTCCGTTAAACGGCGGTGGGTTCCTGTTTCCGTCTTTTCATCACTCCCTTCCCCCGCCGCCGCTCCGTTTCCACCGCCGTCTCTCTCCGCCTCTTCTTCCCAGCCGGCAACCTCAGGAGCGCCGGCGTTGAGGAGCAGAGGTGACCAGGAACCCAGCCTGCGGGCGGGCGGCCGGGCAACACGGGCACCGAGGCGGGTAAGGCGAGGCCGTGGGGGCGCTCGGGGAACTTGAGGGATGCTGCTTCTCCCGCTCCAGCCCATCCTCCCTCGCGGGCCTGGCGCAGCAGCAGCAGCTGCGGTTACTGATGAGGAGGGAGGTGGCGGGCGGGCGAGGGGTGGCTGACTGGGAAGGGGAAGGAGTGATGGTGGGGGGAACGGGGACCTTCCGCCGAGGCCGCCTGGCTCTTGGGGTTCCTTCGCCTCGCCCGGGACAAAATCCTCAGGGAAGGAGGGAGGAGGAGGTGTCCTGGCCGGGGCCTGCCTGCGTGCTCCGGGAAGGCGGCCGGGGGTGTCTCAGGCCGGGGGTGTAGGTAGGAGATGGTTCTCTTCTTGGGGCAGTAGCGTTGCTATGTGGGTGCTAGGAAAGAGGCGGCGGCGGCGGCGGCAGCAGCAGCAGCAGCAAAAGCAATGGTGATGCACACACACAAAAACACCCAGGAAAAAAAAAGGACGTGCACAAGCCAAAGCCCCGAACATCGTGCGCGGAGGCGCCCGCGAGAGACGCGGCAAGCTGTACAAAATGCAGCACGAGCAGCCAGTGTGCAAGGAGCTGGGGGTGGGGTTGCCATCTGGGGAATAGGCGGGGGTGGAAAACGAGGGGTAGGATGTGCTGAAAGCGGGCGCTGAAGAAGAAGAAGAAGAACAACTGCGGGAGTGGTCTTGCTTTTCTTGCACCCCCGCCCCTTGTGTAGAAGTGGTGGCTTTCAACTTTACTTCAGAGTCAGGAAGTGCACCCGGTAGCTAGCGAGGGTGCATACCCCTTTTATTTCCTTATATCTTGCTTTTTCATGGGCCTCATTAACAAGCATGGGCGCTTGGCCGTCCGCCGTTCAGTGGCCTTGCCATTATCGTTTTTCATGTATCTGTTTTAGTCAAAACAGGATGTTTTTGTGTTTTATGTAATTGGTGCTGTTTGTGCTTGGATACCTTTCGCATTTAGTTCTTTGGACTTTTTAAAACTTGTGCTGTGTTGTGTGAGTGACTCAACATGTCAACTAGAGACTATTTCAATAAAAGTCGCTGTTACATCCTTTCCAAATGTTCATGGATGATCCCCACTGCAAAAAAAATCAGAGGACTTGAGAAACTATAGACAGGGAGATCATAAAGACCTCTAGCATAAACTGCTACTCTTTCTTTCCTCTTTATATCCTCAAAACCTGTGGACACATCACCACTTACTTCAGAAGTGCATATGGTATTGTACAGCTTCCGTAACCTGTTCTTGACCTTAACTCTGCAAATATTTACACACATTCTAAATTTGATTATTGATAGTTTAACTTTTGGGAGTAGTCCTTTCAGTGGGGCTGTTGACACCAATAAAAATAGTGGTATGTGTTTGACTATCAGAACATAGCATTTCAAAGTACTTTAATGGTACAAAATTTATTTGCTTCCATATGGCTTGAGCTTGCAATGTTGATTTAAATTTTTGCTCAGCAAGGAGTGCCAATATTGTTTCCAGTACTAATGTCTCAAATTTCCAATTATGTTAATACATATTTGGACAGTCCTCATCTTTTAAAAAATCCCAAAAGCTGAAAGAACTATAACAAATTATTCATCAGACTTATGCCTTCGAGTCTTTCCTTCATATTTTCCCAAAATTGCCCTGTTTCAAAGGATTAGAAAGTAAGGAACTTACACTTTAAAGTCTATGAAGTAGATATTTAAAATCAGTTGCTGGTAAGGGGTTTTGTAGAAAGATACCTGGTACAGTATGCCATTTCTTTATTAATGCAATTTTGCTTTGAGTAATGGCCTTGTTGATCATGCATCCTTTAGATATGGTACTCACTTGCATCCTGCAGATGTTCATTCTTTTGTAATAAAAAACAGGAGGAAAGCCTACTTGCAGCACAATCGTAGGCCTGTCTACTTAGAAGTAAATCCAGTGGGATTTATTCCTAGGTATAGGATTGCAACCTTAGATTGTATCTTCTGATAACTTTGTTATAGTTAACTGTACTGACTTGTTTCATACTTCATATCATGCAGCTACTTAGAATGTCCAAAGAGTTGAGCTGAGTGCTTAAGTTGTGTTAAAACAGTGTTTATTTCAGAAATGTAAGTTGCTAGAAGTAAGAAGTACTAATAGTTGATAAAAGCAGAGGCTTAATTTTGGGTAAGAATTCTCGTAGAGTTTTTGTTTTAATTTGCTTAGACTATTTCTTCAGAGGAGTGAAGGGAAATACTGTACAGAAAGGTTATATGGTAGGCTACTTCACGCTACTCAGCAACCAAGTAGGCTATTTAATAACAGCTGTTCAATAATAATAAATTGTGTGGAGAATTCCTTGATTATAAAATTTCATTCTAAATAGGTTATGTTTGCATGTAAGTCTACCAACAAACAGGTTAGTATAGGTACAATAAAACTGAGTGTTTCTTCCATCTGAAAGTGGAGTGTTTACTGTTAAAACAAACTGTAATGAGTGTCAGTACTGTTCCAAATAGTACTATCTTGGCAATATGGACAATACAGACACCTTCCTTTAAAAAGTAGTTCTCGTCATTTTTAGAGACTCACTGCATATTATTTGAAATTTTGAGAGACAGTTTCAATCTCTGGCTTTTGTAGCTGTGTATTCCATAATGAAAAAAGTAATTACAGTGTTAAGTTGGTCTGGAGGGGGAGCTAGTGCTAAAGCAAAACAACATTTAAATTTGTTAGAATCCTACAGACCTTACAGGACTGTTTCCCGTTTGATTGTGGTATGTTCTTATTACGGTTATAATTGCTTAAAATGCTTCAAGGGAAAAGAAAACTATTTTTATTATGCTGTACTCTAATGCCTATTAATCCAAATATGTTCAAGAAGTTCATATAATAGTGTTTCTCACAAACAGTGCATAAAATGTTGGCTTGGAACATATGTCTGCAGACATATCTTAAATCAATTATTTTGTTCTGAAAGTAATGACTCTGTTTCAGTGTAAAAATAGTTTTTAGTGTAGATGTACTCTTCTTGTATTTCTTTTGCAACCTGGTTCATAACCAACTAAGTTATAGTACTTGGGTTTAACCTGAGTTGGACTGCAATCCTAAACATACTTTCTAAGAAATAAGCCCATTTGAACCCAGTGAAACCATGCTTTTTAGTGTCATTGAATTCTTAAACTGCTTAAATCAAAGTACTTGCTGACTGGTCTTACAGTATAGTAACTTCTTAACCTACTCAACTGTTTATATATTTTTTGAAATATTAAGTGCTTTATAAATGCTTTTAAATAAATAAACCCAAGATTAGTCCTTTATGCACTTACTTGGGAGTAAGCCCCAGTGAATATAGTGGGACTTACTTTTGAGTAAATATACATAGACTTGGAAGAGGTTCTTTTGGTATCTTGAAGGTAACATTTAGGCCTGAGCCAAAATTCCTCTTGGTTCTTTTGTGTTCTTTTCTCATAGATAGGCTTCTTGTTTTGTTGGGGGCAAACATTGAAAAAAATGTGATATCATAATTATTTCTTTGTATTGATCAGTATTGGTGATTTGCGTGATTTGCTGTCTTGCTCTGTAGGACATTGTTGCAGTGCTCAGTAACATCAGCACCTCTTGTCAAGTATAGCACCTCTTGCCAAGTAGTGGTATAATTGCTACACTGGGGTAGCTCTGGCTTTCATGTGTTTCAGTTCACTACTATGTCACTTGTTCATGCCTAAGTTCAAAAATCATATCTGTATCTCAGATAAGGTCCTGTAATTAAGATAACTGTTCTGCACTTTGCTCTTTGTAGAAATCTTGGAACAGGGTTAAATAGTGTAAAGTGTGAGTTGTAGCTGCCTTGTCAAGGCATTTTCTCATGGTGCTGTGTACAAATTTGTCCATTGTCAGCTTCTTCTGTGGAAAAAGCCTTAGTAGGCTGAGTGGTGGTATTGCATATTTTTGCTTTAAAAGAATGATTCTTCACTTATGATGTAATTCTTGTGATTAACTTGCAAGTAGGGACTTGTTTGTATTTTGTTAACCTGTATGCAGCTTTGCATGACAGTGAGCCACATACCAAGCGGAAGTGTTACAGAAGTGTAGTAGAAATTACTGAAATACAACTTGTTGTTAAGGAAAGCAAATGACACAGTATATGGATCCTTGTTCCTGGGTGGATTAGATTGACTTTCAGCCACTTTTCTAGCCACCATCTCTCCAAGCTTCCCTCCCCCACTGCCTGTGATAGAAATCTGGGAGCTCGAAACAATAGTTTTTGTAACACGTTCCCTCATGGCTTTAAAACGTGTTTCCAGGTGGAAGATGCTGCCTGCACAGTAGTCTTAAAAGGTTAGGTTCTGTACTCCTCTTTGCCTTGGGATGCCTGCTCAACAAATAGAGCGCATTCCTCTCGTGTGTGCATATATTGATTGATATATCTGATATGGTAGCACTCCATGTGTGTATAAAATGAAGGTGTGTAAAAAGGGGCAGTGGATGCATGCCACTGAAGTTGCATATCTCTTTGGCCCTGCCGCAATGCATGGATGTCTGCACAGGTGGAGCCTATGTATGAATTCTTCCACATGAGCTGGAGTGCTGTGCAATTAGATACAACTTCTGGGGAAGCCTATGCACACGAGTTTCACCTAAGAAGAGTCTTCACTCATTGAATATCCATGCAATATGTTGCCCCTTTGAATATCTAGAGCCCCTTCACACAGTTGATAATAGTTAGGAGCAGCATTTAGGAATAATTCTTTAAGAAAAAAAAGTTTGACTGTACTAACAACACTTCTAGGGGTTTCAAATGTCTATGCAGAAAACAGTAATATAATTACTGTTGTTGTTTTAAAAAACAACCAGCAGAAGTCCTTTAGGTCCGGAGGGTGTGTGTGTCAAAATCCAGTTTCAGGAAATGCCTTTATTTGTATTTTCATTGTTGGATTATTATTTTTATATTTTTATTTGTAAGCTGCTGTAAAAAAAAAAAAGGCTTAGTAAATACATTTCTATACTACTTTTCCAGAATAAAATTCTTCCCAAGATGGTTCAGATAATGTATCAAAGTACTGTACAACAGTAAAATGCAGTAAACATAATTTAAAAGTGTCTTGTCATTTTAATACAGTATAACATAATCCTATATTGTTAAAAGTATTGACTAACATCTGTTCAGTGCCAAAAATGCAACATAGTTCAGTCACCAATATCAGATTCCAAACCATAATTTGTTATCTTAAGCGAAGGTAAAATATTCAGTGACAGGCCCTTCCTAATATCATTCAGGTGGACTTCTATTTGAGAGTTGTGAGACCACTGCTGAAAAACCCCTCGCCTGCATGTCTGCCAGCTGAAGTTCTTTTGCTGACAGGCATTTCAGCAGGGTTTCAGATGCAGATCTGCTTTGCTTTGAGCAGTGCCTCTGGAGGGGAAAATTAGGGTATAAGTTTTAAAAAGAACGTACCAAAGTTGTAAGCAGTCTTCCAAGTTCTATTGTAACTTAGTTTTCAAAATTTTGGCTGGCTTAGAGTTATGTGGAACCAGTCAGGGATTATGAACATGTGGCACTTAACTCCCTTTAGTTTCAACTGATGTGGTCTGGGATGATGTAATTGGTGATTCAGCAAAGGCTGCAAGTTTCCCATTCTTGTTTTAAATTGTGGCCCCCAGCTGTTGTTGGACACAACTTCTATCTTCCCTAGCAAGTTAATTTATTCCCAGTAATAAAGGAAGGCAGTTCTGATAGGACAGTGAAGATGAGTTTAAGCTTCAAAGCAAGGGTTTATCTCTTTCTTTGCCACTGGATTTGCTGAAAGCACCAAAGGGTGAGTAGTACGTAAGTATCTTATTCTGGTATTACTTCATCTTATCTTGCAGTGGTATGTATCCTGAGCCCTTGGGATGGGGATGGTTAAAATGTAATAAAATAAGTTTATTCTATTCCTGTTCTTCATGTTCTTGTTTCTTCTTCTGACCAGCTGTAGTTGGCTGAAAGGTAATCTGAATCAGTTTCCTTTACCATCAGAAGGGGAAATGCTGCTTTCTTCACCACTTGACAATATATTTTAGAGAGAATAGTACTTTTTTGATGCTATGATGTTTATTAGTTCTCTCTTGCATCATGATGTGGAAATGATCATGATTATCTCTTCTATCAGCTTACACAGACCAGTGATGTGAGGGCACTTGCATTATCTCCTTGTTACTGGTTACCTTTTCCTCCCTTTCCTTGAAGACTAGAAGCTGATAAGAGAACCAAGTTCAGCACACCCCTATAAATAAACTGGAAAACAATTTTTTCTTTTCCAGCTATTAAGTAAATTTTGTCCCATCTGAGTATTTTTAAGGCTCCTGTTCTGTATGCTTGCTCTCTTCCGTGTTTCTGCAAAGTTATAAGGGAACTAGCAGTTTATTTCGCATTGTTGGCTCTCCAGGTTTTGCAGTTAAGCATTTGCTCATGTAGAGGTAGTATAGTGAAATGTGCTGCAGAGCTTCACTTTGATTTCTACTTGTTAAAGTTTGTATTGAACAAAATCTTTGCATGTGTGGAATGACTTCTGCACATGCAGTGCAACTTTCCCTTCTTTCCCTTTTATTCTGCATGTCCCCTAAATCTGCTTTGAAGGGTTGGGGAAATGCACAGAGCAGGTGAAGGGGAGGAGAAGTTCCATTATGCTTATAGAAGTAATTCTGCATGTGCAGTTATTTAGTTGAACATGACCCTAAGACTACAGTCCTGTACACATTTCCCTGGGTATATGTTCCATTGGTCTTCTGAGTAAACAGGCCTAGGATCAGGTTGCACATAACTACCGGTATAAGTTGGAATGGACAAATTTGACAACAGTTGGAGATTTTTGTGGTGGCAGTGCATATATGGTCAGAGGTTTTCCAACATCACTGTCTGCCTTAATGAAGGATTCTTGTTTCAAGTTTTCTTAGAAGAAGAAAAACTTAAGTGGAAGGCCTTTGTCTGTTCCTTTGAACCTGGTATTTTGATCAGGTGCAGTTTGCTTTTGTGGGGAAAACTTTTTCTTAAAGGCAGTTCACTTTTCTTGAAGTAAACAACACCTAAGGTTTAGAAGTGGGCACTATTTAATTTGATGCTCTGTTTCTGACTAGTTGTGGCTTGATTTCCAAAATATTGAGATGCAGGAATGGTAGAGAAGGAATGAAACTACCCTGGGGTGGCAGTGCTCTTGTTAAATTTCTGTCCTTCCTATTGATGTAGAAAAAACCTGCTCCTTTTTCCTTATGGGGTATGCAAGAGCCCGGTTCCCTATCCGTAGGAGAAAATAACAGAGGCCAACCAGAGAATATTGAGAAGCAAAGCAGCTAGTAAGCCTGATCTTTATTAAACTGCTGCAATAGAGTCCTCACTCACCACATGCAGGAGGGAGGAGGAACCCAGAACAATGGTGTGCAAGCCCTTATATAGATTTTTGAAATTGCCCCCCCACGCTGTAGCTCAAGACCACCCCCAAAAACACCATACATGTTAGGATATTTCCGTTCCACCTTAAAAGGGGGCAGGCTTTGTGAGTCACGAGAGTCTGCGCATTTCCTGTTCACAGGAAGTTTATGTTTTCTATTGCTTTCGTTTCTCTCTCTGTGTCTGGAGACACTAAAGCAGGCAGTCATGTTTTTCTTTGTTCTGATCAACGCTGAATAAAACTTGTAAATAATGCTCTCCTGAGTGCGACTTTTGCTGTGAATTATCTGCTGATAGAGCATGCATTGAGTTCTGGAATGTGGCAAGCTATTTCTGGAGCTCATGTCGCTAATTGCTGATACTGCGTGCCTACGGGAGATCGACGGACGTCCGGACACGGCTTGGGGGCCATGATGGACTTTGTCTCCCTGGCAGAATCCCAACAATACATACACCACAGAAGGAGGGGGTCTACAACAAAAATCCTTTCTGCCAGGATACCTGACAATGGCCAGTGATTGCTTTACTTGGGCAGCCTGCCCATTCTTTTGTGATGGTAAATACTTTAATTCCTGAATCCAGATCACAGGTTCTCACCCTATTCATACACAAAGATGCCCTAAAGACAGGTAAGCAAAAGACAATGGAGAGGCTTTCCCATTTCCTTCCTCCTTGCAGAGAAATATTTGAAGTCAATTTGGGAGAGTCAAAATGGTTTCAGGATTGCTCTCTTGTACTATTTCAGACATGTGGTTTATATACTTATGTATGTGTTTGCTTTGTAAATTTATGAACATTTAATTTATATATTTGAGACCTTAAGTTCTTATAACACCTCCCAAATTTCCATCCTGCCCTGTCCTCCTCAAGACAACAAACAACAAAATAGCAAAAAAAGCAAACTTTTTTTTAAAAAAAGAAACCAATCAAATATTCTCACAGCTAAGGTTCAAGGTTGCTAGGAACAACATATTTCAGCCATCAAAGACCTGAGATTTGATGTTAGGTCTTTGGAATTGGAAATATGTATTGGACAATTTCCCATAAAAGACTTTGAAGACTTCAGATGTGTTGTGTATCATCTAAATATTCAATGCAAGTATGTTAAGAGGATTATTATCTTTGACCTTAGTAATAGGTATGAAATGCACTGTAGTGTGTAAACCTCAGAGCAAAATGAAAATAAAACATAAGATGCATTAAAAGATAATTGTTTTGCAAAATGCAGCTACAGAAGCAAAGAGATCCTCATGCATCACTTCACATTATTTCATGTGCTCAGTTATCCATTCAATGCATAAATGAAACCAGAAGCTATGATCTACTTCACTTAAATTCAATAACCAATAACAGGAGTTAAAATAAAGTCATGTGTTTCTAAATAGGAACCCCTTTTATAATCACGTGGTAAATAAACCTTAAATAATACTAACCTAGTAAAGGGCTGCATGATATGCGATGCAGACACTTTATGATGTCAGACACTCCTGACATAAAAATTTCAACCTTTGGATACTCTTGGATTTACTACTGTTCATCTGTAACTGTAGCTAGGAGCCAAACTCTACAGAGAAATCCTTTAGTTCAGGAACCCTTGGCCCTCCAGATGTTGCTGAACTACTGTTCCCATCAGCCCCTAAGAGCATGGCCAATGGTCAGTAATGATGGGAGCTGTAGTTCAGAATATCTAGAGACAGAAAGCTTCTTCACACTAATTCTAGAGAATGATTTATTCTACTCACTTTTAGTAAGAAAAGCTAAAAACTGCTAAGGTTACCAATTTTCTGTGGGAAATAAAGTACTGGAAAATCTTCCCCACATCACTGATGATTAGCATGGCTGTTTGGCACTAGATTATCAGATTAGCAATATGTGCCTTAGGGCAGGAGGAAGAAGCATAGATGTTGCCCTTGCTACCAACTTCATTCTCTTTTAGGAACTTGAATGAAATTCTGCAGGTTGGCTCTTTGCTTTCCCATTCTTGACATACTCTATTGTATCTTCCCAATAAGAAAAGGTTAAAATGCTTAGTTTTTTTTTTTTTTTAAGTTTAGGAAAGAGGAGGGCTTGGCTGAGATTTATAAAATTCTGTTATGGTGTGGAGAAAGGTGGATTTTTCTTTCTTTCACACAGTAGTAGAGCTTGGCCTCCCAGTGAACTTTATTGAAAACAAAATGAAGTACTACTTTACATAATAAGTTCTTAAGGAATTAGCTGCCCATGGATGGGGTGATGACCACTGACATACTTAAAATGGGTTTACACAAATTCAGGAAATATGGGTATCAACACTCTGCATCTGTATTGGATATGTTATATCACTTGTGTGTTTGCTCCCCATGGCTCCTATGCGATGAAGAGTGAGATGCAAGTTTAATTAATAATGATGGTGATGGTAATGATAGTAGTAGTAGCTATTAGTTATCATGGCCAAATGAAGCTTTGTCTATGTGCTTAGGAATGCTATCTGCTGGGTGTGGAATCAATATGGGGAGGGTTCCTTTGTTCCTTGCTTGTGACTTCTTAAAAGCATCTGATTGATCTGTTGGAATCAGGATGATTGACTAAATGGATTTCTGGTCCAATCTAGCAGGTAACATCTGCAAACATATAATAAAATACATTAATCTTTTGTTATGAACATGTAGCTCACAAATGATCCTGAAGTGATTAATACCTGAGTGAAAATATATTCTTGATGATGCTCTGGTTTAGTTGGATGATAAGTCTTTAGAGTACAGTGGTACCTCGGGTTACATGTGCTTCAGGTTACAGATGCTTCAGGTTACAGACTCCGCTAACCCAGAAATACTACCTCGGGTTAAGAACTTTGCTTCAGGATGAGAACAGAAATTGTGCTCTGGTGGCGCGGCAGCAGCAGGAGGCCCCATTAGCTAAAGTGGTGCTTCAGGTTAAGAACCATTTCAGGTTAAGAACGGACCTCCAGAACGAATTAAGTTCTTAACCCAAGGTACCACTGTAATCAGGTTTCGTTTGTTGATATTCTTTCACTGTTACAGTGTTAATAAGTACGAGTGTTACAGTGTTAATAAGTAATTTAATACAGTGTTACTAAATAATCTAAAATTTTAAACAAGTTGATATGTGTTAAATAACCTAGCTGTCCACACGGATATACATGCTTGCTGAATTGATCTTCTTGACCTTATTTTGTTAGCCCCTTTCTCAGTTTTGAAATTCACCATAGCTGAATTGAACTCTAGCCTTCTGGAGTTCTTAGAGTGTCAACAAGCATGTGAATAGGAACAAAGTGGTAGGGAATTGTATACTTGGCCTTTCAAAAAGCTTTTGATAGTCTATCACATAATGCTTCAGAGTAAACTTCACAGTCATGGCTCATCTTATTGATTGGTAACTGGTTAAAGAAAAAGAAGTAGAGTAGAAAGAAATGTACTGTTATCGGATGGAAGGAGTAAGAAGTGGGGTATTTCCAGACTAGCTGAATGGGTATTAAAGTGGGCAGTGTGTTCATTGTTTGCAAGATTATAACACTTTAAAAAAGAAAAGAAAAAGCCTAACTGCACATATACAGTAATGAGAAACCAAACAGGAAAGGAATCTGAGGGTTGTGATGTATAGTTGAATGAAAACACCAACTCAACGTCAGATTCAACTAAACAGTTATGCCAGTGGGACCAGGTCAATGAGTGTCACAAGCGCAACGAAGATTTCCCTCCCCAACCTAACCCACTACACATGCCCCCTCTACATTGGCTGTGCACTGACAGAATGATCATCTTAACACAACTTTGAATTCCACCCTTGGTGTGTGCCAGCTGTGATGAGGGCAAATCCAATGTTAGTAATCATTAAGCAATGCACTGAAAACAAAACTTCCAGTATTGTGATATCCTTATATAAATGTACGGCACAGTCACACTTGGAATACTGTGTATAGTTCTGTGTATAGTACCCATTTCTCCGGCAGTAAAAAAAAGTTTTAAAATACAGTGGTACCTCGGATTAAGTACCAGTGTAATAATTTTCAATAGGACTGGTCTAGGGAGACTAGGGGATCCTTTTGAACCTCCATTTTGATTTTATTTCCCTTCGAATAAACTCAAACCAATCAGGAGTATCTCAGAAATGTATTGAAAATTTTATAACACTAGGACAGGACTATGAAGATACTTACTTGCTATGTGTGTTTAAACAAGATTGAGAGAGAATTACTGAATGAGCAAAGATCTAGGTTCCTGTTCACTGCTGAGAAAGCGTGACTTAACTGTGTGCACACTCATGAAAGCAAGCATACAACTAAAGCTCTGTTGGGTGCTAAGTATTAATAAAACAGCAAGGTTTGAATGTTCACTGTTTCTTTGCTGAAAAAGGAGGATAGGGAAAGAGCCAGAACTGGTGGAGGCCATGCAACTTTTCTCATATCAGAAAACTGGGACAGCTGTAAAATACTTTTCAGTTAGATGCTATTTGCAAGGGAGCAAGTTGTGGAGAAAATTGGAAGTTGGCCACACGCCCTGTGACATCTTCCCAGGTCTAGTGGACACCAACTGCCACTGTTCCAGACTCTTACCTTGCTTTCTTTACTGGAGCAGGTAGGGGAAGAAAAAAGTTCCACAACCAGTAGTGCTAATGGACAACCCCTTACTTTAGCCTGCAAGGAGTGGGAAGGAAGATGGCTATATTTTCATCCTCCAAGGATGAAGAAGGATGAACCCTTCTTCAAGGGTTAAAAACACTGGCCTAGAGGTAGAAGGCATGTGAAACCTGGTCACTAATGCTTTATGTCTGTGATCTATTGCCCCAACTACTTTCCTGAAAGAGAATTAGCTAGCTTCAGGTCAGGAACACATTGTGGTTTTTTTTTTTTAATGTTTTGTTAAGATTTTCTTGCGTAACAATAGAACATACAAAGCCTCTGTTTTAAGCCATAGAATCATTAAAACAAATCATTTATATTCAGGGTGAGACATTACTGTTCCAGGCAATACGGGGTTGTGGGAAATAAGTTTCAGAGAGAGATCTCTTCTTTTGGCTGAGATAGTTTTAAAGGGTAGCTTGGTTGATGACCTCCATTCAGTGTGGTAGCTTGCAGTGTGGGAGAGTCTACATGGTTTCCCTTCCCACTTAAAACAGGATTCTTATTACTTCCAATCATTCACCATTGTGTGAACCAAATGCTGTCTCCTCTAGTCAGTATATTATAAAGATGATAATATAAAAAGTGCTCTCCATATCTGCAAACCAAACAAAGATATAAAGCAGTCAAGGGAGCAAGTGCTTTTAGGTCACCATAGGTTTGAATTTGGGAAGTGGGTGGCGCTGTGGGTTAAAACACAGAGCCTAGGGCTTGCCGATCAGAAGGTTGGCGGTTTGAATCCCCACAACGGGGTGAGCTCCTATTGCTCGGTCCCTGCTCCTGCCAACCTAACAGTACGAAAGCACCTCAAAGTGCAATTAGATAAATAGGTACCACTCAGGGGGGAAGGTAATGCTGGCTTAGTCATGCTGGCCACATGACACGGAAGCTGTACGCCGGCTCCCTTGGCCAATAAAGCGAGATGAGCGCCACAACCCCAGAGTCGTCTGCAACTGGACCTAATGGTCAGGGGTCCCTTTACCTTTAGGTTTGAATTTATCTTTAGTAGTGATACTGTTTTTCAAGCTCTGCTCTTCTGGATTAGCATTTTAACATGACACCTCTTGCAGGATATCAGACTGATGCTGTCACATATTACTATAGGTGATGGAAGCATGATTTCAGTCTGAACTGTACCCTCAGGAAGATTTGCAACATAAAACACAAAAATCATCTTCAGAGGGAGCCCTATGTATAATGTGTTGCAGTAATCTACCCTAGAGGTTACCAGAGCATAGACAACAGTAGTTAGGCTATCCCTGTCCAGGTAGGGGTGCAGCTGGGCCACCAGCCAAAGCTGATGGAAGGCACTTCATGCCTCAGAGTCCACCTGAGCCTCAAGCAACAGCAAAGGATATAGAAGTACCCCTTAGCTGCGAACCCATTTGTTTAGAGCAGGCATAGGCAAACTCGGCCCTCCAGATGTTTTGGGTCTGATGATGGGAGTTATAGTCTCAAAACATCTGGAGGGCCGAGTTTGCCTATGCCTGCTTTAGAGGGAGTGTAACCGCATCCAGAGCAGGCTATCTCCCAGCCATCTGATATAGGGAACCACCCACTAACAGTGCCTCAAACTTATCTGGATTGAGCTTCACATTGTTAGCTCTCATCCAGTCCATTACTGAGGCAAAACAATGATCCAGCACAGAAGCTGCCACGCCTGCAGATGTAAAGGAGAAGTAGAGCTGTGTGTCATCAGCATATTGCTGACAATGTACCCCCAAACTCTGGAGGATCCCACTCAATGTTTCATGTAGATGTTAAACAGCATGTGGGTTAAAATCAAACTGTGAGTAACCCTGCATTGAAGGCTTCACGGATCTGAGCAGCACTCTCCAAGCATCACTCTCTGAAAACGACCATCCAAGTAGGACTAGAACCACCACAAAACAGTTCCACCCCCCAAAAAACCTCAGCCACTACAGAATCGACTGAGAGTTCAAGGACAATTAACAGAAACACATACTCCCGTCTCTCTTCCAACACAGGTCATTGTGCAGGGTGACCAAAGCAGCTCTTGTGCCAAAACTAGGCCTAAACTCTGATGGAAGTGGATCTAGAAAATCCTGCTGCTCTCATCTGAGAGTAAGGAATTTATTTTGCAATAGGGATGTCTTTCTTGCCTAATCTCTGATACAGTGGTACCTTGGTTCTCAAACTTAATCCGTTCTGGAAGTCTGTTCCAAAACCAAAGCGTTCCAAAACCAAGGTGCACTTTCCATAGAAAGTAATGCAAAACAGATTAATCCGTTCCAGACTTTTAAAAACAACCCTTAAAAGAGCAATTTTACATGAATTTTTCTATCTTAACAAGACCACTGATCCATAAAATGAAAGCAATAATCAATGTTCTGTACTATAAAATAAATAAGACAGTGTTGTAGATGATAAAAATTAAAATTATTTTTCCCCCTTACCTGCACTGATGATAGTCATTGTTTGGATGGGGGGCTTTTATCCATTTCCGCAGTCACAAAATCAATCATAAAATGAAAAACAAGCTAGAGTCACAAAAATGCAAAAAATAGCAAGAACAAAAGCGCCAAAACAAAAGCAGAAGCGGAAAGAAAATAGGCTTAATTATGATCGGGGAGACTGAAATTTGCTGCGCAACAGTAAAAACAGAAGCTCAGGAGCACGTTCGGCTTCCGGGACAAAGTTCGAAAACCGGAACACCTACCGTATTTTTCGCCCTATAGGACGCACTTTTTCCCCTCCAAAAATGAAGGGGAAATGTGTGTGCGTCCTATGGGGTGAATGCAGGCTTCGCGCAGCTCTCCGCAAGCCGCTCGGCTCCCACGGCTTGCAGAGAGTTGCCTGCATGCTGAAGCCTGGGCGCGCTGAGCTCAGCGCGCCCAGGCTTTGAGCTTCGTGCAGCTCTCCACAAGCCATGGGAGCCCGGCGCTGGGCTCCCACGGCTTGCGGAGAGCTGCCTGTTCTGGGGGCTGGGGTCCTTTATTTCCCCCCCCAAAAAACTAGGTGCGTCCTATGGGCCCATGCGTCCTATAGGGCAAAAAATACGGTACTTCTGGGTTTGCAGCGTTCGAGTTCCGAGTTGTTCAGGAACTAAGCTGTCTGAAAACCTAGGTACCACTGTACATGAATTTATATCCTCCTATCACTCACATATGCCATTTCTCTATACAGTGGTACCTCTAGATGCGAACGTACCCATTCCGGAGCCCTGTTCGCATCTAGAAGCAAACGTAACCAGTGATAGCACGTCTGCGCACATGCATGTCGCTTTTCACTGCTTCTGCACATGCACGTGATGTCATTTTGAGCGTCTGTTAAAGCAGCGAAACCCAGAAGTAACGCGCTCTGTTACTTCCGGGTTGCCGCAGAGTGCAACTCGAATACGCTCATCCCGAAGCGCATTCAACCCGAGGTATGACTGTACAGAACTTTTAAAATGCCCCTGCCACAGGGGATGTGGTGGCAGTAACAGTGGCAGCCTGCATGGCCTTGTGGACGCAACGGTAGGTGATGGCAGTAGCAGCATCCTGCAAGGTCTTGCAGTGGCAATGAAAGCTGGTGGCAATAGTAGTGGCAGCCCGTGAGGCCTTGTGGCGACACAAGCATTGGGGTTTGCAAGGCCTCACTGTGGTGGCAAGAAGTGGCAGTGGCCTGCAGGTCATCCTGGCGGCAGTGGCAGCTGGTGGTAGATGCTGTAGCATCTACCTTGCAGTCCACTTCTGCTTCTGTCACTGTGTCCTGTTGTCACTTGCAGGCCGTCGCTGCTGCTGCCACCACAACAAGGCTGCTGCCACTGCCACAACTGCCCACTACCATGGCAAGGCTTTGCAGGATGCTGATTATTGTGCTACTGCTGCCAGGCTGCTTCTGCCCCCCTCCCCCACCATTGTTGATTCTGCCACCACCAGGGTGCTGCCGCTTCTGCCACCTAAGAGGCTTGCTGGCAGTCCCGGAATATTTGTATTCGCTATGACTCGTCACCGTACTTTGGATTGTCCTGAATACCACAATATGGTAGAACCATAAGTCTAATTTGGATGCATTCTGGCTTGCTGAAACTGACCATGAGGTGATTGGTAATATCATCATTTATCAGTTTTAGACCCTTAAGTGCTAGCATTGTCTTGTTTGCCTCTGTGTATTTCCTTCCTTATTTAAGATGTTGTGATATATCAATATATCACTATATTTAGCTGGTGATATATCACAATATTGAAAACCTGTTATCTCCCAGCCCTACTGCCTATCTGCAACCCTTCTTTCAAAACTTAATTTCAGCAGGTAGCGTGGTAAGGGGAGGCAACCATGCGGATTCCAGGGAAGGCTTCTTCTTCAGGTGCATATATGTGCTTTAGAAAATGACTTTGGGCTGATAACTGGGTGAAGTGTTAGTAGATGAAAACATATTTCCTAAATGGTAATGGTTGGTTATGGAAAGAGCTTTGAAAGTAGAGCTTTTTAAAGTTTCAACTTCCTGAATATTGGCTGTACTAATTTCTTTTCCAGTGATGCAAGCTCTGTTGAAAGCATAATGTAGACTTGGGAGTAAGACTGCATCTTGCTGCCCTTCACTCAGGACTCAACTTAAAAAACAAAAACAGATTAGCAAAATTTGCTGGTGTTTATGGGTTACAGGGAGAGCTATATTGAGAGCTATAAAAAACAAAAAACAAAAACAGATTAGCAAAATTTTCTGGTGCTTATGGGTTACAGGGAAAGCTATACTGAAGTTCTAGTTTGAGGATCCTCCTATTATATTGGTCTCTGTAGGCCAATATAATAGACTGTTGTATCTCCTTCAATGCTTTTCAGAAAATTCTTCTCCATTTCTTGCTTTGATATGTGTGATTGCAGAAAGGAACACTGGAAGAACACTAAGAAGTAAACAACTCTGTTTTTCTTCTACATGCCTCCATAGGGAATTCTGAATAGATGGTACCTTTGAAAAGCTTATAACTTAGCAGGTAGCTACAAGTTCCTTTCCCAGGGGATGGGAGAGGACTTGGAGAGCTGGTATCAAGCTAATTCTTGGCCCCTTTGCAGTTTGTCCCACCACCAGCCAGGGAATACTTCCTTCACAGACTGAAGTTGGATTCTCTCTTTCTTTTTGACACTTCCTGCCATTCTCAGTTTCTTATTAAGATGTGAAACCATGAACCGCCTGCCATACCTGGTATTTCTGCTCCCCCTCCCACCATATATATGACCATTAACTCCTGGCTGTTTTACATTTCTCCAGGACTCTGGTGGTGCTTCCTCCATACTAAACCTTTGTGGTAAGCAGCCTCCCTTGTCTCTTGTTTAAAATATCATTCACTTATACTGAAAGAAGTGGTCATTGTTTATACATAAGATCTGATAAAATATTTTAATTGTCTCTCAATCAGTCTCAGTTTTCTTAAGATATTTGAATTTCATAACTTGAGAAATCAAATTTCAACGTTTTTTATTTAATTCATCCTTTCATTAAACTTTGTATGTGTGTCCCTCAGGAATAAGTATTATACAAAATTATTTCCTAAGGGCAAAATTAGAATGATCAAGTGCTAGTGTAGTAATCAGTACAGAAAATATCAAATTCTGCCATTTAGAATCCATCATATAAGTATGTACAGTGATGGGGAGCAAAAAGTCAGCTATTGAGTTCTTGGTAGTTTTCCACTCCAATGTTGAAGAATTGTGAAGTTAGAGATGGTATGACCTTCTTCAGCAGTATTTGAGCACAAGTGCAGGGGATATTCAGCATGAACACATGATTATAATTCACTATTGTGTTTATCAGTCTCTGTTTTCTGGCATTTAAAAAAGTGATCGTTGTTTTTGACCACTTCCCCTCCTTAAGAAGATTGTTCTTCATAAGCACATCAAAATTTCATTTTCAACATGAGTAGAACTGGAAGAACTCTTTTGACTCCGTTCATGGGTAAACTTTAAGTCTTCATATTGATGGAAATAAGTAGTCAGCAGAGGTGGAACAACTTGAGGGCATCCACTTTCAATTCTGCGTGTCTTGAATTGCACATCATTTCCAGTGAGATTGTTTCTTTGTGTAAACTAATAATACACCTAGAATTTTCTGCAATGATGTGGGGGACTGTGTGACTAAATGTTAACATTAATGCAATATCCTTGCCTGTCCTGTGTAGCACACTAAAAAAATATATCAGCCAGCCATGCATGTAGAGCTAGAGTCTGGGGGCTTATGTAGTTACTTTTACTCAAGTGTCAGTGCCATAGTACACATAAATGTGTATCACATTGGATATGAATGAACACATGTATAAACTGTTTCCTTTTCGAATGAAAGCAAGCAGGAGCCAGATCTTTTTTTAGGGCTGTGGATGGACACCCTGTTACAATTTGCAGCTCCAATTTGTGAATCTAGGTTGGGCACAATCTGGTTTTAACCATTCTAGGACCATTGTGAATCTGAAATTTGCAAATTGCCAGAAATCTCATTGACCTGTATAGTGAAAGGAAAATAACCATACCTTTCTTGTTTTTGACACAGGGGCATGAAATTTGGGGACATGGTAGCTCTTATAGAGGGGATTAACCCTGCCAAATTTTGGATCAATAGCGCTATGATTTTATCAGAGCCACCTTTAAATTTAGCTTTATCCTAAAAAGATTTTTTAAAAGAATGGACTACGAGTGCTCAGTCACACCATTTCCCATGGATGTATATTTGCCCCATTCCAGAATGCTGAGGTTTTTGTTTTAAAATAGGTTTGAGATATGAGGCACCGGTGTAAGGATCTGACTATTATAAGCAAGCAGCAGCATAGAGATAAAAATATACATAGGGACATGGAATTTGAAGATATCATAGCTCCTATAGAAATGATTAACATGTTCAATTGGAGGTGGGTAGTTCCAGGGATCTTCATGTTTGCCATCTTTACAGTTTACTACCCCTCCTTTTTCTTAAAAAAGATCCTGCCATATTGAGGGCAGATTGCAAGCAGTAGCCATGAGTGAAGGGAAAATCAAAATACTATTTAATAATAATCACTGTGGGTAGCAACTGCAAGAGCAGTAGTAATTCTGAAGTCAGAATTCTGGCTAACATGCACATTAATTTTGGCTGACTGGTTAATAATACAAAAGTTTTGTGTAAACCCACTAGGTTACACCTCCCAAGCTGCTTAGCAATTGCAGCTGCTCCCCTACCTCTTACTCCTCTCCTCACTCTAGCATTCTCCTTGTATGGTGTTGGAGAGACACTGTCTGGTTTTCTGAGATATTCCTTTGAGCTATAAATCTGTACAAATCTGTATGAACCTATTTGGGGAAAAACTGGATCCACTCTGTAATTTTATCTGCTTTTACCCAATCCAAACAGGATATAAATCTGCTTGGACAGGCCTGATTTGGTTCAGAATTTAGACAAATCTGGTTCACAGGCCTAATCTTTTTACAGTTGATGTTTATCAGTATTTTAGAGAGGAAAGTAGTGGTGTATGTACATATGTGCACTCTTTGTATCTATTCTGTGATTTTATTTTAATTTTTTGCACCACAGGAATATGTGCTCTGCCTAACTTGGTTGGAAGGATAGGCACAACTAGTTTAGTTTTGGATGTAATTGCAAACTATGGGTTACTTCAAACTAGGACATGTTCAGAGCATGTGAGGGGAGGAAGGAGTGGAAGGATGAAATAAATGTGTAGAGACTGGAGTGTTTGAGCATGAAATACTGATCCATGATTTAGTTTTAAATGGTAACTGATGCAAACTGAAGAAATCTTTTTAAAATGTATGCAACTAATGGAGGGTGACCAGAATTTTTGACTTCTGCTTAGTGCATGAAAATAGTACAATCTGACTCTGAATATTGAAAGTACAGATTTTTATGTTATTTCAAAATGGCAACATTTTATTTCACAATGGCAACTGCAAGGAGTTGCAGGCAGGAAAACTAGACCATTGCTGTTTGATACTGCTTTTAATACTGACTATTAGAAGGAAAAAAGAATGTGCCAGTTTGGGTGGGATCATCACTTGTTGATTGCAAATTCAGTGTGCTCCTTGTTGGAGCCTTGTTATTTTCCTGATTATGCTAGGTGATGCTGCTAGGTTGGAGAGGGCCATATATGTCTGGCTGAGCAAAGTGAGGACTTTGGTTAAACTTGCCCTTTTGACATTCTTATATGACATTCTATTTATTTTGTAATTTGATAACTCCCTTGGAGAATGAGATCTTGTATGACATTTAGTATACAAGTTGAAGATGCTTCATGTCCAGTTAAGGTTTCAAACTGATTTTAACTCTTGAGAAAAAAGTGTAAACTGCTTTTAAAGATGAATTTTAATGCAGTGCATTTCATTTTGCACTCAGTGCCATCATCTTGTTATAACCAGAAGCTTTTGTTTGTTTCATTTTGCCTTATCAGCAGCTAGGTTTTTGTTTTTTTAAAAAGCTTGATGGTGTAATTCAGCATATGCACAGTTTATATGAACTGTAATAGCACATGCAGTGCTGTGCTGCTTTCTGGCTGCTGATTTGAGCTCATTTTGTAGTTTGCTATTTTCTTAAAAGAAATCTGAAGTGCCTTTCAGTAACAATGCTAAGTTAATAACTATAGCATCCATTAGAACCCTTTTCAGGAGGTTTTTCCCCTCAAGCAATTTACTAAACACTAGTTTTAAGTAGAGCATAAACTTGATCAAGTAAACATATCCTTTGTTGGCACTGCCTTCTGAAACTCAAACTCTTAACAGATTAGTTAAAGATATATAAAACTTATGGGATAGGTTGCATTTACCAGCCAATTTCTGTTTGTAGAAATTGCTCTGGATTATGTTTTGTCACAACTTCTTTATACGATAGTGAACAAGGATGCATGCATTGGATTAAAGAAGCAGCCTGCTTTTGCTCTAAACATATAGCTGGTTTGGATTGTTTATTTTCCCCGGAGGGATTTGCTCTTTGAAAGGCTGCACACACTTTGGCTTTGCAAAACAAAGTGTGCATGAGCTTGCTGGTGGTGGGGATGTGATACTGAGTTTATACAACAGCCTCTATGTGGGCCAAAATGGATGAGAGATTCCTTAATGTTTCTATTTTTAGCTAAGAGTAGGTGTTGCATCCCACACCCCCATTAGATTATGGCTGCAATATTGTGAAAGGTGGAGTTAACGATTTCCTTAATCTAAATCTCTCCCAGAGATTGCTATTTACCCCATAGCAAGCCTACAGGGACTTGTGTTTCCTGTGCCTTAATCAGTTTTGCCTCTGTTTTGCAAAGGGAATTATAAACTGACCCTCTAAAAGAGAACATTATGTTGAGAGCAAAGTAACTGTTCCTGATAACAGTTAAGTGTGTCAAATCCAGTGGAACCTCGTGTTATGGGCGGGATCTGTTCTGGAGGCCTGACTGTAACACGGAAGCGACGCAAGCCGAAGTGCTGCGTCTGTGCATGCGTGTGGCGCGATTTAGAGCTTCTGCGCATGTGTGAGCGGCAAAACCTGGAAGTAACCCATTCTGGTACTTCCAGGTTGCCGCAGGACGCAACACGAAAACATGTAACCTGAAGTGGACGCAACATGAGGTATGACTATCTGAAATGATTATACTAATATGAAGCATTATCATAAACATAATACAATACTACAAACAGGGTGAAATTTCAAACTGAATACCTGCAGAATCATCCAATCATACAAGTGAGGGGAAAGTACTTGCATGTGAGAATGCAAAACAACAACAACAACAAAACACCTGGAGAGAGAGAGGACATAACTAGGATGGTTGTTTTGCTTGTTAGATAAATTGAGGGCCATTCTTAAAATTATATTGAGTATAGTTGCACTGGCTGCCTGGTGGAAATCTAAGGCTGGAGATATTGTATATAAAAAGGCTTTTGGGTGTTGAACTGCTGGAATGCATTGTTGTTATTGTTTATTAGATTTGTTAGTCACTTGGTTCCCAGAGGTAACCTTTACAATTTAGATTTGCACATTGTCCTTATATTCAGCAGAAGAGAGAATGTTCCAACTGTGGACAGCAGCTGCTCTAAGGGCTTAACTCTGCAGTGTGCCAGTCAGGCTTCACATATGTTGTTTCAACACTCTTGGACTCCGCCACTATGTGAGTGTCCTTGCATTAAGATCCTTCTATTCCAGGGTCCTTTGAGCATTAGAGTAGAAAGCTTGGCAGTCTTGTTGGGAACTGCAACATAGACTTTGAATCAATACAGAGTTCCTTTAAGTAATGGTGGTTACCACTTGCCTTGACTGAGTTTCTATTTTGGTGCATATTGTCCCTGGGAAAGCTGCTACCATCCTTCACTTGTTGACTAATTTGTACAGAATTGTCAAAGGTTAAGTAGAAGAAAACAAGAAAAACACTATTAGATCAGCCCAAAGGCCCATCCAGTCCAACATTTAGTCCCCACAGCAGCCAACCAGATGCCACTGGGAAGCTCACAAGAGCACATTAACCCAGCAAGTAGTATATCCCCATAACAACTGGTAATCAGTGTTATACTGATGCTGATATTGAAGAAAATATATATGCTATCATGACTCATAGTGTAGCACCCTGCTTGTGGTTAACGCTTAGCTGGAATGAAATATTCAACACAGCAATAGAGAAATTAAAATAATAATTTATTTGTCAGACAAATAAATGAGAGGCACAGTGGTATATGGTTACCAAAGCTCTGCCCACTCCAGCCCTGGTGGCCAGCACTTATATTTCCTCAGCCCAGCCCCCTTGCTCCTCCTTTGGCTGCCTCTGTCCAATCAGCCTGGTTGAAATTCCTATTGGCTGTTTGCTAGAACCAATCATAAAAGATACACCCATTTCCTATTACATTTATGGGAGACAAAGAGCTATATTTCCTTCTATCCATAAATGGCAGACAAGTAGCCATATATCTTATATTTGCCTCGACCAGGCACCTTAATTACCAGATCATCTTTGCCCTATTGCCCTATTGCCCTATTACCCCTTCACTCCAAAACAGATGGCTAAAACAGATGGCTCATGGTTTTAATTTTTATCTTAAACAGAGATCTTGGGTTCACCTTCTCACACACCATCAATGGAATAAGAATCTAACATAAGAATCTAACATTTCTTACTTTCTAAATCCTTTGCATAATTACATTGAAGCCAATATATTTCATACATAACATAGATTTTTAGAAGAAAAGGAACTTAGTAAAAACAGTTTCAAAAAGAAGCCTCTTCAATTTACAACTCCCTTTCCCCAGCCAGCTGCTTCTCCTATTAGCTCTTGCCCTTTAACCTTATGAAAATATGGCTCGAGTCTGATGGGAGGCACCTGGTATTATTTTCTGTTAAACAATAAATTTTACTATTTACCAACTCTTAATTAGTGTTTTGGCAGCTTGATTGTATTCTGTAATATGTATGGTCAGTATGACCTTTGCTCCCAGCCTGTAATTCCCTTTTACAACTTTGAGGTACTGCTATAAATCAGGGGGGCCCTGTTCAAGGAGATAAACAACTGCCAAAGTACTTAGCCAGCTGCTTTATGCCTGGCATGAAACATACAAACATTTGCAAATATATTTTTTAAGCTCATTTTAAAATACAGGCCTTGATCATAAAATACAGGCCTTGATCAGATGTCTCAATAGCCACTGATAGCATTGATTATTAAAATTCTATTTTTCCATAAGAAAATTAATTTGTTTTCTTTTCATTAGGATTTTCCAATGCTATTTGAATATTGGGCAAGAACTACAAAAGAAGAAGAAAAAGTTGTATTATAGGTTTGATATGTTGTGCTTACGTTGAAGTCTGTCTTTAATTTAATAGAGCTTATATGTATGTTCATATATCACATTTTCCTATGGATATGCACACTAAATTCTATACAGTAGAATACTGAAGCTAGAAGTGTTTGCTGAATATTTCACACACAGTAGTGTTGGCCTGGACATTTTTTAAATACCTGATATTGTAGACTTGATTCAGAGCTATTCTGAGCCAGCGCTGCAGCTTGGGTGATGGAAAACTGGTCACGGTGTGCCCACATAATGGCCCAAGTTGCAAATCATGGTACCATCAGTATTAGTTAGTCACTTTTCTTAAAAAGTAATCCAAAGCGACTTAAAACCATTTGAGAACAAAAGTAAAATACAACAATACAAATTAATAGGCTAAAAATACAGCTAAATTAAAGGCAGGGCAAAAAGTCCAGCCCCACTAAAAGAGGCCACAATACCACTTTCATAAGGGCCAGAAGCCCAGGTGAAGAGAAAGTTATTTGCTTGGTGCCTAAAACTTGATAGAGATATCACCAGATGGCACCTGGGTAGAACATTCCACATTAAACAATAACTTAAGACAATTTGGTACACATTGTTTTGACGTTCCTGTGGCACTCCTATTTTATTCCTCCTGCTGCTGTGCTGCAAATGAATCAGGCCAGAGTCTGACTTGTCATGTTTAAATCTGAGTTCATGGCTTGTTTCTCCCAAACAAATTATGAGTGGTAAGCCAAGAACAAACTAGGGAGTAAGTTCTAGACTTTATTGACAAATTGAAAATGACAAATCACCAAGTCCAGATGGTACGCATCTTACAATTCTTAAAGAAATCTAATGTGAAATTGCTGATCTTCTAACAAAAATGCATAACATGCCACTGAGTACGGTCTCTTTCCCAGAGAACTGCAGCTAATAAGCCACCATTTTTTTAAAGGTCCCAGATCCCCATGTTGGGCAAAAAGATTATTGCAGTGCAGGGGTTTGGACTTTATGACCCTTGTGGTCCCTTCCTACTGTACAATTCTTTCTCTCCTCCCCCCTTTAAAATCCAATTATGTGAGTGTCTATTCCTGGTAACTTGGTGGGACACATTATAAAAAGATAAAATTGTTGAGTATATAGAAGAACAAGTCTTGCTGGAAAAGAATTAACAGGGCAAAGTTAAATTCTGTCTCACTAAGCTTGTGTTTTTGAGTGTGTGAATAAGCACATGTATAGGTATAATCTGGTATTTATCTGGAGTTTCAAAAAAGTTATTACAACTTTTCAGCAAAGGTTGCTGAGCAAACTTAGCAGTCATGGAATAAGATGAGACTTCCTTTTATGATGAGTTGGTAAAGAACAAGAAGGTGCAAGGAGGAATAAACAGACAGTTTTTTTAATGGAGAAATGTAACCTGTGTCAGAAACTCAGATATATAAACTAGGCATCAAATGGCTCCTTAAACCTAGGTTACGGTCGCCACAACAGAATGTCTACTTGCCAGGGATTTGGGCTAAATGATCCTCAGGATTCCTTCCAATGTTACAATCCTATGATTCTGTTAGCTCATCTACATTACTTGACTGTACTGTACTGTATCTTGCTCTAACAGCAGTTCATTTGTACCAGTATTCAAGAAGGAGAAGCACACAAAGTAGAAATGGAAATGATATTAATTATGGACTAAGGCAGAGGTTTTTTAACTGTGCTTTGTGAGTTCCATTTGGGTGGCGTGTGGAAAGGCTGCAGCACAGACAACTATATGTATACTCATCCCTGTGCTTAGTTTCCTTGATGTGATGATGGAGGATTGCATGCCAGTCAGCTGACTTGATGGAGAAGTCAGTAACCAATCTGGCACCCAGAAATCGTATAGTCGCAATTGGACCCACACCAATGAGCAAAATGTGCTTGGCGCATGGGGAATTTTGAACACTGCATAACGTGGGATCTCCCTAGGAGGACTTGTTTAAGAGCCAATGCTTTTTAACTGGCATAAATGGCCTAGAGTAAGGGGTAAGCAATGAGGTGGCCAGATTTGCTGATGTCAGAGTGATTTTGAGTGGTTAAAACAAAAAATGTTAGTGAATAACTCTGAAACAATCTCTCTAAACTGGATGACGGGACATAAGAATAAAGATGCTAAATCAAATTATTCCCTAGGACATTTTATTGGACATTAGTTAAATTTCTGATGCAAACTTAAATTGTCCAAAGCAGGTTACTCTTATTTGCATAGAAGATGGACATGAAATAAATGCTTAAGTAACTTTTTTTGAAAATGTATACCTTAACCCATGAAATATTAAATTTCCACCAAATCTTTTTTTTAAATTAATATTTATTAAAGTTTCAGAAAGAATAAAATCACATTAATAAACACAAAAATTTTAACAGAAACAGAGAAAAATACCCCATACAAAATACAAAATACTGAATAGAAAAAAGAAAAAACAGAAAAAAACAGTTAAAAATAGTTCCGTCCTTTCATAACCTCTTTTAAATTTACTTGTTTCCCGGACTTCCTCATACCTCCCTCTTTTGTATTCCAATTCAGTTTGTAAACCCAGCAATTTCTTACCTTCCTTTTTAATTCCAATTCTAAATCTTGATATATTATGCCATTAGATTTTTACCTATTTGAACCTATTTTTCCATTTCTCTTAGTCTTTTTGGTCCTAATCCTTAATCTTAATACATTTATAACTTTAAAATCTGTTCAGCTAGAAGCCACTTAACTTCAATCCAACATCACTCTAACATTCATTGATTTTGCAGTATTTCTGTAAATAGTCTTTGAATTTCTTCCAATCTTCTTCCACCGACTCTTCTCCCTGGTCACGGATTCTACCAGTCATTTCCGCCAGTTCCATATAGTCCATTAAATTTCCACCAAATCTGTTCCTATTCAATATATGAGTTGCACAACAATTAGTTGTTGCTGTTCACAGAATTGACTCAAATTTTCACATTATTAAGTTGTTAAATTCACAGCTGGATCAAAGAGAAGTAGTCCCTGCCCCACATATAATGTCAGTTTCCTATTTTCAGAAAGAATTAATTTCAGCAGAATTAATTATAACCTTGTGATTATTACCTATACGGCATGCTTATTAAAACTAATGACTGACCAGGCTTTCTGTATTTATGAAGTTTAGAATATTGCTCACATGGTCATCTAAAATTCTTGCAGAGTAGATATTATTTGTACTAGGCTATGCTTGGCTGTACCCTTTTTCTTGTTATTTCTATCTCCTGCCCTGTATACCTGAAGGAGCACCTCCACCCCCATTGTTTAGCCCAGACACTGAGGTCCAGCACCGAGGGGCTTCTGGTGGTTCCCCCACTGCGAGAAATGAGGTTATAGGGAACCAGACAGAAGGCCTTCTCAGTAGTGGAAATATGATGAAATGATTTTCTTGGGCTTTTTTGTAATTACTTTCATGGCGTCTTGAACTGCAATTGTCCATGTCTTGGATTTCAACAGTACTAAATGTTGGTCTGGAAAGTTTGCCTAGTTCAGAGAGAACAAGAAACCTTTAGCAGGCCATTGTTCTGTTCTTTGCATGGCTTGAATTGTTCGGTGCTGGCTATTAAGTAAACATCATGGACATAAGTTTTAAGTGAATGGTTAAAATGCCGCATTTTCATACTCTTTTTGCCCCCGCCCCCTGTAGTAGAAGCATGTGGGATTATAGATGAGACCTGCAGGTATAGGGTGGTATATAAATTTAATAAATAACTTAACAAAAACAAAAACAATAACAATAATAGGAAAGCAAATGAAATGGATCATTTTTGAGTATTTCTGTCAGTACCTTGGATATTGGAATCAGTTACTTTCTTAACAGTTCTATAGATGAACATAGACAAATAGAATCCTTGATCGTGAGGCGCTGTGGAGAGGGGTTAGCATTTAGAAGAATTGACATAACCCCCTCTGAGCCCATGGGATAGAATGGAAATATATAAATTAAATAAATAATAAAGCCACATGTATAAATGCTCTCTGAGGAAAGTATTTGTTGCATGTAGAAAGCCTGCAAGTTTGAGAGAAGGGTTATAGGCTAGCTTTCTCAGTTGTATATGCACACAGGGAGTAGTTTCTCTCCCCCTTGCTTCCTATAAGCATTCAGGCATTCAGACTAGTCCAAGTGGCATAATCCAAGAAAATGCACACTGCTTGATCTGTATGCGTAGATTAGCTTTTACTCCTCCTTGCATTTATTAACAAGAACTTTTATTTTTTTTTCCTCCAAGGAGCTCAGAGCAGCTTGTGAGACTCGTGAGAACTATATAAAATATTAACATAGTAAGTGCGGAATAGAGAGAGTCTTGTTCCACAAAGATGAACTGCATATCTGAGCAGGAGTTTGAACACAGGTCTAGCCTCACTTGCTTCTGGGAGAATTCCATTTGTGTCTGGGCGGACCTCTGTGGAAGGGATTACAAAACAAGGGTATAGAGGCAGATAACACCACTCTGTTAATTGTGCCTTGAAGGAGCATGTCAAGGCTTTGCTTGGTTGCCTATAGAGATAATGCTGATATGTATGAAGAGTTGGTCTCCTAAGAGCCCAAATTATTTAGCTTGTATTGTGCCTGAGAAGTAAAAGGGTGGGTAGGTTGCCATCTCAGGAATAGTGACTACAGAAATTAATAAATTGCCATGTAAGGAGTAGGGAGTTTGGTTACAGGCTTTGGCTGGATGATGAAGTAAAACACTGACATGAAAGTGTTGAATAAATAAGCACGTGACATCATTCAGTCGCTGCATCTTATGCTAGGATGGGTGGTGATGGGGGAGGCACCCAGCTGAATGTGTGGTATCACAGTGTCCCCAAGTGGCCAAGCAGGAAAACTGCAAACTGAATCTGACGTTGTAGGTTGGTTTGACATACTGATATAGGTAGTAGCTATTGTTGCTTTGTCCAGTATGGCATCACTTGTATAAGGGTTTACTGTCAACTATTTTAATGATTTTATACAAGTGTGTGTAATATCATTTTAATTATGATTTTGTGTTTGTAGCATGCTGCTTAATGCTTAATTCTTAATGCTGGAATGAATACATTTTATGTTCTAGATTCTTCCTTGTTTAAATTACTTCAAATTCGAAGTGGAAAGTTTTATGCTTTGCTTCGATTTTAAAGCACCAAATAATTTTGCAACAGGATATCATGGATACAATATGGATTTTTTATCATAGAATTTTGAATTCTAAGAGAACATTCACCAACTGTTCTCCAAAGCAACTATATATTTATGTCCTAATAAGAGCTTGTGGTTTTAGTAAGAAAGTAGATCTTAAAATAAAAACACAGGAGTTTTGAATTACTTGGTGTGAGTTCCGAGCCCCAGGTCTTACAAAATTGCACTGTGATGGCAACCTCGGAGGCAGCAAATGTTTTGCTGTAGTTGCTTGACACATGGATTCATTCTGGCTACATCTTTGTTAAAATTTTGCAAAGTTGTTACTGAAAGCAAGTATAATGCTTTCATTTACTTTTAAACATTAATGTTGTTGTTTGTTTGTTAAATTAAATTTGTATCTGCCCTTCATCTGTCGATCTCAGGGTAGTTCACAGCATAAAAATGCAAGATAATAACAGTAGTGGTGTGCTTTCAGAACTAAAGAAAGATTGTAATTCTGAAATGCTATGTTTTTAGTCGATTAACATTTTATTGTATCAAGAAAAAATGATTTCTCCTTTTTAGTGTGATCTGTTGCTTACGTCTGTTTTCTGGGGTTATAGCCAGCTTAGTGACCTAAGTACGTCTTGCTAAGTATTAACCACCTTCCTTTATCTGTTTAGACTTCCATTCCAAAAATGGTAAGTAGAAGGAAAAAAGCTGCTACTATTCCATGACTGCCTGTGTAAGGGGCTAGTGAAAGCTCACACAGTGCCAAAAAGCACTGGGAGTTAAACTACAGGAGGTGAAATATAAGGTAGACAAAGAAGTGGGAAGTTACTACATACTTAACACATCGAGACTCTGATTTAATACTGTGTATGCGTGTATGACTAGTGTGAGGCTGTGAAATACATAGTGCAGATTGTCTATTTTAAGATTCTGGCTGATGTAGTGGGCCTTTCAACTGAGGATGTAATGGAACATGGAGGCCATTATTGTCCTGCATGTGAATTATATGGATAGTGCTGCAGAAAAACAATGAAGGATAGTCAATCAGAATTACAACACAGACTACTGCTGTAATGCCATAGTGCTAGGCATTTGAATGCAGGACTTTTAACAGAGAACTCCTGCAAATGATTGTGCATACTGGTTCAAAGTTGCATGATAACTGGGTCTAGAGGGTCCTTCTTTTTCAGGCCCTGGTTATTGATTACCCTTGGTTCTGGTTTTTGCAGGGGGTGTGGGTAGTTAATTATACTAGTTGTTATGCTTCTGTGAATCACAGCTCTTGTGGAAGTGGAAGAAAATCTTTGGAATGGATGCCACCTTTATCTTGCTCTCTACCCTGATTTTTACAAGGGCTCTTCTGCAGTAAGATGATGTTATTGACTTGGTTTATTATCAAAATAAACTATGGTTTAATGTGAATGAGGACAAACTGTTTCTTCTGTTTATGAATGGTTTGGAGTGAAGCAAGCCACTAGCCTCAGTTCAAATGCCTCAAAAAGCCAATGCATGGCTTCTTTTGTTAGCAGCATGGCAGAAGCAAGGCATCAAGACCAGTATAAGAGAACTAAAACTTCTGAAGTTGCTAGTAAGTTTGCTCAAAGAGAAGAAAATACATTGTGTTATAAGTAGTATCCATTCCACTTACAAGTGTATTGTCTTGCAAGAAAGAATAAATCCAAATCTGCTGCATAAGGTCTCTTACGATTTAGTTGCAGTTTTCTAAAGTTCAAAACAGCACTGTGTAAACAAATGTGCTACTTTTTAGTGTTTTTTGTCATTTCTATACATGCAGTTGCTGAGAGACTATTCCTTTGCAAGTTGCTGAAACATTATAATGCTATTAACTGACTTGAAATTCAACACCAACTCATTTAAGCTTTACCTCAATATATGTTACTAGCTTTAAATCACAAAATGTAACTTCATTTTGTTTCTTTCCCCACAGACTATAAAAACAGAACATCTGTGACATTAGAACTTGGATTGTGCATCTTCAGTGATAATTGTTTTAAAGTTTTACTGTTGGAGAAATGCTGTGAGAAGCACAATGTGGTGAATCAAAGACACAGAAACCTTGCAATCTTTGTACTGATTGAGGAGTTACAATGTTTGCTTTGTGAACAAAAACTATTTGGTAGTGGATAGAACTTCTGAAAATGCGGCCATGGACTGGCTCCTGGCGTTGGATTATGCTCATCCTTTTTGCTTGGGGGACCTTGCTGTTTTACATAGGTGGACACTTAGTACGAGACAATGAACACCCAGACCATTCTAGTCGTGAACTATCAAAGATATTAGCAAAACTTGAACGATTAAAACAGCAAAATGAAGACTTACGACGAATGGCAGAGTCTCTCAGGTAAGTTGATAAAAACTTTCTCAGTGTTGGTATACTGTACTGAAGTTGCATTTTCTTTGTGTTAATGTAAAGGACAAAATACTTTTTTGTCCTGGCATGTGTCTTTTCTGAGGTCGAAGGAGACATCAGGGTGCTATGTTTGTGTGGTGGTATAGTAGTTGGCTGTTTGTACTATATTTGTGGAAGCTGATGGTGAAAGTTTGGGGATAGTGCAAATTTAATGTTCCTTTTAAGATCCAGTAATCTCAGGTAAAAACAGTAACCCATAATTCTAACTTTCTCCAGCGCTTAGGGCCAGGCCCATGGAGAGGAGGGGCACAGCTGGGTACACTTGCACTGGGCCTCGGAGGGCTAAGCACTGGCTACTTTTTTGCTTGAGTTTATAACTTTATTCTAACAAGACTCCTGCCCTGGGCTTCAGATAAGCTCTGAATAGGCATCCTTGGGGCTTTATCTCCCTCTAATCAACAATTTATGATAGACAGTCTGTATTCCCCAGCATACTTGCTTACCTTCCTTTTACTTGAAGAAATAGTTCTGTTAGATTATCTTCCAGTTATCATGGCTTGGAGACTCAGTACAGGTTTTTGCCCCCACCCCAGCTTAACATTTGAATCATCCTCAGCGAAACTGATTTTTCAGTACCAAGGCCCTTTCCTTAAGCCAGTACAGGAGGGTAAGAGACTGGGATATAAGAGGCACCTGGTTTTATTCCCCATACCTGCTAGATACAAATGTTGGACTCTTTAGAAGTGGGAAATGCCATGTTTGGTAGTCATTGTCTCATGGTCATGTACTTGGCTAACTTATGGAACAGAAAGGGGAGTAATAAATAACTTTTTTACTCTGCCTACTTAGCCCATCAGGACCTGTAAAAGAACCTGAACATGTTAATAAATGGAATTGAAATATATATAGTTGAGGTAGCCCAACATGCAATGAACAATTATTTTTTCATGTTGGTAAAATAGTAAGCAGGTTGTGAAGAACTTCAAATGTCCACTCCAAAATGGATATCCATAGAAATGGGATCTATTGTAAGGATTTGTAAATGTGTAGACACTTGGGTTTTATAAGTAAAAAGGGAATGGTAGGTTTTCTGAGGGTCCCCGAAGACATTTAGTATCTTGGCAAGAAAAACAACCCTGCAGCATAAAGTGTTGCATGATTGGTTTTCTCAAATGAGGATGATTCCTGTCAGTTGAAGGTTACACGCAGATGATAGTATTCTGCTGGGGGCTGAATTGTGTTGCAACAGAAGACTGAACAGTCTGACACTTCTCTTGCTTTCTAGTTAAATATTAGATTTTTAGCTCAGTTTTGATGGTAGGGCTCATCTTCAGCTGAACCCAGCTGTGGACTGAGTTTCAGAGTGTATCTGTGGAAAGGAGAATTTTTTCCCTAGAATTTTCAGTGAGTGGTGGCTTGCTTTAGATTTAAAAAAGAAAGTGTTGGGGAGAGGGGACTGCATTTTTTAAAGCATCATAGCTGTCCTCGGGACCCTGCTGTGCAGGAGTTGGATTGGATCACCTTTAAAATGAAATGACTAGGAGTTGCAGCAGGAGTCTCCCAAGTGGCTATGATGCTACTATATGCTGCTTTCCTCTGCCCCTCACCCAGGCATCTTAGAGATTAGAGCACCTCAGTGGTCAAAACTACTCAACTCTTGCATTTAGCTATCCAGGCACTGCCACTGACTACTTCTTCAGTTCAGCCACAGACTCAGCTGGCAATATTCAGCATTTAGTTTCCATGAGACCATTTTTTCTTGTCATATATGACATACCTCACTGCCCAAAGCAGGGTTTGCAACAGGAATTTCCCCACAAAAGAGGTGGTTTTGGGGATGCACTACTTAAAATATATTGCCACACCCCGTCAGCCCTGATGGTATATTACTAGTACTATGAGTCTGAGTAAGAGCAGGACTAGGTTTGTAGTTCATGGTTCTTGTCCCCAAGGGCAGTGTCTTGGGGAAAATAGCTGCAGGTGTCTTAAATGAGCAGAGGAATGGGGGGGAGGGGTTACTCCATGCCATCTTTTCCATCCATTAGCCTGTTCAAAGTCCTTCCCTGTTTGTCTGCAGCTGCTTTCACTGATAATGGAAAAGCCATAGAGCTGTACATGACATGTACCTCAGCCCTAATATCTTACACGTGATGGGGGACAGGAATACAGACGTAAAGTGTGTGTGTGTTCGTAGTTTCTGTTTTCGCCCAAGAATGCTTTTAATTTGGGGTACCACTGAACGAAATTTGAAAAACTTTTTGTAATTAGTGATTTATTTATTTTTATAAAAAAAGAAAGCTATTCTCTACTCCATATGTGGCACGAATACTTTATGTAAGACAATGCCATATAGCATTAGAGAATGATGGTTCCTATGTATATACTTCAGACCTAATGCACCACTCAGATCTAAGATTCATTTCTGCAGAGGGTACTGCCATCTTCATGAGAGTGCCAAACTAGGTGTTCATTGCTTGGGGTTAGGGCAACATTTGATTTAATTTGGAACTGCTTAAAAGCAAGTAGCTCTGTACATTTTATAAATATGTAAAATATTAGTTTTCTATGGTTACAAATGATGCTTTTATGAATCTAAAGCAATAATGTTGTTTGGCTTTGATAAGAAAGTCAAATCTTAAAAGGCTCCCCCCCCCCCCATAAAAAGTGAAAAGTGATATATTTTCATAGCTTTAAAATTTATGGAAATCTTGTATCTCTATGCAGAGAAGGAATAAAGTTTTTCTTCAAGTGCTTACAAAAGAGACAAGTTAATTTAACATTTCTGTACTAGCTGCTACCCAGTGATATTTTTCCACATGAAGAAACACTCTTTAATTCAAGAGTAGTTTTCTGCATAACACACGTAATCTGTACAAGATTTTAGAAAATCAGGATAATTATAGAGAAAGTTCTGCATGCAAATGTTTCATGCCACTAATTTGGCATATAGCTTTTACATGACTAGCTTGCACAAGCAGTAGTTTTTCCTCTGCCATTTAGCTTTCTGCATTGTGCCCATTATATGTTAAATCTAGTGTTACATTTAGATATTTTTACAATATGATCGAAAATACCATGCTTTTAAATATGTATTCTCTTGATTTTAATGCTTGTGGCTTCATTTTATTGCATTTTATCCTGTCCTTTCTCCAAGGAGTTCAGAGCAGTATTCTTCCCCTCCTTCAGTTTATCTTTAAACAATACTATGAGCTGGTTTTCCTGAGCATCAAGCATATCAACCCAAGATGCGCTAATACCAAAGGAACGTAGAGATATTGCCTATTTAAACAATCAAATGCTTTGACTTTTCAGCATCAGGAGAACAGTAGGTTCTGGATGTGATTGACTCCAAAAACTGTATTGAGAACCCTTCTATAATAGGGAAGGCTGTGGATCTTTGCCTTATGAATCCGACTTGATCGTGGTAGACATAGTTGGGTAAAATTTTTGAAAGCCTACTGGCCAATATGCCTGTAATAATTAAGCATCCACATTAATCAATGAAATAGTTTAAGGAATATGGCCTCTATTCTGTATGTCAATAAACAATTTCAGAAGGGAAGGCTAATAATCTGCTGGGACCAGAAGCATTGTGGAGCTTCATATTTTTGATCCCATTTTGGATTTCTGCTAGAGTAAAAGATTGATCTAATGATTCCTGGTGAGTCTGGTTAAATCTTGGAATTATATTTTTTCCCTAGGAGTTTTGTGAAGATTTGGGAATCCAATGGTTCAATGGCATAGAGTTTTGTATATATAGTTTTTAAAATTCCTCCAAAATTTCTTTTTGTCTATAGGTCCCCCCCCTTTTGCCTTTTAACAGTGCATTACTCATTTTGCTTGCTATATGTACTTGTTTTCACTAGGAGGGCAGAATTTTTGTTGTTGAATTCCTAATAATATGGCTTTCTCTTCTGAAGTGAATAAGTACCTGTGGGATTTCTAGAGATCTAGGTTCTGCTCTTTTTTAAAAAAGTTTTCTGTACACTCTGGTTGCGAACGTGATCCGTGCCCACAGTGTTTGCAGCCTGAAGCGCCGTGTCTGCGCACACGCGTGATGCAATTCGTCGCTTCTGCGCTTGTGCGTGATGTCATTTTGTGCTTCTGCGCATGCGTGAGTGCCAAAACCTGGAAGTAACCCGCTCTGGTACTTCCGGGTTTGGTGCAGTCCACAACCTGAAAAAGTGTAACCCACAGCGTTCGTAACCCGAGGTATGACTGTACCATTAAACTTAAAAAAATCAGCAATCTCTTTAAGGCAGAAGTTTTCAACCTTTTTTGAGTCCATGGCTCCCTTGACCAACTACATTCTTTCTGGTGCTCCCCTGTGGGGAAATGTGCTCTGAGCGCCAGAAGCTCAGTTATGTCACTCCTTGCCTGCAGAGCCACCACCCTTCAACCCTTTTCAAAAACCCCTCCCTTGTGGAGTGTTCCCTTTTTTCTCTCCTTGGAAGTTCTCCAGACAGCAGCTCCGCCTCCCTCCCCAAAGAGAGGTGCCTTCTCACACTGCTCCACAGTGGCCTGGGAAGAGGATACCCCCAGCCTTAGTGGCCCAATGGAGAATGGCCGAGGGTGAACCTGAGGCCAGCAGCAGTGCTGCCAGGCCTGCATGGCGGAAAAGCACCCTTTCAGTGCTGGGGACTCAGCTCCCAGGCAGGCTTTTCACACAGCAAGCACAAGAAAGGCCAGTGTGGCATCTGCTGGCCTGCCCGCCCGCCCGGCCTCTCACTTGTGTCCATCCATTCCCAACAGCAAGGGCTGGTGGACTGGCTGGCTGGGCTCCCTCACCCACATGTATGCTTACTCTGAGGCTGCCTCAGTTCCTGGCAACCAGCACCTCTTGGTCAGCCCCAGAGGCACCATTCACCTGAGGAGTTTGTAGCCAGAGCTCTGCAACAAACAACCATGCAAGCCTTTGGGAGGCAGAGACACAAGAGGGCATCAGAGGAGGGAAGGAAGGAAAGAGGGATGGAGGCCAGTTTTGCCTGCAGCACCCTTGACAATTATTCAAGGCACCCCAGGGTTCCATGGCACACTGGTTGAAAATCTCGGCTTTAAGAAGTGTCTCTCTAGTAAAAAATATATATATATCCAGGGGTCTAATTTTCCACAGAAGGTTTTAGGTCTGTGCACTCCCCATTGAATTCTGGTGATAACAGGGGTATGGTCTGAGATATTAAGAAGACCAATCTCGTGAATTATGAACCTGAGAGTCAAGGCCTTCTGTGATTAATAAATAATCCAATCTGGCATACTTTTTGTATCTTGCTGACATATGTGTATAGTTTCTTAGTTCTGGATTGGCTATGTGCAAAGCATCAAAGTAATTGTGTTTATGTAATATGTAGGATATTTTGAAAAAGACTGTTTACATGGGTTTTGTGATAGGTGAGATGTTCTGCTTTTATCAAAATAATCATTGAGTACAAGATTTAAGTCACCATCCATCACCACTTCACCTCAGTGTGTAAATGAGTGCAGCAGCAATGTAAAAAGTTTCATCCAGAAACTGTTCTTGTTGGGTATTAGGCACATAAATAGAGCATAATGTCAGCCAAGAGTTAGCTAACAGACCTTTGAGGAAGATAAATCTTACATTAGGGTCACTTAGTATATCTTTTAATTGAAAATCAAGTATGGGAGAAATCCAGATTCCTGACTCCCTACTTTTGGAAGTACCTTGTGAGATGTACAATGTCCACCTCTACTTTTGAGGAAGGATTTTGCATCAGTATTGTATTTCTTTTTTAAAAACACACACGAATAACTTGTTAAAAAAAAAAAAAGGTCTGGGGTATCTCCCTTTAAAGCAGACCTTACCCATATTCTTCTTTTGGTTGGTGCACCCAGGCAATTCCAAGTTACTGCAGTTAACTATGGCAGTATAAGGTTAATTTAAAATTGTACAACATATACCAGGCAACAGATCTGCAGTCATGGGAAAAAGAAAGTGCACCCTATTTGAATTCTGTGTTTCACATATGAAGACATAATAGCAATCATCTGTTCCTTAGCGGGTCTTAAAATTAGGGAAATACAACCTCAGAGGAACAACAACACATGACATACTACACTGTGTCATTATTTATTTAACAACCAACCTTCCCAACAGAATAATCTCTACATGATTGAGAGCAGAATAGTCCCATCTCTTTCTTCATGAGCCAAATGCTCATAAGCTGAAATTAGGGTTGTTACTCAACTAAGTTTCACTCAGAGTAGACCCACTAAAATTAATAAACATGACTAAGTTAGGCTCATTAATTTCAGTGGGTTTACTCTGAGTATAACATAGTTTTTTATATTTTTGTTTAAGTTTTGTAACAAAAGACAAAGCCACTCACAACACAAAACTACACTTTTTTCTAGTCCATTATTAAGAATATCCTTTCAAAAAGCATGTAACACTAATCAAACTTATTTGATGCATTCTTTCAATTTTGCTGTAGGATACCAGAAGGTCCTATTGATCAGGGCCCTGCTGCAGGAAGAGTTCATGCTTTAGAAGAACAGCTAATAAAGGCCAAAGAACAGATAGAAAACTATAAGCAACAAACAGGAGATGGTTTGTATATGACTATTTTGTTCATAATTCTACAAATGCATTTTCTGTCTAGAGGAAAACTAACGTTGACAATTCTGTACCTTTTCCTTTTTTTTTAGTGGGCTTAGGAAAAGATCATGAAATATTGAGGAGGCGGATTGAAAATGGAGCCAAGGAGCTTTGGTTTTTTCTCCAGAGCGAATTGAAGAAACTTAAAATATTGGAAGGAAGTGAACTCCAAAGGCATATTGATGAACTTGTATCTGACTTGGGTAATCATGAAAGGTACTAATAACAACTACTGCTGAGTTTTTGCTGTGCTGTTATTATTTAATTTGTATACCACGCTTCATCCATAGATCTCAGGAATCTGAAGAGAGCAGGAGGTGCCAGACCGACTGGTCTCCCTTGGAGCTGGTTCCCTCTGGTTGGCTGGCTGTCTTCCCTTTTGGCTCCCTTTCTCCTCTTCATTCCTGCTGATGGCCTTGGCACCTTGCAATAGCTACGATGTACCCTCTCTTTTTCCATGCGCTGCTCTGGTTTGCCAGAAGCGGCCTAGTCATGCTGGCCACATGACCCGGAAGCTGTACTCTGGCTCCCTCGGCCAATAAAGCGAGATGAGCGCCACAACCCCAGAGTTGGCCACGACTGGACCTAATGGTCAGGGGTCCCTTTATCTTTTACCCTCTCTCTGCTCTGGCTGCTTTGCATGATTCACCTCAGCCAGCTGACAGGCACTTAATTGCCCGGCGCCTTCTTTTCCTCCTTGTGCCCCTCTTTCCTTGCTTAGTTGACCAGCTGCTTTTTCACCTTGGCTGCCCCTGCTCCTTTGACCATATGCCCATCTTCACCCCTATCCCTGAGATCTCCAAGGCTGCCTGCTCCTTTGCCCACAAGCCCATTTTCTTTCGGCCACCCCAGAGATCTCCAAGGCTGCCTGCTCCTTCCCTCGTATGCCCCATCTCTACCCTCGACCTGCGGATCTCCATAGCTGCTCTTCTCCCCACCAGCATGCGCAATCTTAATGTCCACCTTTCATGTTTTAGACATTGTGATATATCACTATATTGCAATGTTTAGCTGGTGATATATCACGATGTTGAAAATCAGATATCGCCGATGTTGAAAATCAGATGTTGCCCAGCCCTAGTGGTTAACATTGTCCTTCACAGGCAACATGGAAATTGACTGTAGACACTCAGTGGGTTTCATAGTAGAAGCAGGTTGGCTCAAGGGTACTAGCTGTGAATTATACCCGACGGATGTAGATGGGTACCTTGAACAATGAAATCAGATTTTTGGGAGGTACAGGGGCCTTCAGTGGGAAGGAGAAGGCAAGTGTCCTGTGTGATTGTCTGGAGGCAGTTGGAGGATGGATGGCAGCTAACGGATTGAGGTTGAATCCTCACAAAACAGAAGTACTGTTTCTGTGAGACGGGGGGGGGCTGGTGTGGGGGAATACCTGGTCCTGAATGAAGTAACTGTGCCCCTGAAGGACTACAAACGCAGCCTGGGAGTCATCTTGGATTCACACCTGTCCATAAAGGCGCAGGTTAATTCTGTGTCCAGGGTGACTGTCTACAAGCTCCATCTGGTACGCTGGCTGAGACCCTACTAGCCTGCTCAGTCTTGCCAGAGTGGTACATGCCCTGGTTAAGTCTTAATTGGACTGCACTTCAATGTGCTCAGTGTGGGGCTACCTTTGAAGGTGACTGGTGACTGGGAGCAACCGCCGGGATCATATAAATTCAGTCCTGATATACCTACATTGGCTCCCATTAAGAGCACAATACAAAGTGTTGGTGCTGACCTTTAAAGACCTATATAGCCTTGGCCCTGTATACCTGAAGGACCATCTCCACCCCCATCATTCAGCTCGGACACTGAGATCCAGCACCAAGGGCCTTCACTGTGAGAAGTGAGGTTACAGAGAACCAGGCAGAGGGGTCTTCTTGGTAGTGGTGCCCACCTCAGATATCAATGAGATAAGTATACAACCTTTAGGAGACATCTGAAGGCAGCCCTGTACAGGGAAGTTTTATATATATATATATATATATATATATATATATATATATATATGCTGGAAGCTGCCCAGAGTGGCTAGGGCAACCCAGTCATATGGGTGGGGTACAAATAATAATATTATTTATTTATTATTATTTTATCATTAAGTGTCCTCTACAAGCAGGGCACTGCTTGCTCTTGTTAGGATTCAAGTCATTGTTTCAGACCTTTTGTTGACAGCACCCAGGTTTTTCTGTATGTGTGACACAAAACTTTCTCAAACCCTTTCTACAAAAGTCATACTATAAAATACCATATTGCCAGCCATGAATGCAGAAACTCTAAATGTAAAAAATAGAGAGAAGCTAGAGCATAAAGTTGTGTTTGAGTTTCTTCTTTGTTTCAGCATCTATTTTTAAAAGTATTGGCCCATGTAGTGTCTTCCTTACTACTACTATTATTATTATTACCCGCCCTTCACCAATAAGCCCTAGGGCAAATGTTTGTAATCAGAAGCATCCAAACCATTCCATTAACTGATTTTAAGAACCAAGGTATGGGATTAAATAGAGCTAAACTCTGAATTAAGGGAGCAGTTCTAAACTGTCTGAGAGGGCATCTGGGGCATTCTTGGATATTTGTGACTTTCTCTCTCAGCCTGTGGGAGGGATGCCCCCCTGAGGTCCCTGTGCGGTGATGAAAAGCTCTGCTGCCATTGCTCCTTCACTGTTCCAGGTAGGAGAAGAAAAGTGGCATGTTGGAAGGCTGTTACAGGGGACACTGGATCCTTGGGATCTAAAGTCCTCTTGTTCCCTCAGCATTCCCCTGACAAGCAAGGGAAACCTCACAGCCGTGGAGCTGGTGTAGTTTTGCAGCGGGAGGTAGAAAATTTTAAAAGCAAAATGGAGGAGAAAATAGATACTCTTCCACCTTCTGCCCTTGCCAGTGCAAGTCTTGCAAATATGTGATTTTGTCTTTAGGTGCAATCCATGGGACGTAACCGCCACATAAGTTGCAGGCTTACTATATTGGGTGTTTTAAGATTGTGTTTTAGCATACCATTCTGTACTGCAAAGTTCAGTAAATGTCTGTGGAGGACTATTGTCACCCCTCCAAGCAGTGTGCCTCCATAGACAATGGGGAGATACGTTTTCATTGTGAGCTCCTCGACTGAGGCAATGTCCAACAGACCAGTTTTTTTTTGGTTGTTGTTGTGAAGGGGTTACTATAGGGATGCTTTTATCTTTTGAATATATGGGTTTTGCTTAGAATCTTGCATATTAGATGTCTTAATCAGCTGTGACTCTGAAGGTCATACACCTTTTTTTGGAACCACATGTTCCTCAACTTTGTATGTTTCCTCTAATATTGGTGGCTTGGGCACCTATATTTTCATTTAGCAATCTTTATATATACTACTTGTTCTGGAACATAGAGAGAATAATAGAAAACGATATTTGCAATCAAACTTGAGAACTTAATTTCACATAACAAAAATTTTGGTAGCCTCATGAGACTACGCTAAGGAATTTCCTCTTTGGCCTGTTAAAAGTTATACAAAATAAAGCTATATAATTTGTTGCCTTATACTAAATTGATTTCTTTGGATATGTTTACTGCTAAAGAGGTGGTCTTTCTGGGTGTATATTTCATCTTGAGAATAACTGCCAAGGTGCAAAAATCTCATAAGCTATAAAACCAAATCTAAGTCGGCTGTAATACTGAAAATGATATATTTTTTGCCAGTCTTGCGTTCTAACTGGATTAATTTGTTTACCTCGATGTTCAGTAACTGTACACTTACCTTGACAACAAGAACATATTAAATTTGCCTGATCTAGATCTGGCATTAAAGTTAACAGCATGTGGATCATTATTTACAACCCTGGTCATTTCTGTAAAGCTGATACTTCTATGATGTTTTGCAGATGTATGTGATTGGCTCCAGATGCAGATTGGATTTCTGAGTTGGTGAAAATACTTGCTACCGATGTTGATGACCTTAATGTTATATATTAAACACAATAATCCCTGCTTTTACTAAAGATTTATTTGTTTCATTCAGTATAAATTGAAAGCAAGTACAGCTGAAAGCTTATATGCAGTGCAAATATTTAGATGTCAAACCTGTTCTAAGTTTTGTAGACTAAGGTGCAATTTATCCCCACTTTCTTCCACTTACACACTAACACATATTTAACACCCCCCCTGGACATATCTAAATAATGGCCCTGGCACATTGAGAGCATTGGAAACTGTCTCATACCATGTCGGACCATGTCCATCTATCCCAGTTTAATCTTAACTTCTGGTCGTTGCCCAGTATTTCTGGCAGAGTTCATTCCCATCACTCCTACCCATCACTTGTTATCTGATTCTTTTAATTGGTGGTGCCAGGCATTGAATATGAGACCTTTTTGAATACAAAGTATGTGCGCTACCATTGAACTATAGTTCTGTCTCCTGAGGTTTGCATTTACAAAGGCAACCAGAACCCTAAGCCCAGTGCCATTCTCTCTGCATGCAAAAGGCTTGATGAACCTGAGATGGATCATGCATTAAGATTATAGCAGACAAATTTTTTTGGGGGGCAGGTACTATTTAGTCCTAAAATAACCTGAGATTCTCTAATAATTGAACAGACCAATTGCATCTAATTTGTTTACCTAATGTGATTTTAAAAATACCCGATAATGAAGATTATGCGGCTGCTTGAGTAGATTATGTAATTCCATGAAATCTGATACTCACCACGAATTCCTATTCAGTTGCACTCAGGGTCTTATGGTTTATTGAGCCTTTGACATGCTGGTTTTACCTTATAACTGTATTTATTGGGCAATTATTGATCCTCCACTAAAAGAGTGATAGGGAGCATTGTGCCCTGTATTTTGGATTTGATACAATATACTATGAGATGTTGGGAATGCAGTTGCAGGATATGGCAAAGATTTGTGGGAGTCCTGTTGAGTAATTCTGGATATTGTTGGCCAGGAAATTTTAGAGAACGTTGTTGCTGCCATCACCATAGGACCTCTGTGTGTCACTTTAAGCTTTGATTCTGTTTTTCCTTCCTCTGCCATTCTCCTTCAGGATGTATTCTTTGCATTCTGGGATTTGGCAGTATTAGTCTGTTGATAATTCACAGATATCTCTTGAATCCCAGGCAGCTGCCCTGCTGAGTTATCATGCAAGCCTAGTTGAATCTGTCCTTAACCCATTGAGAGTGTTTGTCCTGGGCTTAGCTCAGGTGAAGTTCACATCAGGCATTCTCCGACATGCACTCCAATGCCATACATGTTGGTACATGGCAAGTAGCACATAGACATATTGTGCTCAAAGTTATTCTCAGCACTGCACAGCCCAGCCTATCATGGTGATAGAGAATTTCACTGAGAGTTTTTTTGAGGGAGTGGATGTTGGTTTGACCAGCTGCCATTTATTTATTTATTTATTTATTTGGTGATAAATATAGCCAGGTCTGTATCAACACCTTTACCCCTTCTTTGCATTCTGTATGAATGGGAGAGCCATGAATAATTCCTAAGTAAAGGTAAAGAAGGCACCCTCTGAAACTGCTTAGGGGGGAAAGGGCGAGGCTTTAGATATAATTTTGTGGGGTTTGGGGTCTATTACTAGTTGGCGAAGGTCTAGCACAGGTGTCAGGAACCTGTGGCCTTTCAGGTGTTGCCGAACTACACTTCCTATACTCCCTAACAATTGGCCTTGCTTGCTAGGGCAGAATGGAGTTGTACTTCAACATCTGGAGGGCCAAAGGTTCCCAGTCCTATCTTAACCCAAATAGTAAGAACCTGCAGCACTTCTAAAATGTGTTCAGAATTTGTAAGCCTGCTGAGAAGGAACTTTCATTACTGTGGAGCAACCATTCTAACTCTTCATTTGTCATACAGATTGTATGCCTCTTCAGTGCTTTTTTGGTTGTTCTTGAAACAAATGTATGGATACTAGTTAAGGTACAATTTCTTGTGTGGTGTTCAAGTAGTTTTTAACTAAGCTATAAACTCTGGGTATAATTATACACATTCATAGTTTTTTGTCTGTCACCTCCCCCCAAAATGGATTGAGTGGTTTGAGTTGGTTACTGCTCAGAACTAAATTTATTAGTATGCACTGATGGTTTGTGTCTTTTTCAACAATATTGAGTTGGCCTGCTGATTCCCTAACTGCCTATAATTTCCACCATGAACCTATACTTTCTTCTCTTTTGCCAACACCTCTCCTTGACACTCTAAATGGATCAGAGTACTGGTTTTTAGTCCACCTCTCTGCCTGTTATCTGTAAACTGAAAACTTTTCACAATACTTTAAACAGCAGGGAGATTGTGTATTAAACCTATATGCATATTTTCTTAATGTTTGATGGTAGCAACTCATTTTGGCTTCCAAGAGAGATTATTATGTTGCTCTAGCTGCACCAAAAGATTTGTTTTATTATTATTGTTTTTGGTGCTTAGGGGAAATCAATTCCAATTCTGTTTGTGCATGTGTGTGAGCTTGGTTTTCTCATCCCTAAACTGTTCAAATATTTTGCTTAAATCAATTTGAGATTGCTAAATTTATTGAAGGTGAATACATGTGCACATACAGATATTTGGCTCTGGAAGTTGAGGGAAATCGATTTTTAAAAATTCCTATTTTAAGATCTTATAATCCTCATTTAGTTTTCATTTTGCCAGTGATTCTTCTGATTGGTTAAGTTAGCCACTAAGGTTGTTTGTTTGCTTTTTTAAAAAACAGGTCAATAATGACAGATTTGTACTACCTCAGTCAAACAGATGGAGCAGGTGATTGGCGAGAAAAAGAAGCCAAAGATTTGACAGAGCTGGTACAGAGGAGAATAACTTACCTTCAGGTAAGAATTATGGAGAAAGTGTCCTTGAATAGAAAGAAATTAAAGTAGGATTTCCTGAAGGAACATTTAATTCATGCTAATATAGAGCAGTGTGAGAGTACATAAGGCACCAGAAAAATATATGTATTTACCAGGGTTAAAGCAACTTCAGTGATTAAAATAATGAAATTAGTTTATTTAATACGTGTTTGGACATTAAGTAAGAGAGCATTTGGTAAGTTTTATAGATCAAATTTATTTGCTGTTTGTGTTCAATTTCTGTTGAAGTGCATTTCCAGTCACTTAGCTATGAGAAATTGCTATACCTTTCATCAATATACTTTCTGGTTTTATCATTTTTACTAAATTAAAAAGAAGAAAATCTCTTTGGCTGTTCAGTATTTTGTCTGGATAACATTTTTTCTCAGACTTTGAGGGAAATTTGTAAGGTATGTTCTTTTGGATTGAATCACATATGCAAATTCCATAAGTCCATGGCCCATCAGCCACTAACTTTATGGTTAAAAGGACATAGTGACCATAGTATCCAGGATGTTATGCTTGGTTGTCCCATGGCAAATACTTTTCTGGTGACATCTTTAAAAATCATGGTACTACTGCAAGAGAGAAGGAAGTGCCCATTCAAACATGACCTTAGAGACACTTCATGCAGTACTTTCTCTGACATCGTGATTAGTTCTAATCAGAAAAAGTATTTAGAATTATTTTAAGAAGAGGTATGTTTGTTTGTGTGTATGTATGTGTGCCTTGGTACACATATTGAGAAGCAAATTAATGTAGAGGTGCAGAACCCATGCAGAACCCATGGCCTTCTAGAGGTTGTTGGACTCCCAACTTGCCATCAGCACCAGCCATCATACCCAATGGCCAGGTATGATGGGAGTTGTACTCCAGTAACATCTGGAGGACCTTAGGTTTTTTCATGTTGAAGAACATTTTAAGGAAGGCTTTTATGTTCAAGACTAAAACAATGGGCAAGATGATCTCCTGAGGGAGCATGATTTTCCAAATGAGGCTGCTCTATACATGTGCATGGGACGCAGGTTAAACCACAGAGCCTAGGACTTGCCGATCAGAAGGTCGGCAGTTCGAATCCCCATGACGGGGTGAGCTCCCATTGCTCGGTCCCTGCTCCTGCCCACCTAGCAGTTCGAAAAGACGTCAAAGTGCAAGTAGATAAATAGGTACCACTCCGGCAGGAAGGTAAACGGCGTTTCCGTGCACTGCTCTGGTTCGCCAGAAGTGGCTTTGTCATGCTGGCCACATGACCTGGAAGCTGTACACCGGCTCCCTCGGCCAATAAAGCGAGATGAGCGCTGCAACCCCAGAGTCGGCCACGACTGGACATAATGGTCAAGGGATCCCTTTACCTTTACCTTTATACATGTGCATATTTAAATAATTCTGGAATGATATAGCTAAAGTGGCAAACTTATACCTGCTGACCTCAGAATAAGCCCCAGTGAACTCAATGGATCTTCTGAGTAGAACTATTGTAATTGCATTTTTAGGAAACATGCTTTAGGACTAAAGTGATAGCAGCCACGGTCCAGAGGACTGAGAAGCTGGGGGTCCAGTGAGGTAGGCTGGGGTGTGGAGGTCTTTACACAGGACTTGTCGACATGAGAGATTGTCTGTTGTTAATGCTTAAGTCATAAAAATCAGTAATGCTAAGAATTTGCCAAATAATTGTCCGCAAATCATTAGCAAATGTATGCTTTAATAGACATATCTGCTTTATATTAACATGTTGTACAATTGGCACCTCATTTTAAAATTTAAAGTAAACAATTGAAAAAAAATGAACTTTATTATATTCTTGGGAATATTTTGCATACCGTATTTTTCGCACCATAGGACGCACCGGACCATAGGACGCACTTTGTTTTAGAGGGGGGAGAGCAAGAAAAAAAAATCTCCCCCTCTCTGCCCCGCGTCCCTACCGCGAAGTGGCAGGAGGCGCGGCCAAGAGGGGGAGAACTTTCTCCCTCGTGTTTTCCCGCTCTAAAACAAGGTGCCGTTTAAGGTGCGGACAGGCGGCTACCTTGGAAGCCTGGAGAGCGAGACCCCTCGCTCCTCCAGGCTTCAGGTTCCTCGACCTGCTCTTTGGGGCTGGCGGGGGGAAGCCCACCGCCAGCCCCAAAGAGCAGTTCAGGGAGCAGCGGAAAGGCGCAGCGGAGAGGCTCCTGCCATAGCCATGCGTCACCTCTCCAGCCGGGAGAGGGTCGCTGGGCTATGGCTTTTAGCCCCGCGCGCTCTCCCGGCTGGAGAGGTGACGCGCGGCTATGGCAGGAGCCTCTATAGCCGCCCGTCACCTCTCCAGCCGGGAGCCGGGCTGCAGCCTCGCGCTCTCCCGGCTGGAGAGGTGACGGGCGGCTATTGAGGCTCTTGCCATAGCCGCCCGTCACCTCTCCAGCCGGGAGAGCGCGCGGGCTGAAGCAGCCCCCCGCGACCCTCTCCCGGCTGGAGAGGTGACGGGCGGCTATGGCAGGAGCTTCTAGAGCCGCCCCTCACCTCTCCAGCAGCCCCGCGCGCGCCTCCCGGCTGGAGAGGTGACGGGCGGCTATGGCAGGCTCTGCCATAGCCGCCCGTCACCTCTCCAGCCGGGAGAGCGCGCGCGGCTGAAGCAGCCCCGCGCGACCTCTCCCGGCTGGAGAGGTGACGGGCGGCTATTGAGGCTCTTGCCATAGCCGCCCGTCACCTCTCCAGCCGGGAGAGCGCGCGGGCCAGCAGAGCTCACAGCCGCCGTCACCTCCAGCAGCCCGCGCGCGACCCTCTCCCGGCTGGAGAGGTGACGGGCGGCTATAGAGGCTCTTGCCATAGCCGCCCGTCACCTCTCCAGCCGGGAGAGCGCGCGCGGGGCTAAAGCAGCCCCCCGCGACCCTCTCCCGGCTGGAGAGGTGGCGGGGGGCTATGGCAGGAGCCTCTATAGCCGCGCGTCACCTCTCCAGCAGCCCCGCGCGCGCTCTCCCGGCTGGAGAGGTGACGGGCGGCTATGGCAAGAGCCTCAATAGCCGCCCGTCACCTCTCCAGCCGGGAGAGCGTCGCGCGGGCTGCAAGCAGCCCCGCGACCCTCTCCCGGCTGGGAGAGGTGACGGGCGGCTAGTGAGGCTCTTGCTCTAGCCCCGCGCGCGCCTCCCAGCTGGAGAGGTGACGGGCGGCTATGGCAGGCTCCTGCCATAGCCGCGCGTCACCTCTCCAGCCGGGAGAGCGCGCACGGGGCTAGCAGCCCCGCGACCTTCTCCCGGCTGGAGAGGTGACGGGCGGCTATGGCAGGAGCTTCTATAGCCGCCCGTCACCTCTCCAGCAGGCCGCGCTGCGCTCTCCCAGCTGGAGAGGTGACGGGCGGCTATGGCAAGAGCCTCAATAGCCGCCCGTCACCTCTCCAGCCGGGAGACGCGCTGGGCTGGCTAGCCGCCGCGACCTCTCCGGGCTGGAGAGGTGACGGGCGGCTAGTTGAGGCTCTTGCTTTAGCCCCGCGCACGCTCTCCCGGCTGGAGAGGTGACGGGCGGCTATGGCAAGAGCCTCAGCTAGCCGCGCGTCACCTCTCCAGCCGGGAGAGGGTCACGAGCAGGAGTCTTCGCTCCATAGGACGCACACACATTTTCCCTTCATTTTTGAAGGGAAAAAAGTGCGTCCTATAGAGCGAAAAATACGGTATTTCTTAAGGCAGTTTGTTGGAAGTTGTAGTATCATTTCAGTTTGCATCTTGATAGAAATGGTTACAAATCAGCGAACAGTTAAGCTGTATAATATGCAAGCAATTTGAACTTGGTTTTGCCATGTTTGTGGTAATTTAAATCTTATCTCTAAAATTCTGCCTCATGATTCTAAACAAAGCAGTCAGTACTATGGAATTGTGACCATGTAAAAATTTGAAGTGCATTAGTTTTCAAAAGACACTAGACAACTCATGTAATACATTTTCCTTAAAAGTATTTAGGTAAGATAAAAGCCATTGGAAAATGCTACTATTCCAATTTTAATATGCATATAGAGCAGTGCTCTCTAGGGATGAAAAAAAAAGGAATTCTTATGTGAATTCTTGTTTCTGGATTGGGCTGAAGGACATTCCTCTGATGGGGTGACATCTCCTGGTGGTGGTATCCTAGAAAGTTTACTGCCTCCTCTCCAGGGGGTGGGGTCATTCCTGTGAACCACCCTGAGATCTATGAATGAAGGACAGTATACAAATTTAGTCAATAATAATCCCACTCACCAGAGCGATTCTCTCTATTGCCACTGCTGGTTGGGTCTGACTTGCTCTCTTCAGAGGCTTGTTTTCTTGACTTGTTTTTTGGTTTTATTGCCAGCCTGAGCCGGCATAAAAGTTAATTACAACTTGATTTCATATTTTGCTAGGATTGTGACCATTCCAGTTGCTCAATTTTACTTCAATATCAATTCATTATGGGTGGAATCCATTTGGTATTATTGTGCCCAGGGAAGGGCTTGGGCCAAAGCAATCAAACAATGCAAGTGATCCAGCTGAGGCATCAGGTAATGGAAGAAGAAAGGTTATTTTTGCCATTTCCTCCTACTGTCTCCAGTGCCCCTGAAAATCAGCTCCAGAGAGTCGGGGAACCTTCCTGAACAAAGTAGAAGGTGGCATGGAATTTCCTCCTCTTCCCTTCCATTAGCAGATGCCACCACTGGTTCACTTATATTGTTTGTATGGCACGAACAATGTCAGATACAATTTAATAGTCTTCTTTTTCTCTTCATTAAGCTGAGTTCCTGCAAAACTGAAGTATCATAATGTACGTTCTCTGCAGAATTTTGAATTTCTAGTTTAAAGTGCCTTAAACAAATGGTTATCAGAGTGTATTTGTTTCTTTTATATTCAGTAAATAAAATTGAACCTATACATGTTAATTTTCATGTTGTATAAAGATCTGAAAAGTTCTTTCAGTAGCATTTGAGCAGAAAATTTTGATTAGAAAATATTAGAAAAATGTTCAAGTCTGCTTACTTGAACAACATTCATATAATCTAAAAGCTTTGCTTGAGGTTTTTTAAAAATTAGAATACATGTGAATACCTTAAAACACGTTGAAAACTAGGTGGATCGTGGGTTCCCCCAATCCTGCTGTGCCACTTCATCAGCTGGCCAGAGCCTGCCCAGCTGTCAGTCACCTGGTGTTACTATGACAAAAGGCAACCCAGTTTTCCTTTGTAGCATAGCGAATTATGCAGCAAAAGAAAAGCCAAGGATTGAAGTAACCATGGGGAACTTGGTAGCGAAGCTGATCCCAACAGGCTTTCTCTCACTGCTGATCTGCTGATCAGTTCATCAGCGCTGACAGTAAGCCTGCCTTGCAAATGTACAGTTTGGAGTGTTTTTTAATGCTCCTGATTGTGCACTGGCAGCTGTGTCTTCACCTGTGCCCCCTGCCCCACATCATATCACATCTGATGTCAGGTGTGGGACAGGTAGACATGCTTTGTGGGAAACAGCCTTGTGAACAAAGTTGGCATCTTTGCCAGGCTTAATTAGGTCTGTAGGCCAGAGCTTTCCTGTTGCTGTTGTAATACATGATCATTCAAAAACATGCATTTCTCTTAAATTGTTTAAAGGGGGAGAAAGCATTCTGTATAAACTTATCATTTCAATGAGTAGTGTTAGATATCTGTTATCTAAAAGATATCTAAAATAGATAGATATCTAAAAGAAGTTAACCTGAAAAAGAAGTTATCTTTGAAGTGCTGCAGTTGGTATTTATTTTATTATAGAATACTCATATCCCGTTTATTCACCACTCAGGGCAGCTAGCGACATTTAAAATCAGTAAGAAATAGAATATTTTTTTTTAGAAATAATAATTAAAAAGTTGAATCCAGCATTGCCCAAATGGAGATCTTCTTGGATAATGGGACTTCTTCCTCTCCTCTCCCCATACAGCACCACGTGCTTCCCCAGAATTGCTGTGGAGGGTCCCCCACCTTCTAAAACACGTGGGAGGCTGCAGGGAGGAGGACAGGAAGTGGAAGTCGTATTGTCAAAGTGGAACTCAGTTTGGATGCAAACCATAGACAAGCAGCAGCAGCTAAAACATAGCTAATACATGCTAATTACTGTCAGAGCCCGTAGTGTTGATGACCAACACCAACCTCATACTTCACTGATCTACAAGACCACCTACAGGGTAACATTAAGGTCAGTAGTGAACACTATTTCCTGGGATACGACTTCTGGACATAGATCAGCATCTGGTGGTCCAGATCTAGATCTGGCCCTGATTTGCTTTGGAGTGATCTAGTAATCCAAATATTGTACAGTGGTACCTTGGGTTACATACGCTTCAGGTTACAGACTCCACTAACCCAGAAATAGTACCTCAGGTTAAGAACTTTGCTTCAGGATAAGAACAGAAATCATGCTCCGGTGACGCGGCAGCAGTGGGACGCCCCATTAGCTAAAGTGGTGCTTCAGGTTAAGAACAGTTTCAGGTTAAGTACGGACCTCCGGAATGAATTACATACTTAACCCGAGGTACCACTGTACTTAACCCGAGGTACCACTGTAGTCCCATTCACTTGCGTTGGGAAACCAAACCAGACACTACTATTAGGTTTTTACACATGAGTGCATCAAATTAGAAGAAAAGATAGCCCCCAAAAGAGTGAATTAACCCTGCTAAATTTCAGATAGGTAGGTCCAGGGGATTTTATGCTAGGGGGTTTATTTTTCAATAAAGAAAGTATTTTAAAAATACTGTACTACATTGGTGTATATATTTCACTGATATGTGCTTATACACTGATTCTGGTATGTGTAAAGAATCATGAAATGTCTGGGGAAGGTTATTAACATGTTTCTTTGAGTCATGAAAATTGTGTTTGCTTGTGTGGCTATGCATTTAAAACTTTTAATTTTCTAAAACTGGCACTTTGCCAATAGTACCCAAAGTAATATGGAACAAAATAAATAGAAACAATACAGTATTGTTAAATAACCTCACTAAAACCTAACACAAACAATTAGATAATGCAAAGCAGACAGCAAAAGGAATCCCATCTATTCTCTACCTGAGATGCAACGTTCTTGTATGCAGAGTATGCACTGTGCCATGTGAAGTATGGCTCCCTAAAATGAGTCATGTTGATAATAATCCAACTCGGTTCATTTTTGTAGGAAGTGAAAAACATGCCTCTGACCTGGTACAAATTTCCATGGGGGTGGGTATAATGTGCAATAGAAAGTGGTATTGCAAAGACACAGTACAGTGGTACCTCCAGTTACGAACTTAATTTGTTCTGGAGGTCCGTTCTTATCCTGAAACTGTTTCTAACATGAGGTGCACTTTCGCTAATGGGGTCTTCCACTGCATGTGCGCCTCCGGCATGCGACTTCCGCTTGCACCTCGGGGCAAAGTTTGCTACCAGGAGCACCTACTTCCGGTTTAGCGGAGCTTGTTACCTGAAGCGTTTGCAAGGAGGACGGTACGTAACACGAGGTTCCACTGTACCTTGTGCCTTAGAGGAGAACAGACTGTAGACAAGAGGATAGGTGGTGCAGGAAAGGTAGATAAATATTAAATGAACAGTTGGATTTTAAAGTGTCACCCAGGAAGAACTGGAAAGGACAAGAAGTCCATGACTACAGCCGAATCAACCAAAATTCCTTTTCTTAATTGCTGCCTATATTTGTTTTGATTTTAACTTGATTTATTTAATACCCCAATTGTATTGCCTTCTCCAGAAAACTGTTGTTCAATTTTATTCTCATAGCAGTGTTTTAGACTAGGTTAGGCTGAAAGATGGTAACTTGCTCAAGGTCAAGCAGTGAGCCTTATATTTGCATGGTAATTCTAACCCATTCACAAATGGTGGAGTTTGGCAATTGCAAGGGGGAGGCCTTCAAAATTTCAGGGAGCACATAACTCATGGCAAGAGTGGTACTTCCCTCTCATTTTCGCTGCTGGCCATTTAACTCTCCGCTCCCCGATGCTATCAAATGATGCAATTTCCAAGCATTCTGGGTAAAATATTGGCACCAGTGGCTGCTGAGAAAATCTCTGTTTCCATAAATAATAACACTAAAATAATGGCGGAAGGGAGAGATCACAAAATGACCTCAGTTCAGGAGTTTTGCACTCTCAAGTTTAAGCCAAAAGTTTTTTTCAGAGAACTTTGATCTCAGCACTGTTGGATTGGGATTTTGAGCTTGGGTCTCCTTGATCCAACTCCAGCTTTTATTAAACCAATTCTCACTTCATGTTGTACCACAAACTCAAGCAATCCCCTCCATTATACATCAGATCCTTAACATCCTTTTTGAAAACTATGATGTGCCTTTGTGTGTGTGTGTGTGTGCATCTGCATTTGTGCATGTGTGTGAGAGAATGTTAGTATGTGCATGTATGTTTTACTACACTCCTAGACCTTCCATTGTAGTAGTATCCAGGTCTGTATCTGCTGAACAGATTCTTGAGACTCCTTAAGGACTAACAAATTTCAAGCTTATGCCACAATAAATGTGTTAGTCTTTAAGCCACAAAGCTCTTTGTTCTCCTGGACTTGTCTTTTTATTCATACATCTGTTTCTTTGTCCTTGATATACAAAAATTAACATCCAAACAATTAACATTTGTTTAGTGTTAACAATACAGACAGAATTGCAGTAGGATGGGTGGGTGGTTATGCATGTTCACTGAAGCAAGCTAAGAAATTTGAAAACTAGCCATCTTCAATGGAGAACATTCCACTTTCAAAGCAGTACTGGTGGCACGTGAGCATTGAGACCAAAAGTTATAATGCTGATGAATTCAGAAATAAAACAGTAATTTAAAATCATAAAATCATTTTATTTTATATTAGCTTAGTGAAGAATGTACATAAAATTTTGACGGAGCAGAAGTCTATTCCTGTATTTGCATATGAATTATGATAATTGCTATATAATTTATGATAGTTCTCATTTGCTCTGAAAAAATTATTTCTTTTGTGTCTATAATGTCTTCATGTCTACTTTCTCATTTGTAGAACCCTAAGGATTGTAGCAAAGCCAAGAAACTAGTTTGTAATATCAACAAAGGCTGTGGTTATGGTTGCCAACTTCATCATGTAGTCTACTGCTTCATGATTGCATATGGTACTCAAAGGACGCTAATTTTGGAGTCACAGAACTGGCGATATGCTACCGGAGGCTGGGAGACTGTTTTCAGGCCAGTGAGTGAGACATGCACAGACAGATCAGGAAGTACTACTGGGCACTGGTCAGGTAAGTCCCATTTCATTACAGCTATTTTTCTTTCTTGCATAAGGGGCATGTTAAGAGAAATCTGATAACATTTCAGTCCCAATTACCATTTGGGACCCAGTCTGCCTTTCCATTGTAGAGGAAAGATCATTTATGTTAGGAAATAAAGAAAAGCAATGGAAAGAAGAAAAACGAATATTATCAGGTGGTTTGAGAATTTCCTCAGATCGCCCCATGCTTACTTGGCTGTTCTGATGTTTTTATCAATTGCTCAGACACAGAAAGTTGTATTCAACAGTGTGTGAATGGACTTCTCTGCCTGCGAAACAAATCTTTTATTCTTCTCCCCACACACCCCAAATCTGTTTCAGAGGTTTGGGAAGCCCCTTCAGTCAGATTTGGAGGGCACAGAGGAGGAGAGGAAGGGGGATGTTCCATTGAACAAGCAAAAGTCTGCTTATTTAGCGTTTGACCTTCTACTCTGGGTAGTATCATTCTTCTCATAGCAATTCAGATAATCTACTGGTCAAAAGAGTAGAGAATGGAGAGTTTTTTTTAATGATCTAAGGTACTGTTTCATGAAGCTAAGCCTTGTGATATAAGACTGAAGTTCAATGCTCTAACTCTGGTTCATCAGATGAACTTGGGAAGCTCACAGATGAGCATACAAGAGATATCCCTTGTTTTGGTCACATCATTTGAAAAGAAGATGTGTACCGTCAGTGAATGTTATGTCGTCTGGGGTTTTTTTTAAAATAAAAAAAAACTTTGGCTGGTAGCCAGTCATGTTATCAACAGTATCTAGGCTAGCCTTCAACCCTTGTTCTCTTTCTAATTGAATAGCTATATTAGGCATGTTGGCTGGAATCCAAAAGGCAATGGCGAGAGCCTTTCTGTATTCATTTGTATCAAAACAAGGGTCACTTATTGCACCAAAGAAATACATTGCTGAGAGCTGTTTATATATAAACAGTTTAAGAGATATGGGTAGGAATCTCAGCCTAGTATGGCATAGCAAATATTTAAAAGCATATTAGATATACCAGGCGTAAACATCTTGGTTGTCTGATCTTTGTTTGGATCTGATTTTATTGTGCTTCCTCTATACTTTATAGTTTTACTTCTGCAGAGATTGATCTTGTTGATAAAAAGCTGTGATGAAATTTCTCCTCTTGGAATTTTGTTCAAAAAGTAGCTCTGGGTTATCATCTGAACTACCAGGTGCTTGGCTGAAAATCAGTTACACTGAATACTTTATCTGGCGTATATAAGAGTTCCAGTTTGACCTATGTTTTAGTTAGATGACTTGTAGCTTTTGTTTCTCCTTAACTTGTCCTAGAATCCTGGCTTCTTCCTTCTTTCTTATTTAGGGTCACACTTCAAAGTGATATTAGCCACATAGTTCCATCCATAATTGAAGGGAGTCTTTTTGTTTTTGTTTTGACCAGTAGCCAGTGTGGAGGCTTAAATCAGATTGGGATCCTGGTAGAGAAAATAGGGGCTCTAACTCCCCCCCCCCTCACAAATACATACTGCAGCCTGATCTAGATCAAGGTCACCACACCTGAAATTTGCATTGCCCAAAAGGGGTGGTTTTTGGTTATACAAACTGTGGGTGCAGGGACCCTGATCTGTATCAGCCCACAGTGGGGAGGGCAAAAGGGTTAAAGCCACATTCTTTGCACATTAGGGTCCTGGTCTGGTTCAGGTCTCATGCTATTTGCTCCCAAACTCTTTGCATTTAATTTTTTATTTATTAAATTTCTATATCACCCTTCATCTGAAGGCCATAGGGTGGTTTACAATATAAAAATACAAAAATATATAGCATAATTTTTGGATTGGATAGCCATCTGTCATGGATGCTTTAGCTGAGATTCCTGCATTGCAGGGGCTTGGACTAGATGACCCTTGAATCCCTTCCAACTCTAAGATTCGATGATTCTATAAATAACAAACAAAAACAATACCCTCGGTTTAAAAGACCATTGATTTGTTTTAGAGCAGATATACACGACTAAGGGGTCATCCAAACTTACCTTTGTTCTGCACTTTCTAGTCATAAGTCTGCACTTTCCAGGTCGGTGATGGAATGGTTTGCTTGTTTTTGTCCCAGCGCTTTTACTACTGAATTGTTACAAACAGCAATCTGAGGGGAAAGCCCATTGCTGTTTGCTCCAATTCAGTGGTAAAATGTGGGGTTTCCTGGGGAAAGTGCTGGGACAAAAAAATAAAATAATAAAATAATAAAATCAGACAGACTTGGAAAGCCCAGACCTTTTGCCTAGATACACGGCACAAAAGGAAGTGTGGATGAGCCTGAACATTGCATGTAATTTGGCCCAAAGTTGCAGGAAGTCTTTCAGAAACACCTTTTTACACTACTTGAGTACTTGATAATGAACTACTTACTTTGAGCCAGTTACTGGTTTGTTTCAAGAAGTTCAATATGAGTCAAGGAATCTGAGATACTTTAGAGTTGGATTTAGCTGCTTCTCTGAAACAACGCTCTCTGAACCGGTTTCCAGGTTCGGTTTCAGGTTCGATTCGACTCTCTGAATTAGACTGCAGGATCCTCCAACTGCGAAACATCAGTACATGTAAGGTTATAAACACGTGTGTGTGTGTGTGTGTGTGTGTGAGAGAGAGAGAGAGAGAGAGAGAGAGAGAGAGACTCATTTTGAAGATGATTTGGAGTGAGTGAACAACATGCAACTTGTATTGAATTCATAATTTCAGACTGATAACATTTCCCTCTAGTTTGTGATTTGCTTGTTAGTGATTTGGGTTAGTGCCAGTTGGAAAGAGGCTTCTGTTCTCACCAGGGCTAATGGAGAGCAAATGGTGGCTTGAGCTTGTGTTGGCAGCTGACAAATGATCACATGTAAAATTCTGCATTAGCATACTTATGGAGGTCTTGGCCTCTCAATCCCATGAGAACAAGTACCGTATTTTTTGCACCATAACACTCACTTTTTTCCTCCTAGAAAGTAAGGGGAAATGTCTGTGCGTGTTATGGAGCGAATGCCTGCGGGTGGCGGGGGGGATCTGCTGCAGTCGTGAGCAGAGGATCCATGGTTCCCCTTCCTTCCCTCCTCCGTGGTTACAAAGCATGGATCCACATGGATCCTCAGGATTTTTGCATTGGGCTACTCCAAACTCACTGTCAGATCACATGTCTGTGGCCACAGCATGAACCACAAAAATCATATATCCACTATTTCGTTTAGAATATTTTTTTTCTTGTTTTCCTCCTCTAAAAACTACGTGCGTCTTATGGTCTGGTGCATGTTATAGAGCGAAAAATACGGTAATCTTTCACTGAGGGCAGCCAGTGGTATACTCAGGTTTGCTTCATCTGTGCAATTATAGTGAATCCATTCATTGTCCATTCATCTGTTGATTGAAGTTCCAGGACTATGAAGTTCCAGGGCACATGCAGAGTGTCATCTGCACAGAGTGCCTTATTGTCATAGTGAATCTTACTCTCTTATTTTGGGCTGAATGAACTGCTGCACAATTCAAACAAGAACACAAATAGAAAGCAGTTCTTTACTAGACTGCTCCCCTAACCATACAGGTGATTAAATTATATGGCAGGGTTTGTAACAGTCTTAAGATGGAATGTGGGAATTGTTAAAAGGTCTTGTTTTGCTGTCCTTGGTACAAAAAGGCACCAAAAACATCAGGGGCAGAGAAGCTTAGGCGTTCTCCCTCTGAAAAGAGTAGAACCTAGCAGTTAGTTCAGTTTTGTATTCTTCAATCCCTGAGCAGCATTTTATTTTTTGCACCAAAAATGGCCTTAACAGTAACATAACCTTATAAGGACCCATAGCTGAAGATCTTCCTTTGCACAACTAAGAAAGTCTAGCATAAATTAATGGTGACAGGAAGATGCCCCAGTTATGCTGAGTACTTGTGTTTGGAGTTCTGAAGCAGGGTAGCTTGAAACGTTAAACTTGAGAAGTGTTTTCAGTGTGCTCAAGTTTCTCTGTGTTCTGAGGCAAGACTTTTGTGGGAAATGCCAAAGCTTCCATCACCAGAGCTTCAAGTATACCCAACTGGAAAGAGATAGGCTTGTGCTGTGTGCAATGTCATTTCAAGCTTCCTGTCTGGAGTTTATAGACAGGTGTTGATGTGATTGAGTTTAGGTGTAAGGTTAGGGTCATCCCCAATCTCTTATTCTACAATGTGCCCAGCAGTGCAGGGGGCATTTTTAAAGTGTGTTTTTCTTCTCCATTGAATTGAGTGGGAGATATTTTTCTCCCGTCAGCTCTTGTCACTCAAAATCTATTTTGCAAGGAAAACTTCAAAACATGGGGGTGGGCGGGATTGTGTTTTGCTGCTCTCTGAAAGCAAAGTATTCATATTCAAATATATTAACTTCTTTCTTCCTGTTTCTTTGAAGTAATAAAACTTTTCAACTTAACTTGTGCACACAATAAATAGATATAACGATCTATGCCAATTCACATTCCATTAGTTTTCCTTTTGCTGTTTCTACGTAGACAAGAGCAGTGTGAGTTCAGAGGCAGTGAGCCCAGCTTCACTGGGGGCCAACAGTGTGCAATTACCAATAAAGACAGGGCAACAGTTTGGGATTAAAATGGCCACAATTTTATTGGTTACAAGATGTAAGAAGGCTTTTGGCAATAGGCGCTTGATATGTATCCTGAATCAGCCTAGCCTGATTGCTTGCTGATTGCCCGTTATGGTCAATCCTGGGTTAAAGGATCCCCCCATGATGCAGATCAAATGGGGAAGACCTGCTTGGCTGCCATTTGGGAAATTTTATGGCCTGTTAGTCCATTTCTGGGCCTCCAGACAAAACTTTTCCCATGGTCCGTTGCCAAGTGCATTGCCCACTCACAGTACAGCAGGAATGTAAGGTATGGAAGTGGACCTGAGTGAAGACAGGCTCCCCCAGGTCTTCCTCCAAACCCATTCCCCCTAGACTGGCCACGATTGACCGATTTGAATTTAAGTTTTGGTGGGATTTCCCAGAGCACCCTGCAACTGGCTAAGATTGTTAACAGTGCCGGCAGCCACATGGGTAAGGACACCTGGCTCCCCTGAGTCTGCACCAGTCTTCAATGGCTGCCATTGATGATATGGTAAGTGGCCCTTCTAATAAGTATGCAAAGGGACAAAAATTAAGAACTCCTTTAAAATTTGTTTTAGTATTTATATTCCTTATGCAGTGCTCTTTCATTGTGTTAACTTGCAGTCAATGACATTAAACAGCAGTTACTAAATTGTTTGTTCCTATCAAGCAGAGTGTAGTGCATTTATCTTCATACTAATGAACTGAACTGTCCCTGTTGGAAAATTTTAATTAATTTTGATTAGTAATTATTTAAATATGTTCAAAGCCTGGAATGGATGAAACAATTTATATAGTTACCTAGTGTGAAAATAATTAAGCAGTTTATCTATGTATTAAGAGGATTTTTATTTTTAAGTGCCATTGTTGATGTCTTTTCTATTTATGTACACTAGTCATTTGTGTGTATTCCAGTGGCTAATTAAATCACTTCTAGTATTAAGGGAAATAGCATGAATTCTAATAGGGTATTTGACTGTAATCCTTCAGCATTTAATGAGGTAGCACCCCCCCACCCCACTTTGTAGTCTTCTGGCAAAGAATCTTGGGATTTTTCCTATGAAGTTCAAGCTGGGTATTTCTAGAGAGTTGAGAAGACAACAGTTATGGTTGGATCTGTTGATCAACTTTAAGTGATAAAACAGCCAGAAAGACAAGTATATTTATATGGGAGTCCATCAACATTTCTAAAGTAAAACATTTCACCTGCCATTCCCAGTGGGGTTCAGGTGTGGACAGAGGGTTGACCAGCGGAGGCAAGACCTCCTCTGCATCAGCATGCTGACACAAACCATGCCAAAACCAGGTTGGGGCAGAGTCAGCAAAGTTATGCAAACATGTACAGTCCTCTTTGGATTTTCATCACTTCTCTTGGGTCACACTGTAGGACCAGTTGGTTTCTGAGGAACTGAGTATCATCATCATCATCATCACCAATTAGTTATAGTTGGCAAGTTTTTTTCACTTCCTCTGTACTACACACAGTGGAATGTTGCAACTAGTGCAGAAGTGCCTTCTTAAACAGTTGGCAAGTTGGTTCTTTGTACAATTTTGAGCCACTAACGTGCCATTTTACTATCTAAATTCTGATCCTAGCAGACAGTTTATGTAATCCAGGCCAGCCCTCGTGATGTATGGCTTTTTCACTGCTTATGTTTAGGAGGTCAGTTAAACTTCTTACAAGTCTTTAAGGTCTCTAAGCTATTGTAGCGTGCTGTGAGTTTGGTGGTACTTTGTTTTTCAGTTTGTATTGCATGCTGTACTGATATCCTTGGGGAGGAAGAACAGGATATATTGTAAATTATTTGAAATAAAAAAACTGGTAGGTTAGAATCTGATTGCTAGAGTAAAAGGATTATATAGCTGGAGGTGCTGAACCCTGCTTATACCTGCAGCTTACCTCCCAGCAGACTGTTCCCACACTCTGTTCCTCTGCATCTGAATTCAAACACATTACTGGATATTAGCTCAATTCAGAGATTTTGGGAATTTTGCCCTCTTCTGCTTTAGTTTTTCAGATTTTCCTTTTGTCTTACATTTGCTGGTTTTAAATTTTGCTTGGGTTGTGCAAATGAGTTTTAGTCACATCACACTGGAATCTTTTTATAAATATTGGTTAAAATATTGTAAATAAAAGGGAATGTATAGAGTAAAATCTTGACTGTCTGCTAATGGAATGAGACATGAAGGAGGAACAGATGTTATCAGCCCCATGGAGCAGAAAATGGAAAAATGTAAGAATACTCCTATGCAAATTAATGCATCTTTACTCCTAACCATGGTGGGGTCCAGATGGGCATGGCACATCTTATTTCAAAAAATATGCTATAAAAGTTTATGATGAAATGCAGCAAGAAAGTTCAAGGATTTTGAACTTATCCATTCAAGTAAAAGGGTTCCAGTTGTCTATAGGGTCAGCTAATTTTGAATAGTGATGTACAAAATATATTATCACATGATCTAGGTGATTTGAAAAGCTAATTTAAAAGCTAATTTCAGAATGTTGACCTTCCAAGCTCTTCTCACAGAAATAAAGGTATTATTCTACTGTGGAATGCCTGTTAACCTACAATGCGAAGTAATACATGCTGTGATCACACACAGCCCTCCAATTTTCCTAACCTCTATGCTAGAAACAAACCAAAATGACTTACGGCTTTATCTCTGATCTTTTCACTTATGTCATTATGTGTTGGACTGAACTTTTTGAACATGAAATGTCAGATAGGCTTACCTGTATCTGGTACTAGATGTCAAATACTCTTCACATTGATGATAATTAGAGGAAACACCTCATGAATATCAAGCTCTCGAAGTGTTTCATGTAGATCGATTGTAGGGAATATAGCCAACAAGCCTAATTGGGCCCGCCAAGCCTCTGAATGTGTCCTGCTAGGTCATTTTGGACAATCCATGTCTTAAAGCCCACAGTTGTCACCTGACATGATATCAGATCTGTTATTGCCAATCTAAGCATTAGGATCAGGGGTAAATAATTGATCTCTAATCTTAATGCTATGTGATTAATTCTAAAATTGGAGAGAAGGCTATGTCACCTCTTTAAAAGGCAGCAGGCACAGACTTTTCTCAGAACTTAGCTCTGAGGTCCCATAGTGTTAAAAGCAGATATAACAGAAATGCTGCCTGTTTTTTGACAATAAAAAGAAATTCTTTATTTGTATTCCTGGCTTGAGTTCAAGCTGCAGTTTGAACTTTGAAGCACCTGACATTATATGAATGGCATCAGGTGATTGACTCATTTGTCAAAATTGCCCATGGATCTTCCCCTTATGTGTGTTGATACAATGGTACACTTTGGATTATTTTCTTTTGACGTTCTAATAGCAATGGAGAAGGGGAGACTTGCAGTGTTGGTTTTGGAGCTCCTATGCTCTCTTTGTAGATTGAAGTCAACTTTTGGTTTTGCTCATTGGGGCTGTTGTCCTTGTAAATCAGAGGAGAGTGCATGTGCAGCAGTGACTGATGACTTGGAATATTTTTTCCCTTTATCTCTCATCCCAAAATTAAGTAATACATCGCAACATAGGTACAAAACATCACTACTGTTAGCTGTCTTGCGTACCTCCCATAACAATACTTACAAACAATCAGATTTCTAACCGCTATCTGTGATGCGACATAACCTGATTTCCAATACTGGAAGCAGACAATAGAGTGTTTTGAAGATTGAAGGGCACTTAATGGGCACCTCCTTTCATGTAGTATATATGCTCTTTTATTTTGCCCCAACTGTTGCTTCTTGCAGCAGGTTTGTAATTTTTTGAAGCATCTAAAAACCTGAAAAATGGTTTTACTACAGACTATTGTGGTATGAATGTGCATGCCACCCGAAATAATGCTTGTATTATACCACATCACCTTTGACTTTTTGAGAAACTATTGCCTATATTCAGGCGAAGCCACAGGAGGATAGAATTTAGATATTTCTGTTCTACAATAGTGGTGCTCTGAACCGATATTTAAGGATATGTCAAGAATCCATTCTTAATCTGCAACATTAAGTCAAAGCCATTCCTTTGAAAGGATAGGGCCAGTAATATAAGAATTGAATATTATAGATGAATGCTTGGAGCAAATCCATTTTTGCTGAAAAAAACAATAAATGTTTAGAATAGTCTACTTGGCAGGAATAATGAAGCAAATAATTTAGTGCATTTCAAAAACAATTATATTATATTCCAGTAGAAAGAATATGTTATAAGTCTTAGTAGAGCATTTTCTTGCTTTTGTGTGCTGGTGTTTTCAAGAACAGTCTAGAGAATATACCATGCCTTCCAATTCAAATAGTAATGTACTGTACTTTGAGAATTGGATTATAGCAACAAAACAGAGATTATTTTAATGGTAAGTGGACTGTAAATGAAACCTGCTTTTGAGACTATGACCAGCTTGCAAAACAATCATAATGTCAAAGGCAGGTTTCATTTACAGTCCACTTACAATTAAGATAATCTCGGTTTTGTTGCTATAATTTAAAAGCTATGGAAGTTGGGGTTGTAGATAATTTTATAAACCACTAAGACAATGTAATTTTTCCAGTGGACAAGCTGGCTGCCTTTTAGCAAAAATGAACAAAAACTTATGTCTGTGTCACAGGAGGTGAAATTTTTACACATAGGATTGAATTTGATATGGTTAAAAAGATGAACTTTAGCGCTATTTATGTACATCTTTTTTTGTTGTTTAACAAATGAATGATATAGAACAAGGGATGTATGACCTGATAGTTCTTTCATGGTTACTTGTGGCTGTTATACGTTCTAACGGGAATTCTTCAATATAGTGTTAGAATATTGAAAATTCCAATAAAAATAGTTTTGTTTTGGGGTTGTTTTTTTTAAAAAAAGAAGCATAATGTTATAATGGAAGTACACCAGTGTTCTGAAGGATTGCATAAAAAGATAGGAATTGAGTGTCATATGGGGGTTCCCAATTTGAAAAAAACACACCATCTAAACGTAGACTGCCTTCACATGCTGAGATTAATGAACCATCAGGAGCCCCACTTTGGGAAACTCGCTTCAAGGAACTCACAGGGGAGGAGAGGCACCACAGCAATTTCTCCCCTGAAATCTCCAGCTACAAAAGGATGGGTGGGAACCCTGAAAAGGTACCTTCCGTAAATCATGAAGTCCAATTTTGCAATAACTCACCCAAAAGTCTATAGCAGCAATACAAGATCCTGTAACTCAATGCAACGATAAAACTTTAAATATAAGCCAAATTAGAATTTTAAGAACATTTGAATCTCAGTACAGGCACACACCAAGAAAATAATAAATAGCTTAGGCTAGAATACTTATTTCCACCACTTTCCAGGCCCTCCAGTGAGAAGTGGCTTGACGAAACTGGCCTTGAACACAGCTCCAGGAAATCAGGCAAGGAGAAATAGCCAGCAGAAATAACTCAAGCAATAACTTCACAGCAGCAGGAGGACTAATGGCTGGCAGGGGGCAAGAAATCTATGAGGGAGAGATATTTTATACCAGTTCACACAGAGACAGCACAACCTGCCCTCAACTAATTCCAGAGTTTTATTGAAATTTCCAGAACTAGTCAGAAGATTAACCCCATGACGGGCCCAACTGCAAGATGTTCCTCTACTGATTTTGGAATGCAAGGGGGTGTTCTTGAGTTTTTGGTACCAGACTCAAGAGCTAAGGGACTGTAAATTAGCAATTACTACATCAGAACACTAAGTTCCTAGGGAACCTGGGTCAACCCAGTATCTCTAGCTGCCAGTGAACTGAAGTTGGCTCAAACGGCCCCGATTTGCGCAGTTATAAAACATACCAATTCCGATTAGTAATAATCACATCACAAGATTCACCCAAACCTTACACTGAACACTGATGTATTCCTGTTACTTGTGGCACCAGTATAAGTACTGTGGATGATCAAATCAAAATGTAAAAAACAGAGGGGGACATAGATATTAGTGTCATTGATCCTTTATAGCAGGCTTCCTCAACCTCGGCCCTCCAGATGTTTTTGGCCTACAACTCCCATGATCCCTAGCTAGCAGGACCAGTGGTCAGGGATGATGGGAATTGTAGTCTCAAAACATCTGGAGGGCCGAGGTTGAGGAAGCCTGTTTTAAAGGAAACTGCTGTGGACTTTTTGACTGATCTTTCTTTCCTCCGACAATGCCATGTAGAGGAATGGAAATGCTGAGTGTGTGTGTGCCTTCATGGCTTGAAGCTCACTGGAATTTTCCACTCCATTATGTGTCACTTACCTGAAATCTTGTTTGCCATTTTGTTGCCATTTCACTTAATTTGGAGAGAATATCTTGGAGCGATTCAGTTTACTTGACTTTTTGCGATCCTGAATAATTTGGTGTCATCTTCATACTTACTGCTCACCCTGACTAGTTTATTCATATACGGTACAAGTTAAATGTATGTATTAAATGAATTTCTAATCAGCATTTCAGGGCACATTGCTCTTACAAGGCAGATTGCAAAAAGATCTTAAACACACAGACACCATAACCAACCAATATATACAAAAAACAAAACACACTTTCAAAACCATTAATTAAAACTAGCAGCAGCTAAAGTTTTTCCCCCCAAGCATGACACATCAACCAAGTGTGGACTGGAAGTTCCTAGACTAGTTTTAGCTAGTCCTAAAACAAAACCTTAGTGAAAGACCTACACTGGCTCCCAGTATGTTTCCGAGCACAATTCAAAGTGTTGGTGCTGACCTTTAAAGCCCTAAACGGCCTCGGTCTAGTATACCTGAAGGAGCGTCTCCACCTCCATCGTTCTGCCCGGACACTGAGGTCCAGCGCCGAGGGCCTTCTGGCGGTTCCCTCGCTGCGAGAAGCCAAGTTACTGGGAACCAGGCAGAGGGCCTTCTCGGTAGCGGCACCTGCCCTGTGGAACGCTCTCCCATCAGATGTCAAAGAGAAAAATAACTACCAAACTTTTAGAAGACATCTGAAGGCAGCCTTGTTTAGGGAAGCTTTTAATGTTTAATAGGTTATCGTATTTTAGTGTTTTATTGGAAGCTGCCCAGAGTCGTTGGGGAAACCCAGCCAGATGGGTGGGGTATAAATAATAAATTATTATTATTATTATTACTTAGTAGACTCCATTGTTTTTTTCCATTGATAACTGAAAACTATTCATAAACCTGTTCTCTCTATATTTTAGCTAGCTGCTGATCAGTTACCAGTCCATAAGACAATCCAGTCTATTATAGCATTACCGCTAGGAGCATTTGGTGAGTGCCTTTCGAATGTCCCAGTACATAGAGTCTACCATATGACCACTATATACCTGTTTGCTTTAAGCTCTAGGTGTGTAAGCTGAGTTCTGAGGTTACTGAGGTAAAACTTTCCTTCACACAAGTGAAGTTAACTTCATCGTAAGAGGCATTTAAATTATTTTACTTGACCAGTTCCTATGATGCTTATGAACTACAGTTTGCTCATTAGAAATGATGGCAGAATAAAGCTCACATATAAGTGGGAAAATAAAAACCCTAAAAGACTTCTTTATTCAAACTTTCTGTGTAGGATTTTTTCATTTATTTTCTCACCAGTATTGCCATCAAAGACTTTGAAAAATGTGTTGTGTAGGAAAGATCCCCCCCCCAGCTTTTCATTATGTGAATCATGGTGATAGGAATCAGGGGCCCTGCTTCTGGTCTTCCTATAGAACACAGTGAGAGCAGCATGCTGGACTAAATGGATCTTTAGTCTGATCCAGCAGGGACCTTCTTATGGTCTTAATTATTGTGTACATGGAATAAAAGGCAAAAGCTTTTTCTTCTGCACCTCTGAAGCTATTTGCGATCGTGTTAAATCATTCACATTAGTTTATCCTTTTCATCAGTTCTTTAAAGAACAGGCATTCAGTGTTAGTGTTAATAGTGTAAAGCTGCTGGTGGGGCGTCTCCAACTGAAAAGGTTAACAAAAGGGAAGCATCTCATAATTTGACTGAAGTTCTGTGCTCTGCAATGATAATTCTTAGCATGAAGGTTGTGTCTGCAATTCCTGTTCTTCCTATGTCAGTGTGGCAGGAGGAAGCAGTAGAAGAGTTCTCGCTGTCTTACATAAAGTATAAATCAGGTATGATATGTATAAAGATCTTGTGCAGATAGACAACAGCACACGCTTGCAATGCTGCCATTATTTTAAAGATCAATCAGAAAATCAGCATTGGAGCACTTTAAATCATAATCCTATAAACAGATTTCCTGGGAGCAAGCCCCAGTAACCATTATGAAGCTTGCTTCTGAGTGGACATATATAGGATTGTGCTGTGAGCCTGTAAGCATGCAGTTACGATTTGATTAAATCTCCAGTAGGCTTGTAAATACTAAAAATTCATGAGAAAAAGTTTACATCATGACTGAATAGCATTAAGAAAGAAGATTTAAGCTTCATACTCCTAGCAGTAGGAAGTGCATTAATGTTTTTGTTAAAATATTCCAAAGAGAACTTACTGCAATAGTAAGATGTGATAATTACAATTAAGTTTGAAGAGGAATGAAACACTTTTCCATTAGTGCTCAATAATAGTGGTCTAATTGTTCCATGGAAAAACTAAAACTTGTTCCATGACAATTAATGGATATTAATTGAGTGGATAATTGACTAGATTGTATTTTTCAGCTACTGTTCAGGATGCATATAACCTTTTTTTAAAAAAAAAAATACTCACTGCAGAAGCATGTACAGTGGTACCTCTAGATATGAATGGGATCCGTTCTCGAGCCCTGTTTGCATCTAGAAGCAAACGTAACTAGCGACGGCACATCTGCACACGCGTGCGTCACTTTTCGCCGCTTCTGACATCATTTTGAGCGCCTGCGCATGGGCAAGCGGCAAAACCCGGAAGTAATGCGCTCCGTTACTTCCGGGTTGCCGCAGAGCGCAACTCGAACGTGCTCAACTCGAAGCGTATTCAACCCGGGGAATGACTGTACTCCCAACCTGATTATCTGAACCCTAGAAGGAGTAACCTTCAATTTCCTGATTTCTTAAAATCATCCTAATTTTTAAATTTTGTTTACCTGAATGCAATTGCATGCATGTTTTGTCAGGACTATGTGGGGCTTCAGCTATTGCCAAGCACAAAGCCAACCCTGTCTAATCATTTCGCCACCAGCTCATAGGTCCTTACACTGCAGCATGAGCTGAGAGAAGGCTCCTAGCTCAAGGCCTCCAGCTGCGCTTTATTTAATGGGCAGCCAGGACCAAAACAGGCAGAGGGGAAAATTGGACAGTTCTAAAAGATTTGTGTAGTTCCAAAGTTCATGTCATTCAAAAGTTGCACTTTGCTAGGTGATGTAAAAGTGACTGTCAGTATGAAAAGTAAATTACATGGTCCTGACTCTCCAAGACCCCCAGACTCTGACCAAGCAAATTTATTTCTCCCCTTGCTCCCAAATACAGTGGTATGTGGGGGTTACAAACTCCGCTAACCTGGAAGTAGTACCTTGGGTTACAAACTTTGCCCTGGAACGGTTTCGGGTTAAGAACGGACCTCTGGAACGAATTAAGTTCGTAACCCGAGGTATCCCTGTACTCTGTGCAGACTCTGCTATTCTCCACAGGGTATTCACCAATATTTATAATTTGAAGGATAAAATTACTGAATTTGAGCTTCAAAAAGAAGGAAATCTATCTAGATTTATCACTATAATGAGAGTCAACCACATTTCGACCCCAAAAATGCACTTGGGAAGTATGCTGCAGTGTAAGGACCTATGATCTGGTGGCGAAACTATTAAACAGGGTTGGCTCTGAAGATCCCTCTTCACTCTAAATGGAAACAAGCTCTTCTTACCAATCAAGTATCAGCCCACCACCACCACCACTGCCACACACGTTCCAAGTTCTAAGGATTTTCTCTCACTGTGTTTAGGCTATTAAATGTCATGAAATGTGCCCCTGAGCAAGAAAACCTTTATGTGCACATAAGGACAGGTGCCAAAGTGGTATGTGCTTTGCACACAAATTGTAATTGCATCTACTGGGCAGTTCTAAATTTTCCTGGCTTCCTGTAGTGCTTCCAGCCCAGGTGTTAATGTTAGGTTAGTTTGATTTGGAAGTTTAAAGACTGTGGCTTAATGTCAGTTTTACTAATCAGGATCTCAAACCAAATTTGGATTTAATGGCAAGCTGAAGTTTAATTAAACCAGAATAATTATAAGAGGAAGAGAGGGGCACCTCACTTGTTCCCAACTCCCAACAACCACTGACTAATGGTTAGGTTGGCTGAGGTTGATAGAAGTTGTGGTCCCACAATGTATGGAGGGCCACAGTTTCACCAGCCTTACTTAAACATGGTTTAGTGTGATGGACAAACAAGATCAGTTACCTGGATAACTTCATTCTGGAATTCATTTATGTGATAGCAGATGCTATTTAGCCCCCAGTCCAAAGAAGTTTAAAAAATGTGAGGAATTTCACATTTAACACTTTTCAAAGTGAGAGAACATTGTGGATTCCTTGTTGTCCATAGTGTATGTAAATACTCCTTTGCTATCCCACTGAAGCTTCTGCTTATGTCTGCATTTAGGAAAACTAGATTTGTCCTCCCTGGAGGAAGATGAACACTGGTTCTAAAAATGTGTGTCTGTGGCTGCAGCAGCAGCTGTCTATCTGCCATTCTCCATGGCATCACCTGTGCCAAGCAGTACATCTCTATTCTCCCCCATCACCCCATACCCATATACCTAGAACCATTTTGCAGTTGTTTGAATAAGGTCAGTAAGTTCATACATGCCACTCAGCTGCCCTTCTTTTTTCAATAACACTGTCTCCCCAAGCCATTTTGCACTGACAAGGTGTTGCACTGGAGCTAGGGTTTTATGTATTTTATTTTTAGAGCAAGCAAGTACATCTAATGTATTTCAGAATGAATGAATTTTACCCCTTTGGTCTACTTCTGGGCTATAGATTGAAGTCTAGCCCATGCCTTAGCAGTGTTGTTCCCATGTTTTCTCTCATCTTCTCTTGGAGTTGATAGGGCTGGGAAGGAATTTCACTCTGCATTCACACAGCTTGGAGCTGTCGAATTTTTGCCTGTTCAATAGCAGTGTCTTTCTTGGTTATTTGGTTATGTTGTCCTATAATTTTGCAAGCATTATACTCCATGTTTTTATAATTATAATTATTTTATTATTAAGGTACTACCTTATGAGATATTGGGTGTCAGTTCAAGAGCCATCTCAGAGGGGACTAGCATGCCTACCACATCCATGTTTTTAGTGATGGCATATGCCCTATTGCAGACCTGGACTCGCCTTCCACCCATTTATGTTTTTCCCAGCAAGTGAATTGGTGATTTTGTCACTAAGCAGCTTGGCTGTCAGTGATCCTTGCCCTATGCCATGTCAAACTTTATAAGTTGTAACCAATAAAGTTGTAGCTGTTTTAACCCATTTTCCATCTTGATATAATTCTTTCTCTTCCATTCCACCCTGCTTCATGTTGTGGAGCAATTATTTGCAAATACTTTTTGAGCTTTGAGTTTCTATCTTAATTATTTTCAACAGTAGGCATGGTGAGAAATATACTAAAGTTAAATTGTTTCTTTCAGAACATCGAATTGGGAATGTGTCTCATTAGACCAGTCCATCTCTGTATTAAATCAATTATTTTGATATTTACAAAGTATGATAAATTATTTCTAGCATCTTCTGTTTAAGATTTAATTTTCCTTCTCATGTTAATGTGGTATAATGAATATGTGTTATTTCTGAAAGGCCAGTGTTTTTTTTCATTTTTCATTATATGCCCAAGAATAAATGATTCTGGGAGTATGCCATTTTTCAGATAATCATTTACAGTGTCTGCTAAGTGAAGAAATCTTAGGAATAGTTGTCAGGCAGTAAATCACCCCTTCAAATGAGTACTTTTATATTGGCATTTTTTAAGATGTGGTAATTTATGTGTTTCCTTTGTGTAGTAGTCAGTTATTATTTTGGTTCTAGGTACCAGAAGTTTCACATGCAGCTCTTTGGGGCTCCTAGTTAAGTATATTGTACTTAATCTCCATATAGAGTAACAGTGAAGCAGTTCAGGCCTTCAGCATCCATAAGGATGTTGGACAGATCAGTTGAAAACAGCCTTTCAAATGGATTTCCTTCTGTCCGCCCCCCCCCCCCCCGTCCCCCAGTTGATCCCCATCATGGTATGGATTCTTCTTAGGGGTGCTTTTAACCATAGTTGTCTACAACAAAAATATATTTTTTAAAAAATATGCACACATCATGTGTATGCATATTGATTTGGCATGTACATTTAGATGTTCACTGATGCATAATTGCCACTGTCCCAATGGGTGCCTCATTGTTTTTCTTTTTTCTGAAGTATTTAATTGTGTAAATTGTTTGTTCCTAGACACCACCTATATGCACTAAGGATGAAATCCTAACCATGCCTAATCAGAACTCAGTTGGACTTGTTTCTTTGGGGTTAGGATTGCAGCCTTAATCTGCTTCCTACAATGAATTTTAAAAACCAGTGGAATACATTGTTCACTATTGTTTTCATATGAAAATAAGTTACCCTTTTGGTTACCTGTAGACTTTATCTGTGTTCCTCAGTTAAAAGTCCAAGCCTCATTGTCAAAGTGAGTGGAACCACCAAGATTTGACTGCTCATTTTGACCACCCACCTGCCCTTTAAACAATTGTTTTATTTTATTTTTTTATTTAATAGCATCTAAACCAATGGAACACATAATTCATTGTTGTTCTTTTTCACATGGCAAGAATACATTGGCACTAAAAAGGATTTAAAGCTGCCAAACAGGAATTAGCTTGAGCATTATGCTTCTGGATACCCATACAGTGGTACCTTGGTTCTCAAACTTAATCTGTTACGGAAGTCCGTTCCAAAACCAAAGCATTCCAAAACCAAGGCACACTTTCCCATAGAAAGTGATGCAAAATAGATTAATCCATTCCTGACTTTAAAAAATAACCCCTAAAACAGCAATTTAACATGAATTTTACTATCTAACAAGACCATTGATCTGTAAAATGAAAGCAGTAGACAATGTACTGCGGTCACACAATCAATCCATCAGTAGCTGAACTGAGTTCCACACAGTCACAAAAACAAGAGCCGCAAAAACAAAAATGCAAAATAAATAGCAAAAACAGACAGACCTCAGCGTAGCACTCAAAATGGAAGTGTGACACTCAAATTGGAAGTGTAACACGCAAAAATGGAGTGTGTTCAGCTTATGAAAAAAGTTTGCAAACCGGAAAACTTATTTCCAGGTTTGCAGTGTTTGGGTTCCAAGTTGTTTGAGTACCAAGGCGTTTGAAAACCAAGGTACCACTGTATATGACTATTTTCTGTATAAAATACAAATTTATGAAATAAGATGTTGCAATAAATAGAACTTGTATGTATAAGAGAGACTGCAACTGTAACTCCACTTACCTGGGAGTAAGCCCCGTTAAACTGAATGGTACTTCCTTCTCAATATACTTGGATAGAATTGCAGCCATAGGTGGCTTTGTGATGTGTCATTAGCCAGTTCGTTAACTTTGCCTCCTTTGTAGCAAAATCCACTATTCTTGTGGCACCTTAGCCACAAGAATAACTGATTTTGTTACAAAGGAGGGCTACCACCTCTGGAAAGTCACTAACTTTGAAAGATAACACACAGGGAAAGTAATTGATTTGTAAATATATTTTGACTGCCGAGAGTTGCGTGTTTCCTGTGTGCTATGATATATATGAAAAAATATGTATATTTCTACACCAGAGGATGACAAAACTGAAGAAAGACATGTGCAAAATAAACCAATTGCCATGGAATGGAAAATACCAGATCAAAGCGTGAATGAACATTGGAATGGATTGAGGCATGTTCATACATCTCTGCTTGTACACCAAACTTAGCTTTATACTGTTGCTGAAAATATGGCATGATGTCCCCAGCTCTGCCTACTGTCAAGCGTCCTCTGCTGCTGGTATGTCTTGTGTTTTTGTCCTCAAGACGCTTGCACACCCATGAAGTTCTCATACTGTGAGAAATTGAATCAGTATGTTTGGCTGCCTCGACGTTAAGTCGCTAAATAGCACTTAAGGACCTCTGAAGCCAATTATTTCCATACTTGAGACCAAAGTCCAAAGAAACAGATGAAGATGGAGGAGTGCTCTGACTTTACAGTGATTCAGAAACTCTTTGGAGGATTGCAGTGTGTAGCAGTTATCCCACTGTGTGCAAAATTTGGAAGGTTTTTGTTTTGATTACATCAAAAGAAGGCTTGAGAGGAAACCTTAACTGTGTAGCTATAGCCTTAATCCATGGGTTGTTGCTTTTTTTGCAGGATAAGCAAATTTATCTTACATTCAGAGAGTGGCAACATTTTGATTTTTGAATTACCAGTTTTATTTTACTTTAAGAGAACCTTCCTGGGAAATCAGTTGTTGAGACCAGAGTTAAATAACCATCTACTGAAATAACTGATCTTTTAGAATTAGATTTTTACACACACACACACACACACACACACACACACACAGAGTGTATAATCAATCAAATGGAGTGTTTATGCATTGAATTTTGTTGTTAGGGAATGTTCAGTTGATTCTTTACAATTTCTTCTTGCACACTACTATTAGCATCACTTCTCTCATGTAATTATTTCCATTCTTCTTTTCATGTGAGAATTCGAAATCTAATTATTCTTCATTAAATTTAATTTTATGTGTGTGTCTGCACACACACACACACACACACACTGCATCATTCTGTCTCACTTATAAATTAGGTCCTTTCTTCACAAATCTCTAATAGAGGTGCTTTCACATGCTTTTCAACTAAATTGATTATATTTTTCTTTAATCAAGATTTTGTTGATATTACAGCAGCAGCTAGTGAAGACAGGCCTCTAATTTTGCAGAAATTGTCATTGGATCTTTTCCAATTATTTTCACCATCTAGGTGCAATATTCAGTTTTAAATTGTGTCTACAAACTATCAACTATACATGTGTCGGAATCGGATCCACCATCAAAATGTCTATAAAGTGGGGGGGGGGCGGCGTTCAAAACAGGGTAAGCTGGAGAAATTCCAAACCTTCTCCTGCCTGTGCTTTGTCTCCACTTACCTCTCACTTGCTTCTCTTTTGTGGACCCAAAGTAACTCTTGCAGAGAATAAAACTGCTGGGGGTATGTTTTAGGGGGAGAAAGCTTTGACACATAATAGAATCATAAAATTGTAGAGTTGGAAGGTATCCAAAGAGTCGTCTAGTTCTTGCAGTGCAGAAATCCCAACTAAAGCTTCCATGACAGATGGACGTCCAGCCTCTGCTTAAAAACCTCCAATGAAGGACAGTCCAATGAAGGAGGGAGTTTGTTCTGCTGTTGAACAGCTCTTACCATCAGAATTCCCCCCCCCAGTTGTTTAGTTGGAATCTCCTTTCTTGTAACTTGAAGCCATTGGTTTTGGTCCTACCCTCCAGAGGAGGAGAAAGCAAGCTTGTGCCATCTTCCATGTGACACCCTTTAGATATTTAAAGATGGCTATCACATCTCCTCTCAGTCTCCTCTTATCCAGGCTAAACATGCCCTTCCTCATGCACCATATATAATGCCATCTATTAAAAGTTCTAAGTTTTAGACTTGTGGGGTTTATCTGTCTCCCAGCTCCCATTAGATATTATGTTGATCAGCAAGCTCTAAATGAATCTGCTAACCACCATTGCCAGATATATACAACATTTTACATAAGTTCTTGAACAGTGGGCACAGACGAACTGGTGAAATGGTCATTTAGATTGCAACCAATCTAGAGTATTTATTGTGTTCTCAAATATATCTGATGTTGCTGCTGAATCATTTGCCAGAACTCTGAAATATTGCAGGTGTCACATGCAAGATATTAATTAGAATGGGTGCTTGGGAGTGGGTGGTTTTCAGCTGGGAACTCTGAGGGCAACAATAAGTTCTAAATTTTGTGATCCAACCTTTCTTCAGTAATATTTGATAGTGCGGTCAGGCAAGTCACTTGGAAATCTTCTGTTTCGTCATCTTCATTTTAGTATGCCCGTACCAACATGCGACTCAAGCCTCAGAAACCTTTAGGGACTGAGCACGCAAGCCAGCAGAGATAAGAACTCTGTCCACCCTTCTGTTGCAAAGAGTTCTTATCTCTGCTGGCTTGCGTGCTCAGTCTCTAAAGGTTTCTGAGGCATGAGTTGCAGTTTTGATGCTGTTTCGAGAACCGGAGTTCGCCCGGCTGCCGGCCAGTGGGCTGGAGCCAGCTGGGGGCCTGCCAATTGCCCCCGTCTCCCAGGACGCATCCCAACAGTCATAAACCTCAGACTTGTTAAGATACTGTAAATTGAATTATGGAACCTGCTCTTTCTTTGGCACCTCTGCCAGGTTTATGAAAGTTGTCTAAACTCCAATGAACTACCAGGGATGAGTCTTTTGTTCTGTCTTTTGTTCTACCAGGGATGAGTATTTTGTTCTGCAAAATAATATCGGTAGTGCTTTTCTGTCACCTTATTTTTGTGCGTATATATTCTTACATACTTTATTTCTTTGATTCTTAATCTGGTGATTTATCAAACAAGAAAACATTGTATGTTAGGTATAAATGATCTCCCATTTAGTTGTATGGAAAGCTATGTATCTGTTTTTGAAGTATTAACCCATACTGTATCTTTTATAGGTGAGGCAAATGATAAAGAGGTTCAAGTAATAGAGCTACCCATAGTTGACAGTCTACACCCGCGACCTCCATATTTGCCATTGGCTGTCCCAGAAGACTTGGCTGACAGGCTGATTCGTGTCCATGGGGATCCTGCAGTGTGGTGGGTCTCACAGTTTGTCAAATACCTGATCCGTCCACAGCCTTGGTTAGAAAAGGAAATAGAAGAAGCTACAAGGAAACTTGGCTTTAAACATCCAGTTATTGGGTAAGGTATTTTATTATGTGCTACAACTACAATCTTAGACATATCCCTAGTCTAAGGTTACCAGATTTTTTTCAATGAACCCGGGGACACTTTTCAACTTCAATGGATTTTGTATGGGGACAGATTTGTAAATCCGGGGACTGTTCCCGGGAAACGGGGACGTCTGGTAACCTTACCCTATTCATGCTTATTCCTATATCGAAATTAGTAGGACTTCTGAGTGAACAAGAACATTTCACCTTCTTTAGCATTCTTTTTCACACAGAAGGCTCTGAAACACTTCTTGGAAAGTCAGAACTCAAAATGCATTGAGAATAAAGGATGTTGTCCTAAACCTATTTTGCTACTTTATTGTTTTAATGCATGAAGGCAGCAACCTTGCTGTGTTCGTTATCAGAACCTAGTACTCTGAGATAAACTGCCTCTGAATGTGGGTGCTCTGTTTGCCCATTGATAGCCCTGTCCTTCATGAGTTTGTCTAATCCTTTTAAAGAACTTCCTAAGAGAGAGAACTCCCCACCACCACCATTTATAACAGTGGTGGAGAACTTCTGGCTGCAGGCCTAATTAGGCCCACCAGTCCTCCTGAGTTGACTGTTTTTGCCAAGCCATGGCCATCTAACCTACCCCTGACATTTTGTGCAGGGCAGGTAAAGCTGTGGTTGAGCTGAAAGGCTTTTCATCTGCAAAGCCCCATGAATAGTGCTTTGGAAGTGCCAACAATCAGCTGATCCTCCAGGTTTCTGTGCATAGTACTATGCAAAAAATTGGTCCCCTAGCATCACTGTAATGGCAGTTACATATTTTGTTGTAGAAATGTAGACTCCTGCCCACCCTTGCTTGGTTTAGATATGAAAAGAGAAGGCATACTTAATACTTTTATAAGATTTCTGTGACTTATGCTTACATCCAGTTGAAGACTAAATTAAAATCACAGTAATTAAATTAAAATCACAGTAGAAATCAATAAAGTAAACAACAGAGAAGACATGAAGCATTAAAAAAAGAGATGAAGTCCTCAATGCAGATCCTTATCTAAACTGATGCAGCAAAGCCTGTTGGTAGAGAAAGCTTTCACTGACCCGCAGAAAATGGCAAAAGAGGGTGCTACTTGAACCTCAAGGGATAAAGTGTTTCATAATCTAGGTGCAGCCACAGAAAAGGTTCTGAATAAACATTTTCCTGTCCCTGTCATATCTAATTTGGCACTAATGGTCTTAATAATACTTGGATACAGTGCACCAAGAATTCAATGTATAGAATTTTTCTCAGTTTTTACTATAAAAATTAGTGTAATTTTTGTTCCACCTTTTTACATACTAATATTGTTAGCTATCTGCAATAGCCCCTTGGGTTTCAGAACTCAGCCACTTGCATAATATTGGTTATATATTTGAAAATAACTTAGTAACATACTAAAAATAAGACACTTCTAGTTTGAATCTATTCCTATCATTCAGTCATCAGTTTTGTGGGGAAATGAACAAGATGTTAAAGAAAATTGAAGCTTAATAGGGGACTTTTCAGTAAATATTTCTTCTTGTTTGTTTTTATATCCCACCCTTCAATTTTGAGGTGGATGACAGCACCAGCTAGTTCAGTGGTGTCCAAACTTTTTCAAAGAGGGCCAGATTTGATGAAGTGAAGTGCCATGGGGGCTGACCAAAGTTTGTTGAGCTTTTTTTAGGGTTGGAGTTGTTGAGGGTTTTTTAGGATTTTGCCACAGGGGCCAGATTAAACCGACCGGCGGGCTGGATTAGGCCCCCGAAACGGACTTTAGACATGACTGAGTTAGTTAAAACAAGACAGGGCACAATTAAAGCCATAATTGAAACCACAGAATCACAATCAAATTAGCAGCAGTAAGTAACTATAGTACTACCCTAATAAAAGACAGCTTCCTTTCCAGAAACCCTGGAGAAAATTAATTTTACTCCAGTGTTTTAGTTCTGCAGGCATGTTTTAGTATGGATGAAACTGTAGAGAAGTGATAAAAATGCCTTAAGAACCCTCTTGACAAATACACATTTATGATACATGCAATGTCTTTTCACACAAGGTTAAATTCTGTGAGCTGGTGACTATATTTAAACCTACTGGTTATGTGTGTAAAAGGAGGCCATGCTGACCGTGTGGCGCATTAGTACCTTGAAAGTATTTGCAAAATCATAATGCTGTGATTCTACTGTGACATGTGTAAAATATATTGGCATTTGGCCTCCAACCATCTATTTGGTTTTCAAGGACTGAACAGTAATCTTTACTTCTCTCCACCCACCCTCAGCCATGTAACTAATCCAAGCCCTTGCTCTGTGGTTTTTGACAAATTTATTCTGAAAATAATACATATTCTAATGCCAGTTTATTTTGCAGTACGTCCTAATGAAAGTAAAGGACAAACGAACAAAAAACAAACAAATCCTGATCAAGAGAAATTTGTGTTTGCTTTTCATTGCAGTATTCATGTCCGAAGAACAGACAAAGTGGGAACTGAAGCAGCATTTCATCCCATTGAAGAATATATGGTACATGTTGAAGAACGTTTCCAACTTCTCTCCCGCAGAATGCATATTGACAAAAAACGAGTCTATTTGGCTACAGATGATCCTTCATTATTGCAAGAGGCAAAATCCAAGTAAGACCATCTTTGTACATAAGTGATTTTACATGAAGTGTGGCTGTTTAAACAAACAGCATATTTACTTTTAATGTCTATATGAATACCTGTGTTTGAAACTATTTGCAAATAGCTATAACTTCTGAGCTTTATATACATGCTTCCTAAACAGGTGTTGGTAGAACAAGGCTCCACTAATAGTAATTCTTATAAGATACAGCGGAAAACTTCCAATTTGGTCTTGAATTTGCGGGTGGATTATGACACATATGAGTCATGGGTTTCTGTTTACAAGAAGTGGATAAAAATCCTGCAAAATTTAATTTCTCATTAGGGCTACAAGCTATGAAGGCATAGCAAACTGCTAAGAGGTGAAAAAATCTGTTTAATTTCAGTGTGGTATCCAATTAACGAGTCCTGTCAGTGCAAGAATTTCCACTTGTGCAGCAAGGCTCCCTCCCACCCCTCACCCACCCCTAGAACAGATTTAGGAGGCAGAAGTTCTATTGCACAAGCAAAAATCCTTGCACTGATGAGATGTACTACTTTGGGTGCAACCTCCAAAACTGAATGCTGATATTTGTGATGCATTTCCCCCTCAGGTATCCAAATTATGAGTTTATTAGTGACAACTCCATTTCGTGGTCAGCTGGTCTCCATAATCGGTACACAGAAAACTCTCTACGGGGTGTTATTCTGGATATACACTTTTTGTCTCAGGCAGACTTCCTTGTCTGCACATTTTCTTCACAGGTAAGGTGGTGCACATTATAAAGTTCTGCATATCAATACTCCAGTAGCACAATATAAACATGAATGGCTATAGTACTCAGTGGTTTCCTATAACCAATAGTAGTACTATGAAATACTTGAAATATACAAGCATTAATAATTCCTTAAAAAATTATTCTCTTTCATAACATGCAGAAAATCAATGCAAAACTAACATCCCTAAAAACAAGAGCAAAACTACTATTTAAAAAAGGGAACCACATCAATGTGTAGCTCTTCTTATTACATCTCAGAAATAATGAGCTGCGTTCAGACATGCCCTTTGACATACAGAAGGAGGAAGAGGAAGCAATTTTAGCTGATCCCCAATGTTCTGGAAAGTCCCCACCTTTCCAGAGCAGCTTGCGAGAATTGGAGGAAGAGTCAGCAAAAAAATAATTTCCCCCCTCTTCCTGTAAGTGTGTCACATTAGTGGAACTAGTTTTCATAATTATTCTGGATCCAATCCATGGTATGTCTCATGAAAATATACTAAGTTTAAGAGAAGTGATTGGAAGTTAAAACTCTGCCCCTTTGAAAAAGATGACCATGGGGAGCAATGGTAGAGAGATTTGTTGGCATCTGTCTGTCTTGAGAGGCAATGGAGGAGTGCGCCTTTGTGGGGGTGAAGTCAAATTGTTGGATGGTTGCAGCACCTGCTGTGGCTGTAGAGCCAAATATGAGAGATACATCAAAAGAAATGTAAATGACAAACAATGTGAACAGTTGGTAGAAAAAAGTATTATGTCAGAACATTGGAACTCAGTGGATCTCTCGCTGCAATTGATTTTCTATTGGTTTAGGACAAACAAAAGGGAATACTTTTTTCAAACAACTTGGTTACTAACTGAAAGACTACATTGCCAGATGTGGTAATGGCTGCTAATTAACCTTAAAGGGTTAATCACATTCATGAAGAGGATACTGTTGTGGATCATTATTATTATTTGTGGATCATCTGTCTTCAGAGGTATATTGCCTCTGCGGACAAACATTAGGAGATGGTTCTCTCAGTCACATAGTGCTTGAGAACTTGCTAGTGACATCTTAATGTCACTAATGGAGACCACTAACTAGCGTAAATGAACCAATCTAGCAGTTCTTTTCCTGTATTCTTCTAAGAAGTCTACCATGAAGAGTGAACATCAAACGAAGTGCTGTATTCCTTTCTTGAGCCGTTAAATACCAGTGATAGATCGTTTTAAAACAATTTACAAAGTCTCCCTGCAATATTTAAGGGTTTGTATTTTAATTATTTTTTTATTTGCACATATAACAAGGGGAAGAGAGAGAAAGAGATGAAATAACATTAAAGAACAAAATGAAGAAAAAGAGAAGAGAACAATAATGATAATGGCATATCACTATTAGTAATATTTGTATATTATTATTGACCCAAATTTGAGAGTTTCTTTAATATAGGATTGCTCCATCAGCAGGAGCATTATTGCCAATAAAAATATTTTCATAGCGGTCCTTGCTATCTTAAGCGCTTTTGAGTTTTATTCCCCAGCTTTTCCCATTTCCTTAGTTCCTTGTTTCCAGGGCCACTTTTTATTTATTTATTAGATCTATATAGATTTATATTCTTTCCTTAAGCTTTGTTTCCCTTTTACTTTCTTTCAGCCTCTTCCTCACTCTGTTGCCTATTCTGTATCCTCCCTTCAGCCTCTTTCCTGTGGCCGCCCCATGTTAGGTTTTTACTCTCTTCCAAACTGACAGTTTCCCTTTCTGTCAGAAGGTGGACTGCAGACTATTTGATTTTTTCCATGCAACAGAACATTCTTTTTCACCATTTTAGTATCAGAGGATTAATTCCCATGACAGCAATGCAATATATATTTTAAACTTCCTTAGTAGTTTTACGGTGTTCCCCATCTACTGCAGTACCTGGCACAATGTGGATTAGCTCCCTGCATTGATGGTTTTTAAATTGCCCTTTTCTGCAGAGAATTTGCCTTGATGGTTAAGCATGATGGAAGAGATTATAGGATTATAAAAGATTACAAGCCTTTTCAGGTATGCTGTTCAAGTATATGCTGAAGAGTTGTACTTTTTATAATCAAGAAGCGAACAATATGCACTACAAAGCATTAAATTGTTTTTAAAGACTGACATTTTTACAAACCATTTCTTAACTTCATTCAAGGCAAAAATGTAATAAATGCCTCTTTCACTGTGAACATTTCATGGTTAGCCTTTTAATTATGGACCCAGAAAGTATTCTGTTGCACATAAATCATCTTTGCTACAGTATTCATTTATTCAGGTTTGGAACTATAAAGTACTGTTGCTTTACTATTCATATCTATTATTTGTATATTTTATAACATTTTCATTAAGAGAAAAAAGTATCTGATCAATTCTCCATGGTATTCAGAAATCCTCTTAAATGCTGTAGCTTTTTATATTTTTCATTGTCTTGTATTGTGTACTACCTTGGAGGTCAGAAGTTGGGATGTAATTCAAATTAAAATACTAGATTTTGAAAGTAGAAATAGGTGGGGTTTTTTAAAACTATCTCCAGTTGCCTTTATTGCTGCAAAGTTTTTCCACACATAAGCTGAGGTTCTCAAATGCCAGTAGTGTGGGGATAGATGCGGATAGCAGACCAGCATTTGGTGATGTGCAACAATTTTACCAGTTTAGAACATGAGTTTAAATATTGAACCTCACTCTACACTGTGCCTCATAGTATAATAGGATAAAAAATAAATATATATTAATTTCCCTATGAACAAGGAGATTCCAGAAGTGAAATAAACAAATGAAGATTACACTCGATACTTCTACTTTCTACCTTAGTGTTGACTTGCTTTTCAACACAAATAGCAACTTAGTATGAGAACAGATAATCAAATATGAGGTGGCACCAGTTGTTATGAACTGTAGTGACTCTGTATTAGTGAAGAAACACCTACCTTTATTCATAGCTAGGCAAACACTGAATTTTGTTAATAATTAAACCATTCAAATTTTGGTTTTGTTGCTTACTTTAGTACCTATTGTATTGTTTTTTCAGTTGATGATTGACCAGACTTGCTAATGAGGCAAGGCTTTTTAATGTTTATGGATTTGAAATAAACTTGGTTAAAAAGAGAAAAGTATGTTATAGAATCATAGAATTGGAATCATCATGAAAGTTGTAGCGATTGTGAAAGTCAGCCAGCAATACCATTCTGTACTTGCATGCAAAAAATATAGTTGAGCATCATAGAAATCTGCATATGTGTGAGTCTTAAGGCTGTTTTCCACATATCACTTTAGCAGCAGCATAACATGTGACTAAGGAAACTTGGAGTGTGGCTACAGCCCTTTCCCAATTATTAGAGTTTCAGACTGTTATCTAATAATTCATTCCCAGATACTTTGTGATTGGGTTAGCGGTGTAGAAGGTCAGTATCAAATTATGGATGAGTCAGCCATTCTTCCTAGAGTATGACAGTGCCGTCCAACTTGGGCTGGGCGACATCTGGTTTTCAACATCACGATTTCTATCTGTGGTGGCGGAGGGCTTTGTTGGGCCTCCCTGCGGGGGCAGAGGGTCCCTCCACATCTCCCCACAGCATCAGAGGGCTTTGTCATGCCTCCCCACGGCAGCAGAAGGAAGTAGTACATTTAATAAAAATATTAAATAAGCTTTCATATATTATATTTAATATATTTTCAACTAATTTAAGAGTAGTTTAAGTGATTTCTTATTCAAGTTGCATCTGCTTTCCCACTGAGAGGTCTAAGTGGAATCTGTGCATGCATAAGCCCCACTGAGTTCAACTAAACTTTCTTCTGCTTTCCTGAGAGTAAGCCTCATTGAATTCAGTAGGGCTTGCTTGTGAGTAGACACACATTTGCTTTCACTGCTTACCAAAAAACACCCTCCCCATCATTCTCACATAGTACTCAACCTCCCATTTCAGCATGAGGCAGCCAGCTAAATCTTCTTCCCTCCATTCTCCCCCCCCCCGCCACAGAAGCCCACCTCCCCAGCCCTCATCCCACCAAACTCTCCTTTTTATCAAAGGGAGGGCAAGCAAGCAGAAAGATAGTCTCCTTTAAATTAAAAAACACCCTTCCTTTTTAATGTGGAGGAAAGCTATTTAGGGGGAACCAACAACATAAACACCCCCAGAAAATCAAAAATAAAAACTCTTCCCCCTCTTTTTTTCACTGGTGAGGGAAGAAAGATGTGATTTCCAGTTCTTTGTTTACTTTGCCTCTTTGATTGTCTAGGCATGGGGGTCCCTCTTAGATTGTTAGCAGGCTGTGCATAATTACCTGAGCTCTAAGTGGAAAGATCAGGTGAAGTTGAAAGAGTTTGCTGGTTTGTGTGAGGGCTTATCTTCATTTCTTATTGTTAGGAGGGAGGAGGGAGAGAGCATAGCCCTACTCCCAACCAGATTGGATAATAAAGAATTTAAGCTATATTAATGTATCCAGGTCTGTGTCCCTTGTCACTGGATATGTTGCTTATTCTGTCTAGAATTGGTCACAGACTATGTAAAAATTTGTTGAAGTGTGGAAAAGCATGCCTGCTTTCTTGTGCAATTCCTATTTTTTTTCAATGGGCCTTGTGTTCACAAGTGGATCATGCCCATATTTTGTGACTTTGAGGACAAGTTCTTCCATTTTAAATATATCTGAAAGTAAACAGTGTGCTTTCAAAAGTCCTTTTCCTGTGTACAAGATTTTTTAAATTTATGAAATAGATGTTTTAAAAAGCTACAAGAAATTTAAATACCATTCATCTTAATCTCAATGAGACCTAATAATATTTTTTTTTTTTTAAATATTTTATTAAGGATTTTCTTGTTTTACAGAAGTGTAGTGCCTCGTATTTTTTTTCCCATGTAACATTTTTACAAATCCGTTTCATTTGTTGAGGCATTAGGGGGGAGAAGAAAAGAAAAAAGAAAAAAGAAAGGGGGTGGAGAGAGGGAAGATGGATGGGGGTGGGGTCGGGTGGCGGTGTTTCTATTATGTTTAATGTATGTAGAGTTTGGTGTCAGCGTTGCTTGTGTTGTTCACTTGTGTTCCTTTGGTGGTGAGAGAGGTTGGGGTTGGCCTAGGGTGTGATTGCTTGCTTGTGATTGGCTGTGGTGATCTTTGTTTTCGTGTGTGAGTGAGGTGGGTGGGTGTTTTGGATCAGGTTAGCCATATTGATTTGTATGCTGTTGGTGGATTATTGTCATTGTCCTGTTGGGCTGTGTATGTGAGACCTAATAATATCAGGAAAGATAATGGTTTTCCTTCTGCCTTGTAAATAAAAATGAGCAGAAATGGCTTAAGTAATAGATAAGGCTGCAGTGTTTGTTTGTTTTTGAGGGGGGGGGGAGTTACCCACTTCTAATTTTAGAGTGTCAAACCTCTCTTGATTATAAGAGACACCTGTTATACCTAAAAGAGATACTAGCCTTCAGCCTTAGTGGTAGCATATTTGGTAATTGTTGTGGCCACAGAACTGCGGCTTCAGAGTGAAGCAGTCAGAAATAGTGTTTAATAAATCATATATGCTCTAAAGTATTATAAAATATTAACAGTTATTACTGTTTTTGTTAGGAATGGATGATGAGGAAATGTGTAAATCTGAGATTTTGATAAATGGCTGTGCTTTAAGTTTATTAAAAGGGATACATGTTTGATCACTCTAGATTTGAATTTATTTTGTTTACCTACTATCCATCTACCTCTTTTATTAAAACATTTATCACCACTCCTGACCACCTTCTACAGCATACAGAGGAAATAAAAAATTGGTGATTGGCCCAATTTTTCTTTCCGTGTTCTCTGGCACTTGTATACTATTCATTTTTCATTTCCTTTTTCCTTCTGCTACTCTGCTTTGGACTTGATATTCATATTCCATTTAATCGATTTAGTGGCAACTCTGAAAACCAAGAGGGTTTCACATTGCTCTGAAGGTCATGAGATTATAAGTCATTCTAATATTCTCCAATTATCCAGAGCCTTGGGCCTGTTGCCAAGACATTCCTATCTCCAGTTCTAAGAGGGCTTGTACTTAAGCCTGACAGCTTTGGAGTTGCTGAAGGATATCACTGCCAAGCCAGATCATAGTCAGAGGGTTGTCTAGATGCCTTGGGCCAATTTTAAGGAGGTTCCACAAAGTAGTACTAAGAATTTGAATTTGATCCAGTGAAGACCCAATGTAGTAAATGTCCTTTGGGCTTCTAGTAGGTTCTGAAGTTTCTTACAGAGGATGAGTCCCTTTTTTATTTAATTGAAACTTTTTTAAGGTTCAGCAAGTCAGGCTTGGGGCTTATAATATAAACTGCTGTGGTGTGAGTTGCTCAGTGGTAGAGCTCATGCTTTGCATGCAAAAAGTCCCAGGTTCAAGCCAACAACTCCAGTTAAGTTATACTCAGAATAGGCCCATTGAGATTAGTCATGTCTACTAATTTCATTGGGTCTGAGTATGATTAACGTTGGATACAACCCAAAATGCCTTTGTCTCATTCTCCAGATGTAAGCAAATTTTACTTTAAATTGAATGTTTTAAAAGGCTTCTGTAAAACATTATACAAGGATTAACATTGTTGCATTCTGTTGCTAATTGCTTAATGTTGAAGTAATATGCTTTATGAATGATTGGAGAAGAAAGAAAGTTGGACAAGATACACTTCTGTAAGGAATACTTAACTGATGTACTGTCTTGCTGTTTGCTAATTAATCCTTTTTGTTACTACTTTCCCTAGGTTTGTCGAGTTGCCTATGAAATCATGCAGACATTGCATCCAGATGCATCAGCCTTTTTTCACTCTTTAGATGATATCTATTATTTTGGGGGACAAAATGCTCATAACCAGATTGCCATTTATGCTCATCATCCCCGAACTGCTGATGAAATTCCTATGGAACCTGGAGATATAATTGGTGTTGCTGGAAACCACTGGGATGGTTACTCCAAAGGCGTCAATAGAAAATTAGGAAAAACAGGCTTATACCCCTCCTACAAAGTAAAAGAGAAAATTGAGACAGTCAAGTACCCCACATATCCAGAGGCTGACAAATAAAGACAAGCAGGACAGCTCGCCGTAACACTCACTTTGAAGCTATTTCAACCAACCATACTGTTGGCTTTTGTGGGATATGAATTTGCATTTTAACATACAGTTAAAATGAAAGCCTTTTATCATTCGGACTGGATATACAGCTGGAACAATTCAACGGGCCATGGTTTGGACTTCTTTTGTTACATGCACTTGCACTCATGCACACTGATACACATTCAACAGGGAACCTGTTGTTTTATACTGTTTGTCTCTTTGAGGACATGTCTCTCCCATGAGTCATATATGAGCCTTGGGCTCAGTTCTTTGCCATTAATAGACTATAATAAGACTTTTAACACTGCTGCATTGTGTAATTTGAGTGACATGAGCATATTTTGTATGTGCAGAATTTAAAACATGGTGCCTCTCTTTGAAAGATCCAGTGACCTTTTGGAAGAGCCATGCCTAGTTCTGTCGATGGGTAAGAGTTGTACTTGCCTTTAACTGATGATGTTGTTATGACCACTGAATATGCTCCAACCAACAGATTCAAAACTCAGTCTAGACCTTTCTTTATAGGAGTTTTGTTAGCAATTTCATTGATTAGTTCATCTCATCATTAATAAAGAGTACATCCAACAATAAAATAATTGTCTGGTAGGAACTTTTGTAAAACAATGCCATGAACAGATTCTTTGGTACTGTTGCTGGACATTGTCTTTGATAACAAAAAATAAATTCAAAAAAGAAGTAGCTGGAGTTATACAAGTAATTTGATTTTAAAATTTGGAAGAACCAACAAAGGTCTATCTTTCCAGATCCTTGATCTCTTTATTTGGAAAATTATCTGTGATGAAATTTGATAACATTTTGGATTTTTTCTGGTGTTCTCAATCAGCAGGAAACTGCAAGTCAAGACTGTTTATTTCTTTCTTGACCCAAGTGACAAGACTGCAGCCTGTTGGCCCCTGAATAATAAAAAAAATTAAGTGAGTGCACATGCACACAAACACTCTCTCTTACCTCTCCTGTAGTATTTCTTTCCAATTTTTCTTTATGGCCACAACACAAAATAACCCATGGGTGAAACTACTGTTGGTATAAGTCTTTGTGAAATGCTTTTGCTGTTTATTATAATTAACTCTAGTGTCGTGTGTGTGTGTGTGTGTATATATATATATATATATATATGTATGTATTGAAATAGATCACTTGAGATTGAGATAGCACAAAACATTATGGCATAGTATTAATCTGAGCCTGCAAAGGAAGGGCTGTTGCTTAGGGTATAGCACACATTTTGCATACAAAAGGTCACAGGTTCAATCCCTGGTGCCTTCAGGTAGGGCTGGGTAAGACTCCTGCATGAAACCAAGGTAAGCTGCTACCAGTCTATGCCAACAATACTGAATGAGGTGGGCCAATGGTCTGATTTGGTGTACGGAAACTTCCTGTGTTGCAGGAGGTTGGACTAGATGATCCTCTGGGTCCCTTCCAACTCTATGGTTCTATGATTTTCCTGCCCAGGAATTTGTTCTCTCAAGGATTGTTACATGTTTATATCACACTAGCCTTGTTTTTTAAATGTTTATTGCTAGAACATACTGTTCATACTGAACAACTTGACACCATTTTTTTCCAGTGAACTGATAAGAGCTTCTAGCAGTTAATGAAATACAAAAACTTAAGCACATAAGCAAGCAATTCATTTCTGTGGGATAGTAGGAGTTGAAACATTTGAGTACTGAAATGAACATATTTGTTATAAAAATACTTATTTGTTAATAGCCAGTAATCTGTCTGTTGACAGATACATGGTGTATCCATAGCCATACCTCTTTTCTTTTCAAGCTGACATAGAACCGACCTTGAAAATTTTATAGTGCTGGTAATAGTTCAGTGTCATCTATATAACCTTGTTCTTTTCTCCCTTAAATCACAATGATGTCCAGAACCTGAATATATATTTTATGTTCTTTCTTTTAAGCTGAGTTACACAAGCTGCTACTTTTCTATTCGTGGTTCTGGTTTGTGCAGTTGGCCACTGTGTAGCAACCTACTCAACTTCATTCCTAATAATGTGAAATGGCACAATGGAATCCTAGGTCTTAACTCAAATAACTCAAGACAACTGTTGCATATGGTTAAAGCTTGGGCCAGACTTGACATTTCTGTGCAAACAGCAGGGCTAATGGAAAAGGAGATAGTCAATTCTAACATATTTTCCTATGAAGATATGAATAACTTTTAACAGCAGTTGCTCCAGCGTGTTTTCATTCCAATATAAACTATTTGGCCAAGAGTATTATAGAAATATCCTGTCTTATCAGTCAGGATATTTATGAGATGTCCTTTGGTGTGAACTACATATAGTAGTGTAAAAGCATCAGTTTGTTTGTGTAAATATTTCTTCTGAATGGTGGTAGAAGTCTATTTTGAACATTATCTGGATGATCCCCCCCCCCGAGTTAACTGTTAGAAGTTAAAAGTAATTAGAAAAGCCTAAGGCAAAGAAGTTGCTACATGATCATCAGTTCAAATATCCTTGGTGAGACCATAACCAACCTTTGTTATATAGAGGCTACTCCTGAGATACTCTAACATAATATTTTAAGAGCAAATAAAAAGTAAAGGTAAAGGGGCCCCAGACCATTAGGTCCAGTCGTGGCCGACTCGGGTTGCGGCGCTCATCTCGCTTTATTGGCCAAGGGAGCCGGCGTACAGCTTCCGGGTCATGTGGCCAGCATGACTTAAGCCGCTTCTGGCGAACCAAAGCAGCGCATGGTAACGCTGTTTACCTTCCCGCTGAAGTGGTACCTATTTATCTACTTGCACTTTGACGTGCTTTCGAACTGCTAGGTTGGCAGGATTAAGAGCAAATAGAAACTATGAAAAAAGCTTGCTAACTTAAAGGCTATGAGTGAATTCAGAAATGCTTGCTATTTAGTCTTAGGCCTATTCTATATGCTACAACTTAGTGAGAGTAGCATACTTTAATGATCACAAGTATATGACAGGTATGTAGTACATACGCACTCCAGGGAACTGAGCCAGTTACAGTTTTCTCCACCCCACATTTTATGATGTATCTCCCTTGGATATTACAGAATACATTTGCTGTGCTCCTTATCTCTGCAACAAGTGAAAGGGCCTCAAATCTCTTGATCAGTTGTGATGGCAACCAGGGCAATCCTATGCATGCCTACTGAGAAGTAAAACACACAAAGTCCAGTGTGCCTTACTTCTAGGTAAATGGGTATGCAATTGCAACGTGTGTCACTCCTTTCCCATTAGGGGGGTATATGTCTTAAGAGCCACTCTGTGGGATCTGATCAGAGGCCTAACTAGGCTAGCATCTTGTTTTCCCCACTGGCCAGCAAGATTCTTATGGGAAGCTCACAAGCAGGACATGAGCGTAAAACCCTTTCTGCTATTGTTCGCCAGCAATCTCAGCACTTCAGCATTGTGGGGTCACTAAAAAAGAAAAGTGGTTCACACTTTATTTTCTTCAGCTGGTGCAGTCTTTCTTAAAGCTCAAGTTTCCACTTCAGGTGTTCTCCAGTCACATCATGTTCACTTTGCTCTATGCCTCTACTTTAATTTTATTTTATTGCATAGCTTCCTGCATTAGCATGTCTTGGCAGATGGTCAAATGTAACCCGTTTTCCTACTCAAAAGGAAGAAATATTATCTATTCGCCAGGCCAACAAGAAGAAAAATAAGACAGCCTTTGGTTATTCAGTAGTAGTGAGAAATCTTTCTTGGCTCCCTGTAATACATGCTTTGGACCTTATTGCTACTCTCCTACTCGGATAAAGTGGCAACATTTTTATATATGAATTATTTAGCTCCACTCTACTGAAAAACAGCATCTCTCTCAAAAGCTGGCAGAAAATGGATTCTGCTCAAAGAATAATTAGCTTGTAGGGAAGGCAGAGAACCTTCTGGCTTCTGTCTTATAGTCCATTTCATTAAGCTCTTCCATTTAAACGTCTTGGAAAATTGTGATAAAAGGTATACATGTTTCTAAATGTAATCAGGCTTACCACTAAAATCTTAAATGAAAAACATACTCATAAAGGTGATCTTAGGCTTTGCATTTTGCTTCCACAGTTGAATTACCCAAATAAAGGAGACTGGGGAAACTAGTCCCCTGCCCCCATAACATTTATATCCTGCTTTTCCTCTTTCATTAAACCCAAAGTGCTGTGCCTATCCAGCTAGGCATGGACCAGATCCAGACCTGCTTAGCTTCAGCAAGGTAGAAGGCTCATATCATAAAGCCAAACCCTGGGACTTTGTAATTACATATAAGTTTTATATACTTTGTATCTGTTTTATAAGGTTCTCTCAAATAGGGAAATGTAGAATTGTGTGAGTTTGGATTTATTCAACTCTGTATAGTGTATGTGGCAACATAATGTTTAGAAAGGATTCAGCGAGAGTCAATGATTGCTGATCACCTTGGTGGATACAGTCTATGTTTGTAGTTGCTATTTTGATCTGAGCTAAGAGGCTACAGAAATTCTCATTACTACCACAAGATATACAAAAGAGACATTCAACATTTCTGCTTGTAGCACAGTTGATAACTTTTGGGTTTTATGTAGGACAACTCCTCTTAGCCATAGGACCCACTTAATCACCTTGGTCTCTTTTTCATCCAAACTTGTCATAACTGAGCTTTGAAGTCACCACTTCAGATCTCACGTCAGTGATTAACCTGCAGGGTCGTCTTACAAAATCAACTGTTCCTTACCTTCAGACAGACACATGCAATACTGGAATAATAATTAGCATTGAGTGGCTTTGCCCTGGCTTAATATAGAATGGGCTAGTGATTGTGAACAAAAGTACAGCACACAAAGGGATTTTATTTCAATTCTCTTTCAACTGCCATCTCTCTGAGACCTCAGGGTCCTGTACCTTGTGCTAGGGAGGAATCTCTCCCCCGCAAAAAAAATAGTTGATTGTACGGAGGTTCTCCCTACTCACCCCTTTCTTCTGTGGTTGACTAGGAGGAATATTGCTTTTCTACCCTATTCTGCTGCAGCTGGAATGATGCTACAGCACTGAGAAGTGTACTTTTCCTGACACCTGGCAGCCATTCTAACAGGTGCTCTTTGAAAATGACATACCTGATGGCTCCTGAATGTCATTCGCAAAAGAAAGAGAAAACCAGGTAGAGAAAGGAAAAAAGCGTGGGATAGGTATCTCAATCACTGCTGCTACCTGGCTGTTGCTGTGGTGGTGAGAGGGAAGGAGAATTCCCGCCCCCTCTGATTCAGATTCAAACCTCTACCTACTTGTTAGTTCTGAAGAGAGATGGTTCTGCACATTTTTAGCATAGTTCATTTTGAACTGGGGAGAACAGCTATTCTGAGTGCCTTGAAAACTTATTTCCCCTTGAGTAGTGATTTGCAGAAGTGAGTCTCTGCTGTACCTCATTCTAAAGGAAACATGAACCTTGGGTAAGTGCCTGAAATGCCTGGAATCTCGTACCACTCGGAGATTGTGGTGGCGTACAATAATAACTTTGTTAGTTCAATGGAAAAATCCTCATCTTACACTGACGATAAAAATGATGACTAAAGTATCCCTTTCAATGGCAGCATTAATGTAGTAATGGGATGGTGTTCACCATCACATTTTGTACCCTTATGAAAGAGGCTTTGGTTATGTAACACTCAAAGGCTTCGTATCAGTTATTTGTCCTGTTCCCATCTGTATCCAGCCATGCTATGTTTATGTCTCTCAGCATTGTCAAAGGAAACATTAATAGGAAAAGTTGTGTGGAAGGACAGCCTGACCTGCAAATTCTGTTTGGCTTCTTAGTTTTTTATATTAAAAAAACTGCAAAGAGCAATCTCAGATTTATTGAGAATTTTGAGTGGTGTGTGTGTGAGAGAGAGCGAGAGCGAGAGAGAGCACAACTTTCAGAATTTGGACACAATGCCTTACAAAACTTTAGCCTTAAGGTGTTCAAAATAAGGCATGAGAGCTCATATTGGGACTGGATAGAAGTGGATAATTTGTCTAATTTGGTTTCGTTTAGTTTCTC